TATTGCATCTGGCAAATCTCATCACGAAAAATCACTCGCTGTTGATTTGCGGTGAAATATGCCCGGTATGCGATTTAAAATAATCAAATTCGTTCCTCTATCCCTTCGTTGCTTTCATAGAAATACTAATCGTTTCAAATTCTCGTTAATCATTTTATCCTTTGGGCCTTGAACTCGATAACAATTTATATAAATATTTTTATTAACAGACTCGTTTATCATATCGTTTGCGATCAATGCGACTGAGAAATGGTTACGCGTGGTTGCATCAACAGCGTATAAAATCTTTCTATCATGTGGTGGAGGATTTAAGTTTCGAACGGGGTGCATCGGCTTTGATGCAGGCAACAGGTGTCGGAAAATTGGCGCCGAACGTTGTTTTGATGGGCTATAAAACGCACTGGTCAACGTGCAATCACAAAGATCTTCAGGAATATTTCAATGTGCTTCAGTAAGTTTCTTCAGAATTTGTCGAAAATTAAAACAGAGTGGTTGAGAAATACGAATATTCGTGGCAATATTCCTTGAACCATCGATTCTAAAGGATACAACAAACACAAAAATTGGTGTTGATGTTTATTTATGGAAAAATGCGTATTCGTATATTTATGTGTATTTCTGGATCACTCTGCATCATTTAGTTTGATTGAAAATTTTTACAACGATGGGGATAATTAAATTTTCATACAGATTAGTATAAAATTAGTATTAAATATGAATATAATCGATATTCGTTAAGTATTATTTTATCTAATGAAATTTTATATTGTTTACGTTAGTAACGCGTTCGATCAAAAATTGGCGGTAGCCATGTTGCGAATTGCGGAGGGTTTGGACTGTTGTGAAGTTGCGACCGCGAACGGCGATGATGAACACGGTGTCTTAGCGCAGAGTAGCTACGATTTAACAGGAAACACTTTGATGCACGTGGACAGCAATTTGTCAATGTCCAGCCAAATTCCGAGAGTGCAAAGCGTGCCAACAATGGGTATTTATAATAATATTTTATTAGTTTATTTAATATTTGCAATTTTTGAAAAAGAAAAGTTTAAAATAGTAATTTTATTAAAGATAAATTTGTATTATGAATAATTAGTATAGTAAAAAAATAAGAAATAATTACAATTTATAAATAAATCATTTTTGCATTGTTTATTATTATTGTATAAATAGCTATTACGTGAATCACATATAATTATTGTAAAAATAATTTCTGAAAAGTAATTAATGTTTAACGATTTTAATTTTATTTTAGGAAGTCAATTCGTGCCTATCGATGGTCCACAAATTATTAGAGATTCGCCTACTCATGGAAGTGCTCGAGAACATTTGAAACAGAAACGAAAACATGCTATAGAGAAACTAATGTAAGTTAAAATTAATTGTTATTTTTAAAGAATAAATTTTATATCGAAGATTTAAACGAGAAGTTTTCGAAAAATCAAAATCGAATATTACAATTTTAATTGAATGGATATTTTTTTGAAAAATTCACTTTTAAATTACTTTTAGACGAAAATTATTTAAAATGTATAATAAATGAATGATATTTCAAGGTTTAATTTAATTTTTAAGGGAAAAGCGCCATGTAATGCCATCTATACCTGAACGCTTAGCGATTTTTCAAAGAAAGCACAAAAATGGTACAATTGATGTATGGTGGCTATACGATGATGGAGGTAATTCATAAAATGTTTTTTCATAATACGTATCTTCAAGCAATTAGATTATTAATCAATTAAGATTTTCAATGTATATTTTTAATCGATATACTTATTTATTTTAAAATATTTGAAAATAAAAATGAAAATATTTTTAAATTTACTTCATATAATACATAATATAACAATTATAAATAGAAAATATTTTTAATAAATTTTAATTAATTGAATTGAAAAATTTATATTAATATTGCAATAATTATATTAAGAATTTTTACTATATTTATAGCCTTTTATTGTTATTAAGATTATGTTTCGTTTTCGATATTTTTAACAGGAAAAAACGAAACATAAAAATTGCATGAAAATTTCTAATAATTTTAAAAAATTCAAACAAAATAATAGAAAATATTATTTGAAATTTATAAAACATTTAATGAATCATTTGTTTACATTTTATATAAGGATGTACTCATTTTTAAGTGGCAGAAATTTATATTCGACAGGTTTAACGATTCTTCTTCCATACATTATTAGTACACGCTCAAATTGGGAGCATTGTAAAATGAGAATTTTTGCGTTGGCCAATCACAAACAAGACATTGTAGCACAGGAGAAAGAGTAAGTTAAAAATCAAAAAGAAAATTCTCATAATTATAAATATTTCAAATTACTTTTTATTTAAATCAATATTTTCTATCAAATATATTTCTTTATTTAAATATTTTTTTTAAATTTAATTTATTTATAATTACAAATATCGATTATAATCAAAATTAAATTTAAAATAAATTTTAGATATTATCTTTAGCATAAAAATTTGAAAAATTTAAAAATCGAAATAAAAAAATACTAATCAATCAATATATATAAATATCAATGTTATTTTTATAATTTTCAGAATGGCCGAAATAATGACAAAGTTCAGGATAAGATATACCAGTTTAAAAATGGTAGACGATATAAGCGTTCAACCAAAACAAGAAACATTAGATTTTTTCGATAAACTCATATCTAATTTCCGAAAAAATGATGTGTCTGATACAGGTAAAATAATGAATTTAGATATTTTATCTAAAATTTGAGATTAAAAGAGATTATATTAACTGATAACTTCATTCATTTATCGATAATTAATAAAATACGTTAATTAAAAGATTATTTCAATATTTCATTATAGAATGCTGTGTAACAAATCTTGAACTTCAGACTTTGAAAGATAAAACGCACAGACAACTTAGACTACGAGAACTTCTATTGGAAAACTCAAGTCAGTCTACCTTAGTTGTAATGTATGTATGCACAAAAATTATTTACATTGTAATAAAGTTTAACGGCAAAAATAATATCTTATAAAACAATTGCAAATCTTAATCTTCCTTTTTTTAGAAAATAGAATTTTTCAATATATATATATATATATAACCTATTATCAATAATACTTAATATAAAATTTATTAATAAATAATATTTTTTTCCTATCAAAAAATATTTTATGTAATTTTCAAATGTTGAATTCTAGATGTTAATTTTTTTTAACAATATTAAAATAATATATTTGAAAATTAATAAATAAATGAGTAGTTTTTGAGATTTTTCTTTTTTAATTATAGGTCACTACCAATGCCAAGAAAGGGTGCAGTTTCCGCTCCATTGTACATGGCATGGTTGGAAGCTTTAACCAAGAATATGCCACCGACTCTTTTGATACGCGGAAATCATACTTCAGTGTTAACTTTTTATTCGTAGTTCACCGATATTATTTTAAACCAGTGTTTTCCAATCTTTTTAGATTAGCGATACATTTCGAAACTAATAAAGTTTTTGCGACACATCATAATTGTTAAGATAAAAATTTTAATTTATTTAAAATAATAACATATAATAACACTTGTTATAATATATTATTTACTCAAAAAGGAAAAAAATGTTTTAAAAATATTACTAAATATAAAAATATTTATAAAAATATTGACATATTATATTTTAATGACATTTATATTTTACATATTATAACAAGGATTTTTTTTATATCGCATTTTTAACATTATTTATATATCAATAAATATTAAATATTTTTATATATAAAATTTTAATTTTCACAATATATTGATGTGTCGTGAGAAACATATCGGTTGAGAAACACTGATCTAAACAATAAATATAATTTTAGCATCTAGATGAATTTATTTACTTTGAATAGCATCGTGGAAGTCTATGCAATTATTAAAGACATCTGATGCGGACAGACAGTATTCTGTATATTCATGCCAAAAATTATATAGATACTATGATCTGTTTTCGTTTTTATACAGTATTTATCAACACCATGCCCGGTGGTACTTACTGACGAGATTATTTTAGCGTAGATATGAAAGACAACAGTATAAAGGACTACCGATAATTTTTAGTCCTGTAACTTTGATACTTATTCATATAGAATTCTAGGACACATTAACAAAGAAATATACAATACAAACACTATGAAATTGTATTTGAACTTGAAAGAGAAGTTTTATTTAGATAGTAACGAATGATTTTTATATTTAATATCAAATACAATATTCTGAAATATATTATTAAAAAAAAATAATACAATAGAGAAAATAGAATTTCATTTTTTGATTAAATGCAATGTACTTTTTAAGCGCACATTGAACTTAATAATTAATATAATCAAATAATTTAATATGATATTCTTAATATTAAAAATTTTTTTAAGTGAACTAAATGTATAGTTTTAAATTTAAATTTAAATAATAGAAGACAAAAAATTCTTATTTCTTATCAATAATATATTTTTTCATTAAACTACATAAGAATTTTTATTGAAATTCTTTTATAGAAGAAAATGATAGTACTTTTTTTAAAAGTATTTTTTTATTTTAAATGATATATTTAATAACAAAATATTTAATTATTATTATTGTTATTACTGATGTTTCAATAAGATATTCTTTTTATTATTCTAAAATAATTTTTAATTAGATATAAAATTTCTTAAATTTCTTAAAAAATGGACTTAATTATAAATTGTTATAAATTAATTTTATTTTATTAACAATTAAGTAAATAACTTTCAATATTTACAAAATTACTACGTTTTTCAAATATAAATATCAATTTAATTGCATCTTTTATAATTTTTGAAAATTTGTAAAAAGAATTCTTATGTAATCTTGTAAAAGGAAGAAAGAGATTTACTTAGAAAGAAATTGCTGAAATTGTAAATTCTGCATCATTTGTAAATATAAAGATAATTTTAAAAAAAGTTAAAAGAAAATTAAAATTAAATCTATAAGAAGCTTAAATAAAATATTTTATTTATTTTGCAATGCATTTAGTGACATTAAAAATATTTTATTATTTACAATAAATTTATTGTAATTTTTAAATTCCTGAATTTATAACTTCTCATTTTAACATTTCAGGTTTAATATAATTTTATTATTTCACAATTTAATAATTTAAAAATTCACCAAATTTTTATCAAACTTGTATATGCATTAAAAAATTAAGTAATATAATACTAATATAATTCAGGAATCAATGCTTCGTGTTCGATTTCTCCCATTGAATGAAGATGTTCTACAATCAATATCAATATAATTATCTGTTATTATTAATTGCTCTGTACAACGTATACATAAAAAATCTTATATACAAAATTTTGTAATAAAAATAATTGTGTTTTATGTAAAATCCATCAAAATCATGTATAATAGTCACTTTAACTAAATAGCTCACTTGTTAAAATGAGTCTCAAAAATTCTGGCAAAAACAGGTTGTATTTGCTCCAATATATCAGTTGTTAGCATTCCTCTTTGCTTTAATTTATATGCAGATGAATTGCATTCTCTCACTAATCTACTTGCAGCATAACTTGCAGCTATTGGTGGAGACAAAGCAGTTTCGTTATTTCCTGCACAAATAGCCCACCACCAAAATACAGCTAATGCTCCACATAATAAATCTCCTTGACCTCCACATCTTCGTCCAGAACCAGCTAATCCACATGACACAGCTTCTGTACCTTTATGTCCATCTGCAATTACATCCTTTGCTCCTTTATGTAAAATTATTACATTTTTCCCAAGTGCATCAGCTAAATGTTTAACATCATTTGCTTTAACCATTGGTGTAGGTTGAACATTTTTATCAAGTACTCCTTTAACAAGGCGACTGAATTCCATTGCATTAGGAGTAAGGATAGCACCTGGATATTCTTTTATTATATCAGGTTTCTGGCTAATCAAAAATAATCCATCTGCATCAATTACCAATGGCTTTTTCATATCACGACAAATTGAAATTAATTCAACAATTATTTTAAATACTTTATCATCTCTACCAAGACCAGGTCCAATAATAATTATATGTAAACGATCAAGCCATGGTCTTATTTGTTTAATTGCATCATATTGATCTAAAACTGGATGAACAATAGGTTCTGGGCTAAATGCTTTCAGTGGAAAGCTTGCATCTTTTACACAAAATATGTGCACTAAATCACATCCAGTACGGAGTGCACTCATTGCTGCATAATATGGTGCACCAGTATATTCAAGACTACCACCAAATATACCAATTCGACCATCTTGACCTTTATATTTGGTATTATTCAAATTTGGAATTACTCTTCTTATTCCTTTTAACATACGTTCATCATTTGATACTGTTGTAGACATGATGGAAACTAATGGAAACTTGTTTGAATTCCTACGGGCAAAATTCATAATACCAAGAGCCATTCTCCAACTTAATAATAAAAGTTGCTCTTAATTACTATTTTCCTTTTACAAATAAAATGATGATTGATGTGAATGAATATTTTTTTATAATTGATATGTTTTATTGATTTTTACAAAATATTTTATTGTAGTAATAATATATAAATTAAGATGCACAATATTAAGATGAAACAAGCACATAGTAAAATACAATATTACCTGTAATGTTTTTAATATATAATTGAAGATTTGTATAACACTGCCGTTGTTTATTAAATATTAATTCAGAAGAAATCGAACAAGAATGACTACATAATGAGATAAAAAAATAGATAACCTCTAACCTATGTCAAATGTATGAAAATACACATATTTTCTGTTTCTATGTGTAAAAAATTAAATAAATAGATTTTTTAAATATTTTTTAGATTTCTATTCTTATATAAAATGGAAAAGGAATAGTATAACAAAAAACGAAAATTTTTAGTGAAATAATACGAAAATATAAACAAATGTACTATTAAAAGTTTTGAAAAACGATTGTCACTTCAGTGCCAGTAGTTATTGGTATTTAAATAAAAAAAATTCCTATATTTATCCGTTAATGAGAAATAAAAACTCAAAAATACAAAAAATAAATCGAGCAATAATAATTTAATATACATATTATTCTATTATATCTAATGTAATAAATATTAATGCATTTTTAAATTATTACCTTATTCAACACAAAAATATAAAATGAAATTTTTTAGAAAAAATAACTTTCTGCAAAATAATTTATAAAATTTTGTAATGTACTTCTTAAGACAAATCGTTTGATATGCAGTACATTATATTGCGTGGTCTGATACTATATATTTTTATGTGTAAAAGATATTTCAATAAATAATTACTTAATATATAAATTGTGCGTATTAACAAAGTACAAATTACACCTATAATTCTTATCAGAATTTCATGAACATGTATATTATGAAATATGTGTATCATCATGACAATGCAACATTACAAAAATAATACTATACAGTACATAATATTATATATAATACCAATAGTAATATATATATATATATATATAAAATGTTTTAAAAATGAAAAAATCTATTAACTGAAAATTCCTGAGATTTTAAACAATATTTTCCTTTCTAAAAACTTTCATTACGACTTTATCAACGAGAAAAACACTGACCAATCATAGAACACATAATCTAGCGGAATTGCAACAGTAGTGTGCTGCCAATCAAGCATAAACAAATTCAAATAACATATGTTGAAAAAAGAGTGAATATAAGAAATATTTTTTTATCGATAAAAAATTATATCAAATTATATCACGAACAATGAATAAACTATTTAAATTATTTGTATATTAATATTTCACAGTAGTAGTATTTAAAAAAAGTATTTAAAAAAAATAAATGAAGATTAAATAAATAAATATATTAAGTATATAAAATAAGATATAATGAAGCGTGATAGATGACTTATTTTATGCAGATTATTGAATAAAATAAAGAATTTATTATTTTAATCAATTAAATTAATTTAATTTTAGAAAATTGATAAAAAAAAAAATTTATAAAATAGAACCAAGATTCCCTTCTTAAAATTTTCTCGTTTCAACTTAAATACAAAAACAAATTTCAAAAATATCTAAATAAAATATGTGAATAAAATTATAACCGAAATTGGGAAAAAAAAATTTCATTCGATATTTATACTTAAGAAATTAATATTCTTCAATAAGTTATAAAAATAATAAAAATTTCTTATTTTATCTTAATAATTTAATCGCTAATAATAGTAAATATAATTAATAATCTTGTGAATGTACTTGAAATGATAAATAAATATTTTAAAAAGCAATAACTTTCAATTATAAATTTAAAAAAAAGACAGAACAAAAGTTGAATTGTTTTAAGATATATAATATTGAAAACTATTTTCCATTTGGAAAATAATATTAATCCATTATTTTTTCCTTTTTATTCTAAATATTTATTTGTTTTATTTGTTTCAAAATATCGTAATTCTTCATCATTAAATATTTAAGATATTGAAAAATTATTTTGATAAAATAAATTGATATTAAAATATAATTTCCATGAAATATAATATCAATAGTTTTTAATCCTATTCTTTGTATTTTGAAATATTTATATATATTATTAATAATTCTTTTTTTATAGACTAATCCTTACAAATAATAAAATGTTATCAATTTTTATGTCACTAATGATAAAAGAAAAGAAAAATTTCGATTTTTTTTTTTTTATAAAATTACAATTATTTTATAAGATGAAAATTGAAACTCTTATTGATTTATTGATTTAAGTATCATTGATAAATTAATCAATTAATAATTTATTATATTATGTATGCAATTTTCAGGCATACATAGATAATAAATAAATATTATAATATAATATATTCTGCTCTTATAATTTTTTTATAAAAACTTTTTACGTCATATCTATATATATATATATTATGTATCTCACTATTAATCACATTATTTATATATGTATAAATATCTAACAAATGAAGGATAAGTTAATTTCAATTATTAAATTATTCAATATATTAATATGATAATTTAGAATTTAATTATTATATTATTATATAATATAATATAATTAGAATAATTATAATTAATTATAATAATATATAATATATAATATTAATTTATAAATATTAATTAATAATTTGATCAATTTGAAATTTTAAAAAGTTATAATCAAACTTTAATTATATTTTTTTTAAAAAGCAAGTAGATACAATTTACAGGAATGGAATATTTTTAATATCCTTTATATGGATATTATATAGTAAAATGAAAAAAGCAAATCAAGGAAACAATGTTATCATATATAATTTAAAATGAATGATAATAATGAAAGAAATAAATAAATTAGTAGTAAATTAATAGTAAGAGTAAATTTTCAATTTCTATTTTCAATATCCACATAAAATTATAAATTTTCAAATTTCCGAATAATTTTTTAAAATTGTTATAAGATATAAAGAATATTATATTTTATTATTGTTCTATAAGTTCCATTTTTTTTAAAAATTAATATTAAACAAAAATACGAAAAAAAAAGATTGCTATGAGTCAAAAATATTATAATAATCAAAATAATAATTAATATTTATCTCAAATTTCAAACCAATATTCTTTAATAGATAAGATCCTGATGATATTGAAAAATAAAATTTAAATTTTAATAAAATATACGCATATTTATATTTATATTTAATAATACGAAAATCTTGAAAACTTTGAAATCTTGAAAAATTGAAAACTTGATCATATCTGCATTTTTTTTATCATTAAATTAAGTAAAGAAAATATATAGAATATCATTCACTCTCTATCGGAATATATTATCTATTATATATTTTATTACCTATATAATCTTTTAAAATATAAAATACTTTGCACAAATATAATTACTTTTTTTCTATAGTAAAATATATTATATATTATTGCATTCTTTTATCATAAACGTTTAAATAGATTTGTATATTACATTTATCAACTAATGAATGATAAGAATTAATAGAATATAACGACTCAATCTGATATTTCATTCCAGAAGTATTTATAATTTTATGAGAAATAATAAGAGTACAGTATATCACTAGAATTCTATACTTTATATCTAACATAAGTGACAGTGTATCATAAGTAAGTATTTTTTTTCTTTTTATGAAAATTCAGTATTCAAGATAAATTATTAATTTTTTTTAATTACTCATGTACTTATATTATTTTATATTTTATTTTATATGAATTATGAACATTTATATAAAACAATATTTTTGTGGAAAATATTTAAATAAATGAGACTTTCATTACATTTTTTATAACGTGCATTTAACTTGAGGTATATATTCAGAGTATATAAAAAATCGTAATGGAAATTCAAGAGTTTATTGTGTAAGAATAAATAAAAAGGAAATATAAAATAATTTACATACTGAAATTAAATATTTTCCATAATTTCATAATTCAGTCAAGAAACAGTATATAATTCATTACAGTACATAATTCATATTTCACATTTTTTAATTTGTATATAATTGCAATAATAATTGCAATAATATCATAAATTTTTCTATATGTTTTACAGTTTACAAAACATTTTTATAAAACGATTTTTGTCAGCAAGAATTTGATGAAAATCTATAAAAAATGGCTGTCTTTGAAATTCTTTGTGGATTTATTATATTTATTTTCGCCTTTTATTATTATCTATTGAAACCTCAAGAATATTGGAAAAATCTTGGGGTACCTGGACCCAAGCCAATACCAATTTTTGGCAATTTTTTCCGTTTAACATTCGCAAGTATGTCGATAGGTGATTTGATGACAAAATTTTATAAAGAATATAAACATGAGCCTGTGTTTGGATTATATATACGAAACGTGCGTGTTCTGGCTATAAATGATCCTGATTTAATCAAAACTGTTCTCATAAAGGATTTCTCAAAATTCGCCCATCGTGGACTTGCTCTGAATGAAGTGGTAAGTGTTTAATAATTTTTAATATTTGCTAAAACTTTGTATTTATTTTTCTATTTATTTTGTTATTTTGTTTCTTTATATTTATAAATTACATAATTATCCAAAAATACTGAAAAAAATAAACATTTATTTTTGAATTTTTTAATACAAAAAAAAAATTTTAATAAAGAAAGTTAGCGAAAGATAATAAAAGTTCATAGAACAAAATACATTTGATTAAATAAATTTTATATGAAATCAATATTATAATATTCTTATAAAGAAAAAAATTTATTATATTATAATATAATATAAACTTATTGTATTCTACAATAATACTATATAATGATATTATCTTTTTAAATTCCAGATAAATTTTTTAATTTCATGCATTTTTCATATTATCTCCAATCAATCTCTAAAATCTAATCAATTTAATTTTTAATTTAATAAAATCTATCACGTAAACTTAAGTAAACGCAATAGTTAATGATTAAATATGATTAAATAGAAGTAAACTGATAATCAATAAATGACAATACGTATAGAAGAATATATCGAACAAAAAATTTTATCCCACAATATTATCATATTATTCATATTGAAAATTTATAATACTTATTATAATAAATTTATAATAAGAAAAAAAAAAAACTCGTGTAAGAAAAAAAAAAAACTTTAACAAAAGACTCTAAAACATATATCATGTGCTAGAATTTAAGAAAAGCAATTATTCTTTTTACAAATATTTTTTTATTATAGACGGAGCCACTTTCTCAGCACTTGTTCGTTTTGGAACCAACAAGATGGCGGCCATTAAGAACGAAATTGTCCCCGATATTTACATCGGGCAAACTGAAAGACATGTTTTCCCTGATTATCGAGTGTTCTAATACCCTCGAGAATTATGTTGAACACTTGATATCGAAAAACAATCGTGTCGAAATACGAGACTTGGCTGCCAAATTCACCACTGACGTAATTGGCAGTTGCGGGTTTGGAATCGATATGAACGCTATGTCAGACGTTCAATGTAAATTTCGCAATATAGGAAGGGAATTTTTCGGTCCAAACTTTAAACAGATATTGAAGATTAGACTTAGAGAAAATTTACCAAGATTTTACACGTTTTTGGGTTACATATTGCCACGAGATGAAACTACTACTTTTTTCACGAACGTTGTCTTGGATATGATAAAATATAGGAGGAAAAACAATATCTATAGGCCGGACTTTATCAATACTCTTATGAATATTCAGAATCATCCTGAGAAGTTGAACATAGGTATGTGTTCGATTTTTGATAACATACAATTAAATTGAACTAATAGTAATTGATTTAACTTTTATGAGAATGAATTTCTTTTCAAAGAAATTTCTGCGACATAAAGATAATTGATAAAAAGATTAATTGATAAAATATAATAAAATATATATGATAGATATTTCTTAATTTTATTGCAATATGATTGCAAAATTAATTGCAATAAAAATTTATTTTTTAAAAGAAATTAAAATGTCAAGAAGTGCTTGATTTAATCAATGATGAAATAAAACGTCAAGAAGTAATTGATTTAATTCAATGATTGATCAAATTGCTCATCAAACAATAATATTGATTGATTGCAGATATATTATAGAATATGATAAATGTGATATAGATATCAAGCGATTGAGAAATGGAAATTTTAGTTATTGTCATGAATTTTTTTCAATCATAATTTAAAATAAAATACTCCAATATTTTTTTCGGTGAAATTAAAATGTAATTTAATCAAATTTTTATTCATGTTTTTTAGAATTAACGGAACCTTTGCTAGTTGCACAAGCATTCCTTTTCTTCGTGGCTGGCTTCGAAACCTCATCGTTAACTATAGCTACCGCCCTTTACGAATTAGCGCAAAATCAAGATATTCAAGATAAATTAAGAGATGAGATTACAGAACATCACAAATTGAACAATGGAGAATGGCAATACGAAAATATTAAAAACATGCCTTATTTAGATGCTGTGTTCAAAGGTATATTTTATTATTACTTACATTTAGATAAAAATTTTATAAATTTAAAACGATTGAAATGTGCAACATCTAAATCTAAATCTAAAAATCTTTTGATAAAATAAAAATAAGATCTAGAACGTGATAAAAAGATGATCCGGTTTTAAATTATATTTTTTCATATAAACATCGACAATAAATTTAAAATAGAATAAAAAAAAAATAACAAATATTCAAAATTTTAGAAAACTATAAATTTTCTATCTAATTATATTTTTAATTTTAGAGACTTTAAGAAAATACGTACCTTTAACAGTTATAATGAGACAAAGTTTGGAAGACTATACTTTTGAAAGCATAAAGTTAACTATTCCAAAGAATACGAGAATCTTTATTCCTATATATGCTATACATCGTGATCCTGATATCTATCCAAATCCCGAAGTGTTTGATATTAATCGATTTAGCAAGGAAGCAGAAGCGACAAGACATCCTATGCATTATTTACCTTTTGGCGATGGTCCAAGAAATTGCATTGGTATGTAAGAAAAAAAATCTACAATTAAAAATCTAAAATCTAAAAATAATTGACGTAATATATTCTATCAATTTAACTTTTATTAAATTAATATAATAAATGTTATTCAAGGATGTATTCAATAGAAAATTTTAATATTTAAAAGCGTATTTAGAAAATTTTAAAAAACTTTAAATGTATATTTTACAAAAATCAATAATAAGTATGATTTAAAGTCATATTGTTTTATGTTTTTATAGGTGCGCGTTTTGCAATTTTCCAAACCAAAATTGGATTGATAAAAATTCTTCGTAATTACAAAGTTGATGTTTGCAACGAAACACAGATTCCATTCATAAACGAACCACGCACGTTTACTCTAGCTCCCAAACACGACCTTATTTTAAAAATTACAAAAATAGAAAACTAATAAAATATGTATTTTTCTAGAAACTAAAATTTAAACTATTTAAACTAAATATATTATACGTATAGATAGGTCTTTGACATAAATATTATTATATTATTCTATTTTTATTTTTTTGAGGAAATATTCTTAAAAATTAGAGATTTCGAAATGTAGATTTATTTTAAGATTTAATAATCACTTATTCACGTATAATTATCATAGTATCAAATATTTTTATCTATGAACTGTTTCTTGTGATATTAATTTAAAATAAGTGATATTAATTTAAAAATAAATTTAATTCGATTTAGAGAAAGAATAAGTCAAAAATATTTTCGAAATAACGTGAAATTGATTAAAATTTAATAAAACCATGATTGATAATTTGAAAATTGTATTTTTTTTTGTTTATATATAATTATATATTTTTTTGTTTATAAATAAAAAAATGTATAAATTTATTTCAAAAATATTTATTTCTAAATTCTATAAATATCTATACTTAAAAATTATCTATTGTTAATTATAATTATTTGCAATAAATAATGAAATTGTCTGAATATTGCAAAGTGTTAACTTTTATTAGAACTTTGAATGTTAGTTTAAGATATTTATATTTATGTATAAACATTTATATCTAATATTTATAAAAAGAAAATGTTCTCTAAGATGAATATACGAAGTGAAATCATAAAGATGTATAAATAAACTCTTTGAGATAAATAAATATAAATTTTAAATAAAATTTAAAAAAAATGTAGAAATCCTTTTTTTTACTTAAATAATATTATCATTATACGGAATGCTATATTATACTATATGTACAAATTGATTCTTATAATTTTTATTGTCAAAATATGTTCAATAAGAAGATATATAAAAATATATTTTTTATATATTTTTTTAATATTTCGATTTTAATAGTTAAAAACTTTATTAATTATTAAGGAGAAAAAGAAATTTTATATTATATAAAAAAATAAAAATCTAATTTAATAAAAATATAGTATATTATATCATTTATTTCATTAATTTTTCATTAATTTTTTTCATGTCTATAGATAGATGGTAAAGTAATCTTGTATTTTATAATGTATTTTAATTTACTTTAAAAACATTAGATTGCATTTTTTAATGCCTTTTCAGAATTTTTACATATAATCAGAATTTTACATACAATCATAAAAATTCTTCACATTCTTCATCATTAAAAAATTCATCTAATTTAATTTGAATGTGAATTTATATATAGAACATAATAAATTATGCACATAGTAATTTTTTTTGCAAAGGAAAATTTTTTTGAGTGCATTAATTATAATAAATATAATAAATTAATTTCTAAATTTTTATCATTTTTAAATACATTTTCGTCCGGAAATCAATGGAATTTTATATCAATCAATGAATAGAATACAATAGAATACAATAGAATACAAAATCATTGTATTTTATGTAAATAAAATAGTAATCTCATAGTTAATGGTTTTAATTACATTTTTTGAATTGTTTGAATTTACTTAGAATGTATATAAACTTTTGTAATTGATTGTATGTATGTATATGTATATAGACAACTGATTATTTATTCTATGTGAGTGTTAATAACTAAGCCTTTATATTGTTCATTTGTTGAAGCAAGATTCAGTCGTGCAATAAGATTGCATAGAAATATAAAGAGATATCAAGAGATATCATATAAATAAAGATTAGTATTATTATTTCTAAAAAGAAGGTAAAATTTGTTAATAATTCAATTATTGTGTAAAAAAAGCTCATTTTACAGTGTAATGTACGAAAATTGTATTGAATATTTATTTTTAAAAATTAATAAATTAAAAAAATCATATTATATATTATATAATAAGTGAATATCGATATAACAAAAAAAAAATTCGAACTAATAATGAAAACTTAATATAAATAAGATTAATTTTATGAAATTTATATTTGTAGCAAAATTTTTTTTATAAATGCATAATAATTAAAGTTTAAGGTATTTAAAGATAAGTATCGATACCGATACTTAAAGAATAAATAATTATTTTAAATTATAATATTTATTTTTATTATGTTTAAACAGAGTTTATGAATTTTTTAAATGAAAAATTAAATTCTTAATGTTTCTAATTAATGAAAAATACACGAACATTTTGCTAAAAAGAAATTATTTCAAATATTATAAAAAGTTAAAAAAAATAATGCAATTTTTTACGATATATTATTAAAGCGTATCTTAAATTCCAAAAATTCCATTACTCATGATGTTTGAATAAATATTATCCATATTTCGCAGCAAATAACAAATTATAATAATTTGTTCGAATTTGTGATTCACCAAATACTAAAAAATGTTCGTCAATCTGGAAACACTTTGTGGATTCGTAATAGTGCTTATTGCGTTTTATTATTATTTAACGGCTAACAACAATTTCTGGAAAAATCGTGGCATACCTGGACCAAAACCCACCATTGGTTTCGGAAATATGCGGGCAGTAATGTTTGGAAAGGAATCGTTTCCAGAATTTCTTACTACTATATACAATGAATATAAGGACGAACAGATGATTGGAATATTTTTTAGAAAAAGGCCTGTCTTGGTTCTCAAAGATTTTGATCTCATCAAAGATGTTATGATTAAAGATTTTTCCAAATTCGCGAATCGAGGATTTTTAAAAACGAATCCAGTAAGTATATATATATATGTAGCGTGAAAGAAATTTTATATCTTGCATTCAAATAATTTCAATAAATAAACATTTTTTTTACATTCAATTCATATTGGAATAAAATAAAAAATTGAAAATGAATGAATTTTTAATGGATCTTATATAATTGAAATTGAACGAGAGTTATTTTCGTTGCATTTCGTTTTTAATTTATTATTAATAATAAGAAAAGTAAATATAATCGATATATTGTACGATCTTTCAACGAATACAGAAAGTTCCATTGACTAACCACCTTTTCGCTCTGGAAGTGAAAAGATGGCGGCCGCTGAGGAACCATCTCTCCCCAGTATTTACATCGGGCAAATTGAAAGCAACATTCGTACAAATTCTTAACTGTTCCAACGATCTTGTGACTTATATAGACACGTTGTTGAAGATAGAAGAGTCTATAAATATACGCGAAGTTGCCGCTAAATTCACCACCGATGTAATCGGAAGCTGCGTCTTTGGGATCGAGATGAATTCATTGTCGGAGAAAGAGAGTGAATTCCGTCGAATTGGTAGAAACATTTTTGCCACTAATCTTACAAATATATTAAAGATTAGATTGCTACAAAGCATGCCGCTCCTGCATTCTTTGCTCTGTAATATATTATCCGACGAAGAAACGGAAATGTTTATGAGAATTACCAAAGAGACAATCGAATATAGAGAGAAGAACAACATTGTCAGACCGGATTTTATGAATATACTTCTGGAGCTTAGGAAACATCCTGAAAAAATTGCTGATATTGGTTAGTATAAAAAATTGTTAATAAATTTGTGAAACAATAATAAATTAGGATTACAATTCTACGAATAAAAATAAATGGAGACATAAATTAAAATTGATTAAATTTTGCGTCGATGAGACAAAGATAATATAATCCTTGTTGGATGAAACTGCCATATATGCAGAAAAATATATATATATTGAAGATCAAATATTTAATATTATTTTTTCGATATCATACTTATTTATTAAAATCTTTGAAATTTTTATCGAATTTATTTATTTTCCCATTCTTATATAGAATTAACGGATGATCTGTTAGCCGCACAAGCATATATTTTCTTTGCGGCTGGTTTCGAGACCTCTTCGACAACAATATCCAATGCTCTGTACGAATTAGCTTTGAATCACGATATTCAAGACAAATTGCGACAAGAAATTAAGGAATTCGAGGCAAAAAATGACGGAGAGTGGAGGTATGAAACCATTAAGGAGATGCAATACCTGGGAAAAATATTTCATGGTGAGTGCTATGATATTTTTCTTCAAAATTCATCATATTTAAATTTTTGATTTGTTATTTTACAGATTAATTAGTATTTAAATTTATTTTAAGAATATAGTTTCTTAATTAGTTTATTTTTTTTTTCTAACTTTTAAAATGTTAATCGTTAATTATCATAATAGTATAATTTATTCTCATTTTATTTACAGAAACGCTAAGAAAGTATCCAGCATTGCCATTTTTGAGCAGAGAATCAATGATCGACGATTATACGTTTCGAAATACTAAATTAACGATTTCCAAAGGTACATTGGTCTGGATACCCGTTTTTCCCATTCATCACGATCCAAATATTTATCCAGACCCAGAAAAGTTTGATCCTGAAAAATTTACCGAGGATAAGATAAAAGAAAGGAATCTCATGCACTACTTCCCTTTTGGACACGGACCAAGAAACTGTATAGGCACGTATAATACAAATTTAAAATTAAATCAACTTTTAAATAACGATGAACTTATAAAATTATTACATATATATATATATATATATTATTGAAAAGCGAAACATATTCCTCTTTATTTTATTTAAGTTTAACTAATTTATTTCAGGTGCACGTTTTGCGATCTATCAAACAAAAATTGGTCTGATAAAAATCCTCCGTAATTACAAGGTTGATATTTGCTCTAAAACATTAATTCCTTATAAATATGATCCATTTTCGTTTATCTTAGTACCGTTAGATGGTTTATATTTGAAAATGACTAAAATATAAGATTGAATATTTACTATTAATTAAATATTTATATTTAATTATGTGCACAATTTAATTGTACTTAGGAAAAAATTGCATGGTACTTAATTAAATTGTGCATAAATACTTGTTGTGCATAAATAATTATAAAATTTAATGCATACCTTGTATGCAAAAACAAAACAATCATTTATACATTTGTCATTATATTTATCAATAATATTATCGCAATAAAACATTGTTAATATAACATAAAAAGTTAAACGATTTTGTTACGAAAATAAATAAAATAATAAGCGTCATTGCATTGATAATTAATAATTTTATAGAATTAGTCTAAAAAAAAATTTATCGTAAATAATATATTATATCAAGAATGTATAATAATGCATAAAATATTAATATATAAATAATATATTTTTTTCGAACAATAGAAATTTTATATTTTCGCAAATTTAATAAATAAGCTCATTATCAATTATGATATTAGATTATGACTTAATAAAGCTTCAAACGATATTTTCGTATATCAATTTTTGTATTTGTTTTCGCTTTTAAAAACGAATTTCTAAATTTATCTTTTTAAACTATATATCAAATTAATATATCAATATTTTGTATATTATATGTACAAGATAGATAATAGAATATGATAATCATAAATTTAATTCGCTCACACTTTAACATAAATTAATAAACAATAAATGTTATTGTGAGAAAAAAATAAAAAAGAATACCGATATTTTATATTTTGTTGTTTAAAGAAAAGCGAAGAAGAATAGTAAAGAAATTCGTATAAATGAAATTCCTTTTCATTTTCTTTTCAAGAAAATTTTAATTATTCGCAATTTTTATCTTACGATTAAAACGAGTTTTCGACAATTATGCAAATTGTTTGAATAAAAAATATCGGCGATATCGCATTCATAATTTATAAATACATGATAATTAATTTTTCATGATTAATTTTAATATTCATGATTGATCATTTAATAATGATAATTATTAAAATATTTAAATTAGAAGAAGTGTCAAATTGAATTTTATTATCTTTTATTAAAGACACAATCTAATAATTTCACTATTCAAACAATGCATAGATATTCAAATGAAATATTTTTAAACTTGTATTCGCAATAATTCGCTATTGCTCATAACTACTCATAAATAGATCAATTTTTGAAGATATATCATCTTCTGAGCGAATATCTTTTTTTACTTAATTTAAATATTTATTTTTTGCTGTTTATTGATTTGTTATTGGCTATAATTGTGGATGTAATATTATAATTTATAAATTGGGAAATAAAATTAAAAAATACCCGAATTGTAATTTCGTAGAATAAATTTGGATATTAAAAAAAAAAAAAAATTATCCAATACCAAAAGAAAATTTTTATAAATTTTTAGATTGGACACATTTTTTGTCAGTAAAATAAATTTTCTTTTATTAATATTAATTATAAAGATTTTAATGTGATGAATGAACTTAAAAAAATGTAATTTAATTAACTTAAATAAACATTCAATATTATTTACGCAATTTAATTAATACGCATATAAATATGGATATAAAAACTGCAATTAATCGATCAGCTGTATATTTACGTCAATTGTTGCTAATAACACATTTTTATAATATTTGTTAAGAATTAATAATATGTCATAATGTAACCTTAACTTTTTTCAGAAGAAAAAAAAAAACATTTTTTAAATTGCAATGTCGCAACTATATCAATTCAAAATAGATCAATTTTTATTTTTATTACATTTTTATTACATGTTTTAAAAATCACATGATTTCGCTGATTTTTACTCTGCGTATTTCACAGCATTAACTAAATTAGCATTGTTTGATAAATTTTAACTTTTTTTCGATTTTATAATCTTTAATAATCATTTCTTAATATATTGAATATAAATCTGCAAACCATTCTTTCCAGAATATATACTTTTTATCAAAATTAATTTTAAAAAACATAATATAACATAAAAAACATAACAGAATCTAGAAAAAAATTAAACTATATTATGCTTAGATAATTATAGAGCAGATTTTTTTTATTAAGAAAAGCATCAAAGGAAATTACCAAATCATTTTTGTTTTCAATATACAAGTTATTAATATATTTGTGGACATTTGGAAAACGTCCTAAAAGCCAAAATAAATACAGAAGTTGATACATAAATACGCTGTAGTATGACATACCATTCTCTTCATCTAACACAAATTAATTTGCTTATAATTTAATAAACTTCTGTCTTTGTTTTGACAGAAAATTAACTTTTTAAAATGTTTTTTTTTCGAATAAAATATAACGAAATATATCAATATCTTGTATAAAAAAATTTAAATATTTTTTTTGAAAAATAATATAAATCTCTAAAGGTGTTAATAACTTATTATTTTTTTTTATAAAAAATGATTAGAATCGAATGTTATATTTGAAAGCGTTACATTATTGAAATAAATTTGATCTTTGCACATTCATTTACAAAAAACTGTAGAAAGAAAGGGAGAGAGAGAAAGAGAAGAAATTATTTTCTCCTTGAAATTAATTACAACTTTTATACGAAATATTTTTTTATATAATTTCGAATATTTTTTTTTTTTTTAAATTTGTCTCATATACAATGTGAAAGATCAATAACATTACTACAAAATTACAAATTTCAATTAAATTCACCATGAATTGAAAAAGAAACGCCATGGATATATGCAAAATTCAACAAATAAAAATGAAAATGCGAGATTAGATCTAAAATAAAGAAGATAATATCGATAAATATTATTATATTATTTTTTTATTTATTATATTTATATTATGTAGCAAAAAATCTGCGTAAGCATATGTAATTCTTGTACATGTATATATGTGTCTGTGTAATTATACGTAATTATCTAACAGATGTTATAAATCTGATAAATTGTTTGACAAATCTGCAGTGAATGTTGAACCGCCTTGGGTGTAATATTAGGATAGGGAATTTATACCAATACGCCGAGCAGTACAAAAAGTAAATATTAAATAATTGCAATTCAGATATTACATTCAATTAAAATTTAGCAATTATTTATATTCAATTCGAGTACATTCCATTTTTAATTCTTAATATCGGATGTTATTTACGTCGGATATTCGGGCGTAGTCAAATTTATGATAGTAAAATAGTTTATTAAGTGAAAATTGAATTGTGAATTTTTAATTTAGATATAAGTTTCAATAGTTCAATATAAGTTCAATATAAGTTTAAAGTGTATTATAAATTTTGATATGTATTATAAATTGTATTATAAATTTAAAAAAAAAATGTATCGCATAAATTTGAAAATTATATATTAAAATTAAACATCAAATAGTTCTTTATAAAAATATATAGAAATATAAAATTATGAAATAATGTTATTTTATATTTTTTTCTTTTTTTTTATAAGAAATTAGCCAACAAATAATTTTTGAATTCATTTCATGATTAATATTATTTCGTAATGTAATTATTTCGTTGTATCGTTTTTAGTTTTGCGAGTTTTTGAAAAAAAAAATTTTTTTTTCGTGCATTATCCATTTTATTATGTTAAATTAAATTTTAATAATTATTTAATTAAGAATTATTGTATTTTTCAGTTCACTGCAGATTAATGTTTAATTTCAAATTTAAAAAATGATCGCCAATTTGGAAATTTTCTGTGGCATAATAGTAGTACTCATTGCGTTCTATTATTATATAACGGCTCGAAACAATTTTTGGAAAATTCGTGGTATACCTGGACCAGAGCCTCTACCTGGATTCGGCAATGTCTTGATGATAGTTTTAGGGAAGGAAGCGCCTTATCAATTTTTAAAGAGGGTGTACAATGAATATAAAAACGAAGCTTTGATCGGAGTATTTATGAAAACATATCCTGCCTTGATTGTCAAAGATCCCGATCTTATCAAGGATATCATGATTAAAGATTTTTGCAAGTTTCCTAATAGAGGATTTCCAAAAAGTGATCCAGTTAGTATGAACACGAATAAATATTTATAATTTATTTGTTTATTAATTGCATATTTTCATTTTTCTACATTTTTCGTTTAAAAAAAAGTTTGTTTTTTATAAATTCATCGAATTATCAAATTTTGATATTTCATTTTTAAAACAAATTTTTAAAACAACATTTTTAAAAAAAATTTATTTATCAAATAAATAATAGAAGAATAAATAGTGATTTCAATTCCTTATGGAATATAAATGAAAAGTCTTTCGTGTAATTTCGTATACATATTTTTAGACAATAATTAGAAATATAATTTGATTAACTTTTTGAAATACAAATCCTATATTAATTCTTTAAATATTTTCTATTATATCTATTTCTCTTAACGTGTATTATTCTAAATTTTAAATTTCTCGTTTATATTCGTAATAGGTAGATCCACTGAGCCAGCATCTCTTCTTAGTGGAGGCAGAGAAATGGCGGCCATTAAGAACCCAACTATCTCCAGTGTTCTCAACGGGTAAACTGAAAGGAACATTCGCTCAAATTCTTGATTGTTCCAATCATTTTGTGACTTATATGGACAAATTGGTGAAAATGGGAGAGCCGATCGACGTGCGAGAAGTTACCGCCAAATTTACCACGGACGTAATTGGAAGTTGCGTGTTCGGCATCAAGATGAACTCGTTGTCGGAAAAGGAGAGCGAATTTCGTCGATTCGGAAGACAAATTTTTGCTACGAATTTCTTAAAGATGTTGAGACTCAGGATAAAACAATTCTTGCCGATGCTTCACTATTTACTCGTTCGTATATTACCAGCGGATCAAGAAACGAAAATAATGTTGAAGTTAACTAAAGACACGTTTAAATTTAGAGAGACGCACAATATTGTCAGACCGGATTTCATGAATATACTTATGGATCTCAAGAAACATCCTGAAAAGGTTCCTACTCTTGGTTAGTATTTTTAAAATTGATAAATCTTTACACACGAATGAATGTACGAACAATTGGTAAGCGCAATTGATGCTACAAATTACTACGTTCTAGATTGAAACTTTTAATGGAAAAGTACTGTTTATAACTTTTTTTATAATTTTTGAGCTTCATCATTCAATTATTTCTTCAGAATTATAATTCTTCTTATATTATTAGAATAGAATTAGCATTTGGAAAAAATGATTGGACAAATACTCAAAATACGTTTAACAATTTTTTAACATAATATTCAGTACTTCTAATATCCATTTTTCCTATCCTTATTAGATTTGACAGATGGTTTGTTAGCCGCGCAAGCATTCATTTTCTTTGCTGCTGGTTTTGAGACCTCCTCGACGACAGTAGCTAATACCCTTTATGAATTAGCTTTGAATCCTGATATCCAAGAAAAATTGCGACAAGAAATTAAGGAATTTGAGGCGAATAACAATGGAGAGTGGAAATACGAAACTATACAAGAAATGAAATATTTAGATAAAACATTTAAAGGTAGGTAATTAACTTGGAATTAAATATAAAACGATAATTATATTCAGTATTTAGAAATTTCTTGTATTTAGATGTAAAAATTTCATCTAGATACAATATTTTTTGTTTCAATATTTTCTGCAAAAAATGGCATAACACAAAAGTCATATGATTTTATGAGAAATCTATACTTCCATTCTTATAAGAATTACATTACAATTCAAAATTGAAATTTTATTTTAAAACATTTTTAAACATTCGACTTCAGATGTTCAAAAATTTTAAAAATAATTTCTCGTACTAAAAAATAAGATAAAATCAGGAATAAAAAAAAAGAAAAAATTGTGTTCTCAATTTCTTCTATTTTTTTAATTATTGGAATAAATGGATAACGAAAATATTTCTAAGTAAATCTCCATGTACGAAAAAATGTAGGAATTGAAGTAATATAGTGATCTTCAAACTTAATGAAATAAAGGCTTATTTCCATGATCCAATCATTAAATCTTTATAGCTAATCGCCATTATCATTTATACATCTATTCAACGTTATGTTGATCATGTATATTAAAAATTGTAGAAAACAAATTTCACATAACGTTGAAAAGCAAACTACATTGTGTTTCTTGCTGTTTTAATTATCCTACGTTTCGTTCATGCTAAAAAATATATCTCCATTAATTTTCAATTGTCAATAATTAAAATTAGAAATTTATTCATTGTTTCATTTTGCTGCGTTCATTTAAATGTTTATGATAATATGTATGTCATATTTTAAGGTCAAAACGCATTAAAGACATTCCATTATCTATATTATCTTCATAGTAACTTCATTTTTATTTGATTTACAGAAACGCTAAGAAAGTATCCAGTATTGCCATATTTGAGCAGAAGGGCAGTCGAGGATTATACTTTCGAAGGCACTAAAGTATCGATTCCCAAAGACACATTGATCTGTATACCAATTTATCCTATTCACCACGATTCAAGTATCTATCCAAATCCAGGAAAGTTCGATCCTGAAAGATTTTCGGAGGATGAGGTAAAGAAAAGGCATTCCATGCATTATTTCCCTTTTGGACACGGACCTAGAAATTGTATCGGTATGTATCGATTTTAATAGAGACATATTGTACATTGTACACAAATTTTGTAGATATTTGCATTTTTTTTACATAATTAAAATTACATAAAATTATATTTTTAATAATAGTAAAAGAAAATTAATTAAAATTCTGATAGAGAAACTTTAAAAATAAATATAAGATACATGTTTAAGAAATTTTTCATAATTAAAAAAAATTAGAGTGCATGCATTTATAAAATTATATTTTATTATATTTAAATATATATTTAATAAATATTATTTGACATTTAAATTAATTTGTATATATTTCGTTCCAGGTTTGCGATTTGCGACTTACCAATCAAAAATTGGACTAATTAAAATCCTTTCTAATTACAAAATTGATATTTGTGATAAAACAGTAATTCCTTATAAATATAATCCATTTTCATTCATTTCGTTACCATTAGGTGGTATATTCTTAAAGATAACCAAATTAGAGAATTGATACAATGTTCCTTTAAATTGATAGAATTGTTTAATGTTACGATATACATATTGTATATTATAAACATTATAAACATATTATATATATTTATGATATATATATTATATATATATATAATTATTGAGATATATGTAATTATTACAGTCATTGTTAATTGTGTTATAATGATATTTTGGCAAGGTTAAGATGATAAAATTGGCAAGCATTATTTTTTTTCTTCTTCTTTTAATTTTTAAATTTCTTTCTCTTCCTATAACATATTCCTACAAATAACACATAATATGTAAATTTTATAAAATAGATATTTATTTAATACGAGAGAAATCTAATAATGGTTAAATAATAAAATTATACAATATAGTTATAAGTGTCAAAAAATTTAATAAGTGATTTTTCAAACTAGAATCAAAAAACAAAAATTTGAAATGAATCAGATATTTCAAACTCGAAATACTAAGTGATGAAAGAAGAAATGGATTGTTAAAATTTAATCGGAAAATTTTATTATTTAACCGTTATTAGATTTCTCTCATATTAAATAAATATAAAAAAATGTTTAATAATTAGAAAAATAGTATGTACATTTGAATCTAAATATTTTAAAAAAAGATTGTACGTATCTAGAAAAGAAAATTTTATATTATTATATTTATTTAACATTTAGTATATTTTATATTTAATATATTCATTTTTTTTCTTTTTTTTTTTGATACATAAATCTAAAATCTAATTTAAAACATATAAATACTACTATTACTATATTATTACATGCTATTTTATTATATATATTATGTAATTTATAAATACATATATGTAATTACTTTGTATACGTGTCTGATTTTTTTCTTATACTTTTTTAATAAAACATTAATTAATCTATGTTTATATAATATTTTTCTTTATTAAGGTAATTAAGACGATATTTATAAACATTTATTATCATTCATCAGATTATTTTCTTAGTATATATTTATGAATAATTTTTTTTTCATGCAAACGTAACTGCTTGATTATAATATACGTTTTATGCAATTGCAATTTATTAATAGCATTTATGTTGCTACTTATATTCAAATTCGAAATAAAATCACATCTCTCAAATGTCTCTTTCTTAACATTATATTTAGATAAATATTTGCTATAAATATTTTTATGCACAAGTGTTTATCTTTTTCGCGATTGGTTTTGAAATTTTCTTAATCAATATCTTGTATGAATTAGCTTAAATCAAGATATACTAAGATATACTTAAAGAAATTAAAAGAAAAAATAAAGAAGATATGATACTATAAGATAAATGATATACTTGAACAAAATATTTAAAGATAAGAATCATATTATTCCATTGTAAAAAAAAAAGAAAATTAATATTAAATCTTTTAATATTAATTTAAAATTAATTTTTTAAAATATTATGATAAATATAGGATAAATATAGGTTAATAATATTCGTGGGATATTTTTAAAAGCAATTTTAGAAGCCAAAGTAAACATAAAAATATCGATTGAGCCATATTTATTAAGTTATAAGTAGTTTAAGTTTGCGTTAGATGGAGCGAGATATTAGAGTAAGAATATTATTTTTGTTACATCGTTGCATCACATCGTCGCGCTTCATGTCATTCTATTTCTATTTCGCTTCATCTAAAACTTTGCTAATAACTTAATAAATAAACTTTAATATATTTTTATTTACCAATTTTTATGTTTGTTTTGGTTTCTAGAATCGATCCTTTAAAGAGAAATTGAATACATTATTTTCTATATAGAAATATTAAGAAAATATTTATTTCTAATTAACTGCATTTTTCAAAATATGAAATTATCATTGTCAAAGAAAATGAATTTATGGATATCTGCATGCTATTCACGATAATCGAAATATCTACTCTGATTCAATGAAATTTGATCTCGAAAGATTTACAGAGGAGAATATGAAAACAAGAAATTCCATGATATTTTTTAATTTTTGATGATCCAAAAAATTACATAGTATGAATAAAATAATTCAACACTCTTTTAAGCTCCAGGCAGTATAATTTAAAATTAAAATAATTGAATAGAAAACTTTCTAGTAATTATTTTTTTTATATATAATTTTTTTATATAAATTTTATTTTCTTTTTTATATAATTGTTAAATAAACTGTAACTCAAAAACAATTTAAACTCAGTTAAGAATTGCTTTTTGATTAAATTATTAAAAAATTATTAAAAATCCATTCCATTTCAATTTAATAATTTCATTTTCAATATCGTAATACTGGATTGAACTTTTTTTTTCTTTTTTTTTTTTTTTAAATCATTATCATCTTATATTATTTGTTTCAGGCATTCGTAAATTATCAAATGAAAATTGGATTAATAATGATACTGCATAATTATACAGTTCATCTTTAAAAAAACAAAAAATCCATGAGATTGACCCATGAAAAATCCATTTTCATTCATAATGTGCCCGAAAGATGGATTATACTTAAAAATAACTAAAGACAAGAAATAACGAAAAAATTTAAATTAAAAAATGATTGAGATTCTCTTTTCTTCTATTCTGTACTTGTTATTTATCTGTTACCTGTTACTCTATTATTCTGTTATTCAATTATTCTGAAAAATGTTAATTTATTTTATAAATGATTTTTTCAAATATTTTAATTGACAAATTTTGAAATATTAAAAATAATAAATTGAGGATTATTTCTTAAATATCAAGTTACATTTTTTTTCCATTTTTTTATATATTGTATTGACAAGAAACAATAATAAATAAATTAAAGAGAAATAAAAAAAATTTTTTTAAATTTTTTTGAATATTTGTACATCTGTTTTTGTTAAGCGGAAATAAATGCTTAATACGGAACAAGGATTAATTTAAATTGATATTTACAATGTAGACACCCATTTAATTTAATCATTTATCTTTTTTATTACATCATCATTCTCTAAAACAAGAGTAATCTCGTGATATTTATTCTGTAGTATCAGTTGACGTTCGACCGTGATACATAATAAATCTCAGGCAGAAATTTTTCTTTTATCTCACAAAGACTGGACAATTTGTAATAATTTTGTTTCAATAGATCAGTGCATATAAGTGCGTAAAGAATTAGTTTTTATGTCCTTATATAATCCTTATATTTCAAACATTTGTGCAGCAAATAATTACTTTTTTATATTTTTCATAAATAACTATTCAAAAAATTTAACATGTTATTTATAATATGCAACTGAATAATTAAAAAAAAGAATAATTAAAAAAAAATTATTAACAATTATTAACAATTGAAAAATTAATCATGCATTTTTCCAAGAAATTCTACAAAAATTATTATTATCTTTAGATAATAGATTTTATCTATTTAAATATATATATTAAATATATATATTTATATTATATTTAAATATATATTTATATTAAATATATTATATTATAATATATATATATATATTTTATATTAAATATATATTAATTATATTATATTTAAATATATATATTATATCACTTTTCTAGTTTACAATATTATATTACAATATTATTTCAATATCGAAACTAAGTTTCAAATAAAAAAAAAAGGAAAAATATAATAATTAAATCTATCGTCAGATGACAAAATCTAATTATCCATTTTTTCGTAAAAATTGAAATATAATTCCTTTTCAAAATGATATTTATTTATTATTTATTATTTTTTGATAAATAATTTAATAATACTTAATAAATATTTAATAAATATTTATTGAATCTATCTATCTTCTTCTAATATTTAGTTTGCCGATATGATAATATATTTAATCTAATTAATATATAAATTATTATATTATAAATAATTATATAAGAAATACAAAATAATAATTCTTATCACATTTTTTTATATTAATCATAACCAATATACTTACAGTAATGATATATTTGTAATATGAAATATCATATTTAAAATATCTATATAATATAATTTAATACGAAAATTATTTTATATATATAATTATTTATTAGTGTTAGAAAAAATAAGTTACACAATAGGGATAAGATAAGATATAAGTTATGATATATAAGATATATGAATATTATATTTCATAATTATTCAGTAGTATTTAAATATATAAATTTCACTTTTGCTTTCTTTGATTTTTATTTCGAATATTTCGATCATTATATATATGATACTATTTAACTCATCCAGAATTTTTTCAAAATTTTTGAAAACTTGAAAAAATTTGAGATGATCAAAATGAAAAAATATTACGATATTTATAAAAAGAAAGGATTAAATTCGTCAAATAATATACCAATCAAAATAATTAAAACTTTATTTATTTTAAATAATAAACAATTTGATGATAAAATGTTCTAGTAATATAACACAGCAATTACGTTCTTCATAGATACCAATTGTTCAATGTCACTGAAAATTGACTTCATTGCTACTTCATTTATTTCTTAAACGTCTCAACGATCATTGAAGATATTTCATTTTTGAAGTGAAATTAAAATTTATTTTGATTTCCTCCATAAAAAACCGATAGTTATATTACATATCGGAAAAAGTTATGAAGAAGTGACGATATATTTCATTGTAATTCATCGAACGAAGAAAAAATTTAAAATAAACGATATCGATAAATTTTATAATGTGGTTCAAGGACAATCCTCTATTAATAAAAATGATTATCAGATACTTATATCATCAATTGTTTTTTAGATATTTATCCAATGTATTATGTTGATATTTATTACAATTTAAATTTATTATTCCAACTTTTTTTTGATATACATGATCCAATCACGAACTTAATACGAATTAATACAGAATTTTCAAATATATATATATATTATAATAAAAAGTTATATAAAAAGCTAGCATAAACGTACTTTAATTAATAAAATTTTATTTACACAGGATATTTGAAACATGGATTTTTTCCAAATTTTTTGCGCCATTTGCATAATGCTTCTTGCCATCTATTACTATTATACTTCAATTTACAACTATTGGAAAGTTCGTGGAATACCTGGACCAGAACCAACTATCATCACTGGCAATTTTATGGAAGTTTTCCTCAAAAAAATATCGATAAACGATAAATTGAAATTTTTATACAATAAATACAAGAATGAGCCAATGTTCGGAATATTCGAAGGATCCTCGCCTATTCTTGTTCTTAATGATTTAGATCTGATCAAAGATGTTCTCATCAAGGATTTTTCTATATTTTCTAACCGAGGTTTTCGCATATTTCCAAAGGTATTATATTATATTGAAATTTTTCATCACATAATTCATAATTTTTCATTGATTTTTCATAATTCTCTGCTTTTATCTAGCAATTACATTATTATTGCATATGTATTATTGCTTATTCACGAGAATGTTCGAATAACTTGTAAAAAAGGCATAATTAAAGTAAGCTATTTGATCACGAAGTTAATATATTTTAAACGATTAAACGATTGATTGTAACAGTTATCTTATCATTTTATTTGTTGAAAAATATATTTTTCATTAAACAATTAATTTTTGAGAAAAAGAATCTTTTATTTTTCTAAGGCGGAACCATTGGGAGAGCATCTGTTCGCTTTGGAGACTGAAAGATGGCGGCCGATGAGAGCGAAACTCTCACCGATATTCACCTCTGGCAAGCTAAAGGAGATGTTCCCACTTATCATAGAATGCTCTAAAAATATGGAGCCATATTTAGACAAAATAGCAGAGAGGGGGAAATATATAGAATGCCGTGATCTGGCTGCGAAATTTACAACTGACGTGATCGGTAGCTGCGCTTTTGGGATCGACATGAATTCTATATCGGACAAGGACAGCGAATTTCGTATAATCGGCAGAAAATTATTCACACCCACCTTTAAAACAATAGTCAGGGATGTCTGCAGGCAATTTTTGCCAGAATTGTATGATGTAATTGGTCACAAGCTCCAAGTGGAAGAAGTAAATGAATTTTTGATGAATTTAATCAAGGACACGATTAATTACAGAAAAGAGAATAAAATAGTTAGACCCGATTTTGTTAATACATTGATAGAGCTTAAAGATCATCCAGAGAAATTAGAGAGTATAAGTATGTCGTTTAAAATCAATTTTTTTTTTAAATAATTAAAAATAAATTTGATACAATATTATCAATGATTTTCAATGAATTTCAATCTATTTTTTTTTTTTTTTTTTTTTACAGAACTGACAGATTCCATGATTGCTTCGCAAGCTTTTGTCTTCTTTGTTGCTGGTTTCGAAACTTCTTCATCTACGATATCTCATGCTCTTTACGAATTGGCTCAGAATCAGGAAATCCAAGATAAGCTACGTGAAGAAATCAGAGAAGTTTATGAAAAACATGGAGAATTGACGTATGATGTAATTAAAAACATGAAATATTTGGACAAGATTTTCAAAGGTAAAGAAAATTACATAAAATTAGATTCTTTTTATTAAATTAATTATTAAATTATCGTTGTAGAAAACATTTCATTTCATTATAAGTACATTTTTCTAACAAAATACTCATTCTTTCATGAATAGAAACTTTAAGGAAGTATCCAATAATGGCAATGCTAACCAGGGAAGCAGAGGAAAATTATACATTTAAGGGCACTAAAGTTACTATCGAAAAAGGTATAAAAGTGTGGATACTGCCATATGGAATTCAAAATGATCCAAATATATATCCAAATCCTGATATTTTCGATCCCGAAAGATTCAGTGAAGAAGCTGTAGCTGCCAGGCATCCTATGAGTTATTTACCTTTTGGCGATGGACCAAGAAATTGCATTGGTACGAAAATAAGATAATAAACCGATATTAATCCCCAGAATTATTTTTCTAATTTTTAATTATCATTTTTAGGTGCACGTTTTGCACAATTTCAAAGCAAAATTGGTATTATAACAATTGTCCGTAATTATAAAATTGATGTTTGCGAGCAAACTAAAATTCCATATGAAAGTGATCCATTTCAATTTTTGTTAGCACTGAAAGGAGGTATCAACCTAAAAATAAATAAAATATAAAATTAATATAAGTATTATGCATGTATATATTAACAGTAAAAGTTATTCAATATATATTATATTAACTAAAGCTTATAAAGTTTAAAAGATAATTTTGAGATTAAAACTTATAAAAATGTTTCAGTATTACATACAAATTTTTAAGTATATTATATAATTATTGTTACAACAAGAATCAGCACTATAATTATTAAACTAATTGAAATAATCATTAAATTAAATTAAATTAAATTCAAATTTAAGTAATTATAGTGATTTTTTTATTCATATCACTAAAAGTATATAATTATTTTTAAAATAAGATTAATATTAAAAATATAGTATAAGTATTAAGTTTTTTTTTGAAATGTATATGTTAAAATATTTTGAATCTTTAAAAAATAATAGAACCTAATATATAAATAATATCAAAATATATAATGTATAAAAATAACAATTTTGAAATATCTTTCTATATGATAATACAATGTACAAAATCATATTAGAAAACATATCATAAAACAAAGATATCATAATTCCAATAATGTTACTTATTAACATCTAATCTTATAAAATCTAGTTTAATTTTGATTACATATGAATCTTAATGTTATTAAGGCAGCAATTATTTTCTTAAATAATATTTTCTTTATAATTTACGAATCCGATAATAATCAAAAAATTGATGATTTTTCAAAAAAATTTAATTTTTAAATTTGATTTCTTGTTTAATTTTATTATTAAAAATATGATATTATTAGAAATATTATAAAATGTTTAAATAATTGTTAATTAAAATTACATTGCTAGAATATTTTATAAATAAAAATATTTTCTTTTCTTATTCTAAAACAAAAGTATAACATTATTTATTTAAATGTTTAACAAAAATATTTTATATCATAAGATTTACTTTTTTAAATCTTTAGATACCAAATATATTTAAAAATATTTTAAATAAAATATAGTTATATACAATTAAACCAACAAAACGTACGTTGAAGTACAGCTACAATTAAATTATTATAAATTTAAATTTAAAAAATAATATAAAATTAAACTATTTTAAAACAAAACTTACATAATATTAGTAATTTACTATGAAAGATTAAAAATCACATGTAAATACATATATAAATACATATTTACTTACTATAAATATCTCTATAATATAGAAATAATATAAAAACTTATTTACTTCGAATCCAAGTTCAAGTAATCCTTTGATCATGATTCATGCGCAATCTATCGGCGTCTACAAGTATTATATGATTTATGATGGTACAAATTAGGAAATAAAAAAATAAACTTTAAAAATAAAAAATAAATTCTTTCATATCTTTCTATTTTTTCTTGATTATACTATCAATTATGAAAATACTCTGTTTTAATATTTATTTTATTTATTTATCTTATTTTTATGTTTTTTCTATTAATTTTTTTTTTTATAGAATTAATTGTTTCTGATTTACATTATTCTCTTCTTGTCTTATACTTAAGTATAATATAAACACATCACACAAGATTATACGTATAAATTTACATGTACGATACAAAATGCGCATTTATCAATGTAAATAATAACATAGTTATGAAATATGATATATCTTAAGATTTTTATCGATATATCATGATTATGCAATACTTACGATATAATTACAATAAGAAATATATATAAATCTAATGATTTATTTAATTTAGAAAATTAAAACCAATTATAAATTTTCATTAAAAAAAAAAAGAGAAAATAATAAATCACATTCTAATAAAGGAATAAAATATGATTTTAATTTGATTTTGATGAAATTATTTTTAAATAATATAATGATAATTTACAGGATTAATTAAAATACAATTTATCACATATAGAAATAGAATTTAAAGAAATTATTTAAGAAAAATTTTTTTGTTCTTTTTGTTTTTCGATATAAATATTATTATATTATTGAATAATATCACAGTTCATTCTTATGTAATATATTCATAAGTATATCTTCGATAAGTATATCTACAAAACTGTTTGTAAATTATATATTTTTTATTTGAACTAAATTTTTTGAATTAAATTTGAACTAGTTTTTTATGCTTTAGATACTTTATTCTAAAAATAAATTTATTATTGAAAAAAAAAAATTTTTTATAATCTGGGGATAAAATAAAATCGCAAATTTTTATCGAAAACTTATCATATTATCGATTGATGATTAAATATATTAAGAATACATATCGTCAAAAACAGAAATTTGCCAATGTCATTACAAAAAAGATACTTAAAAATACTTACATTGTTTTAATAAAAAAAAATTCTATATCTAATTCTATATCTAATTCTAAACTCTGATATAAAAAAATATGAAGATATAAAAGGAATGCAAGAATTTTGAAAATATTTTGGATCACACTATTAGAAAAATATATATACTGATTTTATTGAGCTCAGGAATTTTCTAAGATTATAGACATATATATTTATGTTCTTAATGCATTATAGGAAAAAGATTAGTGATATTTGTAAGATAGATAATAACAATTATACAAGTCATGGACAATGATTATTAACATCAAGTCGAGATTTACTTCTCAATTATATAGCAATTATTACGCAGCAGTTTTTATTCAATTTCTCGTAAACAATAAATTTATCATAAAACACAGCTATTATATGAATGATAAGTAAAATTTATTTCCCGCAAATTGTATTCATCGAATTCATTAATATATATGTATCGTTATGTTAAATGCTGATATTATATTTTTATTTTATTTTTCTTTCTTGAATTTATAGAATAATTATTTGCTGCAGAAAAGATACGTAACAGATATATACACGAATGTTCTCATGTAAACATTACTCTACAGATCCATCTTTTTTGGATACAAACGAAAATAATATCGATAATAATAATTATAATAATTTAATTCGTTTTAAATTGTTTAAAAATTAGAATAAAATGTATATATATATGTTTATATGAATATATGTATTTATCTAGAATTCAGAATTTTACTGAAAATAGAGGTCGCTATCATCGTCGTTGGCTACATCAAGGACATTGACTATATATAATCTGACTCATATTAATGTAACCAATTGGAAGAAAACTTATCATTAGTCTCTATCTGACGTTCAGTCGTGAAAGACATCTCAAATAGATCTGAGACTTTTTTAAAATTTCATTTTTTTTTGTTATAAATATCTCTTCAAGTGAGTATATTTTGAATTGTAAATAAAGTACTACTTCTATAAATGTATTATTATTAATTATTGATATAGATTAATTAAGAAATTCAAAAAAAAAATGATGCAAAATTTTTAAGTTAATGAAATTGTATATAAACATTAAGGTAGCGTTCATAACGGAATAAATTAAAGAAATCTTTAAATATGAATAATATTTAAAGATTATTTAAATATGATCTTTTTTCTTTTATTAATTTTGTTTTCAAATAATATATATTTGTCATATCATTTATTCATTTTAATTAATTCTGTTCTTTAATAATTTTAAAATTTTCAAAAATACAATAAATAAAATAGTAAAATGAAATAAAATAATTTTTAATTTCTTTCATCGTGTAAATGAATGATGATATAAATGAAATAAAATTGTATCAAAAAGTCATTTCAATGAGATTACATGTTTATGAGCATATAAAAATTATTTAAGATATATTACATAAAATCAATTCTAAATTAAAATTTTTTTTATTTTAATTATTTATCTCTTAAATATTCATTAAGTAAATAAATAAACTCATAAATAAATAAATTGATATTGAAATAAAAAATAATTTTTCTTCTTTTGAATTAATATTAAAATAATATTAATTTAAAAAATTTTTTTTTAATTTTTTAATTCTCATTCTTGCTTATATATTTGCAATGATCAACTTCATATTTAAACTTACATACTATTATATATATTATTAAAATTACTGTATTAATTGATTTTTATTATTATTATGGAATAGAGGAAAATTGATATAACATGGATTACTTCCAAATTCTCTGCGCCATAAGCATGGTGATTCTCACGATTTACTATTATTATTCATCAAAATATGCTTTTTGGAAAAATCGTGGTATATCTGGACCAAAACCTACAATATTTTTTGGCAATTTTGCGAATTCCGTGATAAAAAAAAGGTCAATATCTGAAACTGTTAAAAAGTGGTACGACGATTATAAACATGAATCAGTTTCTGGGATATTCGAAGGAATGACTCCAGTTCTTATCGTTAACGATTTAGATATGATAAAGGATGTTCTCATCAGAGATTTTTCATTATTTGTGGATCGAGGATTTCATATTTTTCCGAAGGTATTTCAAAATTTCAATTCATAGAATTTTTATATCCCCAAATAAGTATCTGATTTTTATAACAGTAATAAATTAATGTCATTAAAAAAATTTAAGTTTGATTTTCACAATTATAAGAAAAAACTTTTTTTAAAAAAATTTAGTTTAAAATATACTTAAATTTTATGTTAATTCTTTTTTTTTTTGTAAATAGATAGAACCATTGACGCAACATCTCTTCTTGTTGGAAGCTGAAAGATGGCGACCAATGCGAATGAAACTTTCACCGATATTCACATCCGGAAAACTGAAAGAGATGTTCTCCCTTATAGTGGAAAGCGCGGGAAATTTAGAGAAATATTTGGACGATGTGATAAAAAAGAACGAAATAGTGGAATGCCGTGATTTAGCTGCAAAATTTACGACCGACGTTATCGGCAGCTGCGCTTTTGGGATTAACACAAATTCCCTTTTGGATGAGGATAGTGAATTTCGTAGAATGGGCAAAAAGATTTTTTCACCTACTTTGAAATTGATGATTGGAAATACTTGTAAAGTACTTTTTCCATCTTTGTACGAAGTAATCGGTAATATGTTTACAATGAAAGACGTCGATGAATTTTTTATAAATTTGGTCAGTGATACAATGAAATATAGAAAGGATAACAATATAATTCGATCAGATTTTATTAATATGCTCATGCAACTGAAAGAACATCCAGAGAAAATGGACAATATTGGTAAGTATGTATTAATATAAATTCGTCAAAGAAGAATCTTTGAAGAATCGATTCTAGAAATTAAAAACTGATATGTAAAATTGATATTTATGTATATCAACTTTTGTGATTGTCTTCGTTTCTAAAATAGAGAATAATTGTAAAGTATATTCTAGTATTATCAAGTATTATCGATTCAAAATCAAATTCCATCACACATTCTAGATTCTAAATAATTATTGTGTATACTGTGTGGAAATATCAAACTTAATTAACAATAATGAAAATAATTATTTATTATAATATCACAAAATTTAATAGCAATAGGTTCGTGTCAAAAAATTTATAGTATCCACATTTTATTATATTTTACAGAATTAACAGATACTTTGTTAACTGCGCAAGCAGTCGTCTTCTTCGTTGCCGGATTTGAAACTTCTTCATCGACGATGGCATTTAGTCTTTATGAGTTAGCTCAAAATCAAGAAATACAAGATAAATTACGGCAAGAAATTAGAAAAATGGACGAGAAAAATAACGGAGTATTGACATATACGGATATCAAAGAAATGAAATATTTGGATAAGGTATTTAAAGGTAATTTTAAGGTATTTTAATCTATTAAATCTATCTGAAAGAAAAAGACTTAAAAAAATTTTTTTAAGTAAATTCTATTCCCATTAAATTAAAAAATTATTTGTATATTTTGTATAAGTATATTTGAAATCAATTTGAATCGAATAAATATTAATATATTACAATTTAGCTTTTTCTTTACAGAAACCTTAAGGAAATATCCAATATTGTCGATGTTATCCAGAAAAGCGATGGAAAATTATACATTTAAAGGTACTAAAATTACAATACCAAAGGGCACGAAGTTATGGGTGCCAGTATATGGTATTCAACATGATCCAAATATTTATCCGAAACCTGAAGTATTCGATCCCGAAAGATTCGAGGATGATGCTGTCGCTGACAGACATCCTATGAGTTATTTGCCATTTGGCGATGGGCCAAGAAATTGCATCGGTATGTTTTTTAATCTATCCACATTAAATCGAACAATTTTCTTATTTTTATTATTATTGATTATATATCTCGTAAGATGACACATAATTTGTAATATTTATATGCAAATTAAATGCAATTTCGTAAATTTTAAAAATTGTTTTCAGGTGCTCGTTTTGCGCATTATCAAAGCAAAGTTGGTCTTACGACAATTCTTCGCAATCACAAAGTTAATGTTTGTGAAAAAACCACGATTCCCTTCAAATCTGATGAACGTAGCTTTTTATTGGCGTTAAAAGGAGGAGTGTACTTAAAAATAACTAAGATTTAATGTTATATATAAAAAATAATTATTATTATATAATAATATTCATTTTTTTATTAACTAAATAAGTATTTGATCTCAATTTCAAACTATAATATATACATTTTAAATATTAATTATTATTAATTCAAATATTAAATTATTATTTATAAATATAATTGTTATTATTTTTTAATTTTTTTAAAAATATTTTTTGTTTTTATTATGTATATAAAATTTTAATTCTTAATTAATATTGTTAATATATATATAATATGATCGATTTATAATAATTTATCATTTTAATAAAAAAATAATTTAAAAAAAATTACACCATGAATTTATAAAAATAATTGAAAAAACAATAATTATACTTATTTTTTTATATTATTTTATATATATTTGAATGTTTTATATTTTAATTAATTTTGTTTTTCTTAATTTTCTTTATTTCCTTATTCTTATTCTTATCTTTTCAGTTCCTTTCAATTATTTTTTTATTTATATAATAATATAGAATATAATATTAAAAGAATAATTAAATATTAAAAAATAATTTATCAATTATATTATATATTTACATTATATTATATAGATACAATATGAATGAACGTTTCAAGTACATATTAGTTCGTCTAGTCTCGTCCTTTCTGTCTTCACCACTAGAGGGACAAATGCATGAACGTCTTCTCACAAATATTAACTTGTCTGAATTTCTATATAATAGTCTTAGCGTGTGTAGAACCTAGTATTATTTATCTTGGAGTAAGTTAGGAGATATTGAACATTGTAATAAGTTAAATATTTATTAATGGTTATTTTGTAGTATTTTTTTATTTTTTATTTGTTTATATTTTTTAATGTTATTTGTAATATTTTTTGTATTTTTTTTTAATGTTCTATAGTATATTTAATGTTTTTGTATTATGAAATAATTCATAAGTAATAAACGATTAATGTTTATTATGAAAAAAAAAATAAACAAAGAAAGATACAAAGAGTTTTTTTACTATTTTCATCTCTAAAAGTTAAAAGTTTTTAAAATTTTTAAATGATCACGTAGAAGGTCACTAATGACTAATAAAACAATTAATCTCCTTTATGCGATAGTTGAATATGTATGAATTAAGATGGATTGCGATTGAAACTATGTGTAAAAAAATATGTGGCAAGATTGCAACTAATCAAATCTGTATTTTTTAATCTTACGTTTTCTTTCCAGTTTTATATCCAGAATTGTATATAGACTACAAATGTATAATCTTCTGACAAATTAATGGTAAATATCTTTCTTCTTCCTATCATTACATTCAATTTTAATATGAAAGATTATAAATCACTAATATTAATCTATAAATAATATCATTAACTTAATCGATTTAATAATTGAAAAATTAAGATCTAGTTAAGTTAAGTAAATAATTTTTTGCACAGTTTATCTTACACTTATTTATATAATCAAACTAATATTTATATAGGAAAGCTAAATTAATATGATAAATTATAAATTTATGGATTCTACTTCTTATTTAACTAAATTAGTTTAACGAAATACAATTACTTTTTTAGTTTTTATGAATATATTTAATTTATGAATATAAAATTCAGTTTATTTATTTTTTGAATATGATTGAAAATAATATTACAAAAATACATTGTAAAAATTTACAAAAATAAGATATTCTTTTTTATATAAAAAAGTGAGTTTTTTTATTAGTGTAAAATATTTTTTTTTATTTTTAAAAAATAAAATAATAGTTATACTAAATATTGAACTAAAATTGAATTGAAAATATAAGTGATATATAAAAATATATATCAATCAAAAATATTCTCTATAGCGATTGGTATATAATAAAATTCTTAGAAATTAAAGAAAAAATAAAAGATATTATACACAAAAAAACAAAAAATACTATATCGAATTATAAATTTATTCCAACTCTCTGATGTAAATTTTCTTAAATTAAAAAAGAATATTGGCCAATTGATCTCAAATGAAGTAGAGAAATTTTCTTCAATGGAAAAGCCATCATTATATAAAGGATTCTCTATAGATTCTACATTATTATATCAATTTATATAAAAGTTTTATTTATTGATATATTTAACTAATTAATAATTTAACACTAAAACCCATATCTCTCTGTAATCTTATTAAATAAATATAATAAGTATCAATATTTGATTTGTCATGTAGTACAAGTGGGAATTAGAAAAAAATAAAAAAGAAAACAGATCATAATTGATATAACTGAATACGAGTATTTTATTTTATCGCGAAATCACCAACTCAGCAGAATCGTTTTATATTTCATCGTAGCAGGATCTCGAAATAAAAGAAATTGATCTCTCCATTTAAAGAAATTGTAACAATTACGTTATTGTGATTTTATTTTTATTCTGAGATAAGTTAGTTATTTACATAATTAGTTATTTAATTTAACAAAAATTTTTCGAAAAATTAATTGGATAATAACGTTTGTTTTTTTTTATTTCAATGAAAGTCGAATGTTATTTTAATTGAACGTATATATTGTACATATTTTATGCATCTACTCATTATTTATTATTCTTTACAAATCAGCACCTATACAAGCAAAATTTAAAAAAATATTAACGACTTTTTCAATCACGAGAATTGAGATTTGACTAATTGATCTTTTATAATTTATTTTATTATTGTATTTATTTAGAAAGTTTGATACAATATGGATTATTTTCAACTTCTCTGCACCATTGGAGCGTTATTGTTCGCGATTTATTATTACTTCACTTTAACCTTTGACACATGGAAGAATCGTGGCATACCTGGACCAAAACCTATGATCTTTTTTGGTAATTTCCAAGAAGTTATCTTCAAAAAAATATCACTGGCCGAAAAAACAAAACAATTATATCAAGAATACAAAAACGAGTTAGTTTTTGGAGTATTTCAAGGAAGATCTCCTATTCTTGTTGTTAACGATTTGGATATGATCAAGGATGTTCTCATCAGAGATTTCAGCTTATTCGCGGATCGAGGAATTCATGTAAATCCTAAGGTATTCATAATTTTATTATTATAAAATAGATATATATAAATCCTAAGGTATTCCTATATACATATAGGAATTCAATTTTTTCAAGAATATCAGAATATTCGTGCACTTTGTAAATTATGCACGAGATAAAAAAAATTTAATCGCATAAAATAATTTAAAATAAAATGAAGAAAGATAAAAACTTGGGATAATTTAATTTAAAGGTAGAACCAATATTTCAAACTCTCTTCGCATTGGAATCTAAAACATGGCGACCATTGAGAACGAAACTCTCTCCAGTATTTACATCAGGCAAATTAAAGGATATGTTCCCTCTTATACTGGATTGCGCAAAAAATTTAGAGGAATACGTGGAAAAAGTAAGAAAGAGCGGAGAACCGGTGGACTGTCGTGATATGGCTGCAAAATTCACGACCGACGTAATTGGCAGCTGCGCGTTCGGAGTGTGCATGAATTCTCTTTCGCCCGAAGGAAGCGAATTTCGTCGAATGGGGGAAGAACTTGGCAAATTCAGCTTCAAACGCTTAGCCAGAGATTTTACCAGGCTATATATGCCATTTTTGTTCGATATAATTGGTGGTTACTTACAATCGCACGAAATTAACAACTTCTTTATAAATCTGATCCGTGACTCGATCAAATACAGACAGGAGAATAACGTATTCAGGCCAGATTTTGTCAACACGTTGAAAGAACTAAAGGAACATCCAGAAAAATTAGAAAATATTGGTAAGTACGTTAAAAATCTAAAGGAAAAAATCTTGAAAATGTAATTTTTTTGTTTATTTCCATATTTCCATATTAATGCGAGAAAAATTAATATTGTCGGTTATTTAAAAATAAAGATGAACGTAATGAATATTTATATTTTTAAAACGTTTTATTGAAATGAACATCTATTGTTGAATTTTTGATTATTCAAATTTTATTATGACTTTAAATCGTATATTTTCCAATTTATAGTCGATTTGAAAAATATGCAATAAATTATATATATGTAATTATATTAATATGTAATATTAATTGTAAATTTGTAACATCAAATATTTTATAGAATTAACCGATGCGCTTCTCACTTCGCAAGCACTCGTCTTCTTCCTCGCTGGATTTGAAACATCTTCGACAACCATTTCGAATGCTCTCTACGAGTTAGCTCAAAATCAGGAAATGCAAGATAAATTACGAGAAGAAATAAAAGAAGTTTGCAAGAATAATGACGGAGCATTTTCATATACAGATGTGAAAGAAATGAAGTATTTGGACAAGGTGTTTAAAGGTGTGTAAACAGTCTTAAATTGTATTAATTGTATTATTAATTATTTTTTAAAATAATCTGGTTAAAATAGAAAATAATTCAAGTAAACTAAACATTAATAATAATAAATAAATTATTGATGATATATTTGATATTTATAAAGATATGGATACCAGAATATTTATTTTTGTAATTATTTATTACATCACATATATAGAAATATAATATTAATATAATATAATATAATATATAAAAATATATAATATTAATATATAGAAACTTTATAGATGAAATTAATGTTATAACAATAAACAAATATTAATATCCTAACAGAAACATTGAGAAAGTATCCAGTATTGTCGGTACTAAGCAGACAAGCGATGGAAAATTATACGTTTAAAGATACTAAAATTAAAATATCGAAGGGGACAAAGATATGGATACCAGTATATGGAATTCAACATGATCCAAATATTTATCCGGAACCTGAAGTATTCGATCCCGAAAGATTTGAGGATGATGCTGTCGCTAACAGACATCCTATGAGTTATTTGCCATTTGGCGATGGACCAAGAAATTGTATCGGTATGTTTTTTAATCTATACACATTAAATCGAACAATTTTGTTACTTTTATTATTATTGATTATATATCTCGTCAGATGATACATAATTTGTAATATTTATATGCAAATTAAATGCAATTTCCGACAATTTCATAAACTTTAATAATTGTTTTAAAATTATTTTCAGGTGCTCGTTTTGCGCATTATCAAAGCAAGATAGGTCTTATCACGATTCTGCGTGATCATAAAGTTGAAGTTTGCGCGAAAACATTGATACCGTATAAATCCGAACCGCGAAATATCTTGATGATACCAAAAGGAGGAAAAATAGAGTTGAAAATAACGAAAGTTTAATTATTAACATATTCTATATTTATTTTAATTTTTATGTTTTTTTAATATTTTTTAATATTTTTATGCTATTAATATTTTATTATATTTTATTTATATTTTAATGTTTAGTTTTGGAAAGAGATATTTTTTAAAAAAAATGTTCAACAAAAAATATTTTTACAATCTAATTGGGAGATATTAATTCGCATAATTAATATTAAAACAAATGTTTGTATTTTTCATCTCGTTTTGTATTTGCTAGAAAGTTCTTAGAAAAAAATCTTTTTCGAAAAATAAGTAGAAATATATAAATCACTATAAGTCTATTTCGTATAATTTTTATATAAATTATATAATACTAATAATTATAATATAATATACTAATTATTACTAAACTTATATAATTAACATTATAATTATATATATATAGAGAGAGAGAGAAAAAAAATAAGAAAAATATATTTTGTAATTTTTATAAAATATATTGATAATATTGTACGTTGATATGCCTCATATGATTTCGATACAACAAATTATAATACAATTATAAAAATAATAAGTCTTTATAAAATAAGATATACGACATAATATTTCACATAATTTAAATGTAACATAAAACAATTATTTTATTAAACAATAAATAACAATACATAAATATAATTATTTTTTAGAATTTTAAATTATTTTGTATTTTTTTATTAAGTTTTATAATTTTTTTAAATTGACTTTTAAAATAAAAAATTAAATATTGTGAAAAATTACAAATTTGTATTAAGCAATGCAAAACAACGAGAAAATATATATATATTAAAATGAATTTAATTTATTAATTCACAATTTATATTTTTAATGAATTTAAATAATAAAATAAATATATATATTATATAATAATATGTAATAAAGATTAATATATCTAGTTCAAATGTTACATAATCTATTTATCAAGTCATATTTACTTTTATAATTATTTATTACATCACATATAGAAATTTATAATATTAATATATAAAAATATAATATTAATATAATATAATATAATATATAGAAATATAATAATGTAATATTAATGTAATATTAATAATGTAATATAAATGTAATATTAATACATAGAAATTTTGTCAGATTATAAAATAAGAATAAAAAATAGGATAAGTATTTCTCATTCTTGAAATCTTATCGAAATACTTATCAATAACTTAGTAGAATTTCAATAGATCAGTGTTTGAAATTGGAATAATAAGATATAGAATGTTCTATGTAGAAATATAGAATTTAGTAAATAATATTTCCGAAAATTCATGTGCGTTTTCTTGATAACAAATTTAATGAGCGTCATAAGACCATTCTATGATTACATCTTTTTTATTTTTTTAAAAACAGATAAAATATGCAAATATTATTATGAAATATGTGTGAATATTGAGAAATTTTTTAATTATCTCAATTCAATAATCAAAACATTATTTAAAATATGACGAATATTTTTTTCATCATGATTCATCATGATTCATTCCTGCATTTAATCATAGATTTTTTTATTTTTAATTTTAATTCTCCACTTTAACAACATATTAATATAATAAATCATTTCGAATAATATTATTCTTGCGAAATTAAACTTTGATATTCAAATTAAAAATTTAAACATTGAATAACAATGACAAAAATATAGTATAACCAACACAACTTTTATTCATTCTAGAACCCTTTATCAATTATTAATAATTGGGCTATTTTGCAATTCTATGAAGCCTCATTGCATTGGTTCTGGCTTTTTATTATTATCTATACATTTATCTTCAATTTTTGAAAAAATTCTGCAGTTGTTGGACAAAAACATTCCCCTTTACGGATTTCATGCTCTTGAAAAAATTGGAATTTATATTTATATATCTAAAGAAGTTTTATGATATATTTATAAACAACTCAATAATAGGAGAGAAGATCATCTACTCTCATTCTGAAAAATCCAAAAATTGATAATAAGATCAAGAACATGATAGAACAAAAAAAATACATTCATAATCCTATATTATAAATGTAAGCTTTCCTGTAATAAAGATAAAACGTACACTATCTGTGTTTGTATTATTCTATTATAACAATATAAATTGTATGTGTCTACACAGATGAAACAAATATCGATACATCTTCTCGATTTGAAACCAACAAGACGGCGTCCTCACAACAAAACTCATATTGTTCTCATCCGAAAGATTAAAAGATATATCTAATTCTCGAATGTTCGAGAAAAAAGTAAATAAAATAAAGCCGAAAAGAAAGAGCTCATTTATATTCGCGAGATAACGCGAAATATACGAATAAACGCGAATAAACGATGGATATGATTGGAAATGAGCGCTTCGTCGAACGAAGAGAGCCAATGTTAATCAAGTCGATAAATAAAGTTTGGCATGAGTTTAGAAAATATAATACGCCTAAAACTCGAAAAAATAGAGATCGAATTTGTATCATTTGTTGTTGGGTTATAACACGGCCAACATGAAATTTCTACCTACATTTTTCATCAAAATTGTCACGAACACCATGAATTACAGAAAAAAGGAATACAAGGTTGACTTTATCAACATGCTGATGGAACTTTGTGACAAAGATATCGATAAGTTTATAGTAAAATTAGTATTTGTTAAACGTAACAAATTTTATGGGATATTTTATAAGAATAATGTGAAGGAAAAATATAAAGAAAAATAAAATATCAGAAGTTGGAATGGTTCGATTTTATAATTAATACAATTGAATTATTTATCTTTGATTTAACAAAGACACTATCTATAATTGCGTAAGTAATTTTCTTATTTTCTTCTGTTCGAAAATAATCGTTATTCATCAATACATATAAGCAATGCTCTTTACGCATGAATTAGAATATTCAATGAATATTGAAAATGAATTAAGCGAGGCACGAGAACATAGTGTCAAACACAATGGGGAATCGAAGTATTAAAATATTAAAAAAATACTTGGAATAGTTGAACAAAATACTTTGAAAGATAATAATTTTTATTTCTAACTTAATTGATTATTAAGTCGAAATATTATTAAAATAAATAAAAATTTATCACAATGCATGTGATATGATAGATTATCAAGACTAATTTGTTTTTCGTTGTGTCGCATGCACGATTATTTTATAAAAAAAATAGTTAATCGATATGAGTAATGTAAGTTCGATATAAGATTGTTTTTAAATAATAATAGACTATATATATATTACATTGTGCTAATTTTCTTTTCTTTAAATTTTGCGAAAATTATTATATAACGAAATTAATATAATTCAACATCATGTGCTGTTGCTGAAAAATATGTCATTTAATTTATTTTCGCAGAAACAACAACGAAATATCCACCAATAAAGTAAAAAGAAAATCAATTTTCGAATACACATTTAGAATTAATGTATGTACGATTCATCGTGATCCTTATATTTATCCAGATGCTGACAAGTTTAATTGAAAATTTCATTCAAGAAGCGATTGAAGCTCGATATCTAATATAAAATGCACTATTTGTCATTTAGTGACGAATCAAGAAATTGTATCGATATGTATTATTATATATATATTTTTCTATTGTTTTTATATGTATATATTTTTATTTAAAGATTATCAAAATTATCGAAGGAAAAGAAAAAAAATATATATATTTTTAATTTGATATCGCTTTCATAAATTGAATATATTATTTTTACAGGATTTTTTATCGTAAAGTCAAATTTTTTATATAAAAAAAAATAGATATAAGCTTGCTTATTAATTTGTCGTTAATAAATCATCATAAGAAATTGTTGTAATTTATTTGTTGTTATTTTTATTAATCATTATAACATTTTTATTAATCATAGAAAAAGAATTTATGTAATTAATTAATGATAGATAAATTAAATTATATTATATTGAACATATTTACAGAAGAATAGAAGAAGAATTTATAGAAGAATAATTCGTAAAAAAATTACATTTTTACTTTTTGTTATTTTCAAAATTATTTCTCTTATTGGAATCTGCAAAATGCATGTATGTGTACAAAATTCATAGAGAATCATAGTTTTCTTTAAGATTGATTTAATCGCAATTAGATTAAATATTAAATAAGAAGAGAATAACTAAATAATAATAAAATTTATATTTTTTAAATTCTAATTTTATTACATATTCTAAATTTTTTCATATGTTCTAAATTTCATTCTAAATTTTATTACATATGTTATTTCCTTTTGTAATTCCTATTGATAATAAATAATATAATAGAATGATAAAATTTGTAGATAATATGTCAATAATCAAATTTTCGAAATGCAGGAAGTACGTATGCAATTGACGCGTGCAATTTATATTTTTGCAAAATGATGTTTAAAAGCTTAATTACGTTTTAGTAAAATATATTTGTTTTTTATTAATATTCAAGATTTAAGAAAAATGTTTGATATTTTGCATTAATCTATCAAATATAATAAATATTGATTCTGAATTATCAACAATTATTATATAATTATAGTTTATTTTATTGTGATTAGCTTTATTTATTCAATATGTTATCGAAGCGTTCAAATATGTTATAAAGAAAGATAATTTTAATAACATATTAACAAATGTGTATTTTGAAATTATTTTAAAAATAAATTAATTACATCATTAAATTTTCCTCTTATATATCTACGACATGTGATGAGGAAAATTGTAAAATATGATAATTATATGAAATACATTTATTTGTATCTTCTTTATGGTTGTATGCAAATGTTATTTGTGCAAATAATTGTAATAAAAACATGTATATCTTTTTGTTTTATTCCATGATATATTATCTATTGTTTTCTTGGCTTACAAGTTTCCATATTGTTCTATAGCATATTTCCTTATTATGTCGAATCCCTGTTTATCAACGGAGCCGTTTATATCAAAGCTAATAAACTTTGAAATTGTTAATAAATTTAATTCGTGATGTCAACCATTATTAATATTTTGTATGACATTGCACATTGCTTTTTCTTCTTCGTTACAGGGCAGATTCATCTTTTCATATAATAAATTATTATAATGCATATTTTTACAATAATGTATATAAATACTCAAAAAAAAATGAAAAATCTATTAATTTATCATTTGAAAAATATAAGAAAAATGTATTTTTAATTAATAAGAATATTAGGAATTATTATTATATTAAGATCATGAGTTTTCCATTATTATTATATGAAACATTATTATTATTATTATTATTATTATTATTATTATTATTATTATTATTATTATTATTATTATTATTATTATTATTATTATTATTATTATTATTATTATTATTATTATTATTATTAGTAGTAGTAGTAGTAGTAGTAGTAGTAGTAGTAGTAGTAGTAGTAGTAGTAGTAGTAGTAGTAGTAGTAGTAGTAGTAGTAGTAGTAGTAGTAGTAGTAGTAGTAGTAGTAGTAGTAGTAGTAGTAGTAGTAGTAGTAGTAGTAGTAGTAGTAGTAGTATTATTATTATTATTAACATTATTATTATATGAAAAATTAAACCACTGAATGAATAAAAAAAATAATAATAAAAAATAACAATATGTATTGAAAAAAAATTATGAATTCGTTTAAAATTAGAAATAAAATATGAAATGCATTATTAATAAAAAATAATTTTTATCACCTTAATTGCTTGAAACATGATATGGAATATCATAATCAATATTAAATCTTCATAAAAAAATTTTCATTTTTTACCATAAATTTATTAAATTTATTAAACGTTTAAATATTTTTGTAAAACGAAAAATATGCTGTAATGTTATTTAATTTTTAATATTATTTTATTATATCAATTTTATTAATTGAACAAATTATACATATCTGTAAAATATCTTTTTAAAGTTAAAATTAAGCATGCATTATTATATATTCGAATTCTTTTGCAAATACTATATTTTATAAAAATTTCGTGAAATTCATAAAGTTCTATGAAAACTTTTATGAAATTACGTACATTTTTCTAAATTAAAAATTTTAGATTAAAAGTATGTAATTGATATAAAAAATTAACGATAACAAGTTTGATGTCATGATTTATCTAATTACGTAAATAAATATAAAAATAATTATTATATATAATAATTATTATTTAGAAAAATGCATTTATTAATGATATTTCAACAAATCGATTAAACATAAATATTTTTAGCAAAAAAAAAAAAAGTTGAGCTAGCTCCATTCATTGTTAAAATATTAAAAAATATCCAGAAAGATATTACCATGATGTATTTTATATATTTCCTTAATAATTAATTAATAAAAACAAGTAACAAGAAAAGTATCGATAACAATTAATAACAGTAGATAATTTTTTAATTTGCAAAAGAATATATTTCAAATAAAATATAAGAAATTTGTGCAATCGTTAACTTATAAGAAAATCATGTAGATAATATCGAAATTAGGGAACCAAGATTTATATAAAAGAAATTGATTACCTATTGAATGATGATACCTATAAATTAAATGATATCTTCAAAATATAAATATATATATATGTATATATTTTTACATGCATCAAATGAATATGAAGTCTATATTTTTCTATATTTTATATATTATTTTTTCTAAATTCTTCAGATGTATAAAAGATTCAGAAGCGAAATCGTAATTAATGTGTCATGTTAAAGAAAGTGAAGATATTATCCTACGTAAGCCGAGAATTCAGAGAATCGATTGATATTGGTTGTATACCAAATACTTCATACGTCATTAAATCATTTTAAATTAGATCTGAATTGCACAAGGAAGTAAACTTCGAAATGAAGATATAGAAGATTGAAAGAATACGTTATTTTTAAAACAAATTGAACTTCATCATAAAAAATGTCAATCGAGATATATGCACAATATATAAGAAAGGGGAAATAAGAAAATAATTACATTATATAGAAGAACATCTTATAAGAAATGTATGTATCAATGAAGTGTGGATTATATTAGCGAAGCGTGAAGTGTAATTTATATATCAAAAAGTTATACGAGAATAGATAAAAAGTTTGTAAGTCAATGTCTGTTATAATTATTAGAAATATATATTTTAATCCATTTTAAATTTCTATTTGCTTGTCCAATTCATTGATATTACTTTATACTTTATTTATTTATTTATTACTTGTTACAATTCTTTCTTCCTTTTTTCTCTTCGAAAAACTAATTTGAATTTTTAAAAAAAAATTTATCAATGACATAATGCGAATTATGTTTAAAGTATTTTTTTTTTTTTTTAAAGAAAATTCTAATTTTTTTTTTTAAAGGATGATTTTATTCCTTAAAAATTGAATGTTGCTACGAACGAAAAATAAGATTACATTGATTGTACGAAATTTCATTTTCTTTAATTCTTAGTTCCCTTGATTTCCCTTAGTTCATTCTTTAAACATTATATCGAATAATAATACCAAGCTTTGTATTTATTTTAATTTCTAGAGTCGACCGTTTAAAAATATATTAACATTTTAACACAGTGATTAAAAAAAGGAACTGATGAGAAAATAATGGCCTACATTGAAATCTTATGCGGAATCATCGTGTCGCTCTTGGCTTTCTATTATTATTTCATATCGGCTTTCAATTTTTGGAAAAATCGTGGAATCCCTGGACCAAAGCCAAAATTTTTATTTGGAAACATTATGGACATCATATTGTCAAGAATTTCAACACCTATGTTTATTAAAAACATCTACGATACGTATACGAACGAGTCTATGGTCGGATTGTACATGGGACGAAATCCTATTCTATTTCTAAAAGATCCGGAACTAATCAAGGATGTATTGATCAGGGATTTTTCGAAATTCGCAGATCGAGGATTTAATGTTCATGAAAAGGTAGAGATTTAATCACAATTTAAATAAAAACAACGACAAATTGTGTAATATATATGTATTGATTTCTCAAAAATGATTGATTATATAAAAAAATTGAAAATTTCAATTATACGATAAATTTTGTTCACAGGTAGAACCATTGTCGCAGCATCTTTTCAACCTGGAGCCAAAAAGATGGCGTCCGTTGAGATCGAAGCTATCCCCGATGTTCACATTGAAAAAATTGAAAGAAATGTTCAATCTGATCCTCGAGTGTGGCCGCCATTTTGAAAAATATCTGGACGAGCTTGCGGCGCAACGAGAGCCCGTCGATTTTCGCGAGGTAGCAGCAAAATACACGACAGACGTGATCGGTTCGTGCGCCTTCGGAATCAACATGAACGCTATGTCGAACGAGGAGAGCGAATTTCGAGAAGCTGGTAAAAAAATCTTTGAACCCACTTGGAACTCTGTAATACGATTGAAATTCAAAATGACCATGCCAGCGTTCTACGATTTCTTGGGTCCTCTTATACCTGAAAGGGAAGTTACTCCGTTTTTCATCAAGGTCGTCACGGATACCGTGAAGTACAGGAAAGAGAATAACGTGTTCAGGCCCGACTTTATCGATATGTTGATGAAACTTCGCGATGAACCAGAAAGCTTGAGAAATATCGGTAATAATCTTATAACTATTCACCTATAAACTTACTGCAACATTTTTCGAATGATAACCTATTCTATGAATATAAACTTATACAAAGTGAATTATAAATTCGTAGAATTGACCGATGCTTTCCTAACTGCGCAAGCATACGTTTTCTTCGCCGCTGGTTTTGAAACTGGAGCGTCGACGATTAGTAATACGCTTTACGAATTGGCACAAAATCAGAAAATACAAAACAAGCTGAGGGAAGAGATTCGGGAACATTACGATAAATACAAGGGAGAGTTAATATACGAGAATATTAAAGAGATGAAATACTTGGACAAAGTGTTTAAAGGTAGCTGTAATTGATTTTCAGAAATATAACGAGTAATTTCGTTCTCGAGATCATATTTAGATTTTATTAAATTTTGTCACGTATACAATTTATATACATGTATATAAAATGACAAATAAGAATGATTTTTACTTAAAAAATAATTAAAGGAATCAAAATTCTCTGTTATTATTTTTTGATTATTGTATTAATTTATTTTTACAGAAACATTAAGGAAATATCCACCAGGAACTTTAATACCAAGAAGATCAGTATCTGATTACACTTTCAGAAACAATGTTACTATACCGAAAGGTACAATGATATGGATTCCTGCATTCCCGATTCATCGTGATGCCAACATTTATCCAAATCCTGACGATTTCAATCCCGAAAATTTCACCGAAGATGCTATTAATAATCGTCATCCCATGAATTATTTAGCCTTTAGCAATGGACCAAGAAATTGCATCGGTATCTTTTATTCAATTTTTAATTCTAATCTTCTTTATATTCAATATTCTTTATATTCGTTTCAAAAATAAAAAAAAATTATATTAAAATTATTATTTATTTAAAAAAAAATTTTACCACATATTCATTAAATTTCAACCATTAAATTCAGAAAAAATGAGTTCCAGGTGAAAAAATTTATGTAATTTTTGTTTTCTAGGTGCACGCTTTGCTAATTATCAAGTCAAAGTCGGTTTAATTATGATTCTTCGTAGTTACAAAGTGGAAGTTTGCGAGAAAACTATGATTCCCTACCAATTCGATCCAAATTTATTTCTATTAGGTCCCAAAGGAGGAATATATTTAAAAATAACGAAAGTAGAAAGTTAAAGTTGTATTATATTTTTATATAAACAACAGATTTTAGTTTCTATTGCTTTGACCAAATAGTTTTTCTGTAAAAAGAGATAATACGCATATTAATTTTTAAGACTTGAGGAATAAATGAGTTATACAATATTATATCATTTAAATATTACTTTGTTAATTATAAATTATATATGTGTAATATTATTTAAATTTAAATTATTGTGTATATATAATTATTATTTATTTATTATGAGATTATATTTTTAATATTTTATAAAAATAAAATAATTTTTTTATAACGATTTAAAACAGAATTTGCTATGTTTATCTATCTTAACTGTTTATCTCTCTGTCTGGAATTCGAGTTAATTAATTTTAATTTAAATATCGTTAATATTGTTATAATATCGTTATAATATTAAATAAATTAAATAAATTTAATTATATTAATTTAAATATATTCTAGGGTTTAATTAAAATAATGACCAACTTATAATATAATATATTATTTATTAAATGTAATATTATTAAAAACATTATTTCGAAAATATTCACAATTTCGAAAACGATTTCGAGTGTGTTTTTAAAAAAGTCAACAATATTTTTCAAAAAATTAATTTTTAATAAATGTGCACGATTATATTATAAGGATTTACTCAAAAACATATATTCTCTAATTACAAATCAAACGGAAAATATGAAAGGAATATAAAGCAGAGCTATAGAATTATGATGTTATAAAAAATATTCATGAAACTACATCGAATTGAATAAACAGGATGAATTTTTATCGAAATTAATTAGATACCGAATTAGATTAATTAGATACGCCTATAAGAGATGTAATGTCATATTTGATATACGATGTAAAAAATTAAACCGATAAAAATTATTTGAACAATATAAACAAAAATTTATTAATGGAATCGTAATAAAACTTAATTACAATTTCATATTGAAAAGAATTGAGGAGAAAAAGTATATAAGTCATGTAAATCAATTGCCTATTTCTAATATCAATGAACGGAAACAAGCAATACGATAGTTATATAAATATGTATATGTATATGTATATATATATATATATTAGAAAGAAATCTATTAAGGATATCCAAGGTCAAGCAAATACAAAAGTTAATATAGAAAAATGCCAATTGATAATTAATTAATTAATTTATTAATTATTAATTTATTTATTAATTAATTTAATAAATTTAATTAATAATTATTAAATATTAATTAATTTAATAAAGTTAAAAAAACAAGTAAAAATTTGGATTAGATAAAGCAAGATAAGGTTGTTATCGTTGCCCTATTGCTAAAGCCAAATTATCTCATTTCATTAAGGAAAAATTGTTTATAACCACATGAAATCTCTATTAATATTTTTTTATACCGTTATTTATGTTTATGTATTTATGTTTATTTTAATATTTATAATTGGCTTTCTAAACATATAACAACAACAAATATTTCAATACTAACTAATTATATATTTCACAATGTATTTATGTATGTATATATATATCATTCTAGCTAATTATCTAATAAAATTTTATTATAAAATTACTAATTACTAATTACTATAAAATTAAAATTTATTTATGTTTTATATATATATATATATATATCTTTGAATAATAAATAAAATAATTTTTGTCCAAGTTTATTTAATTTGAAGACTACATCAAATAAATATATAATATTTGCATAAATTTTCATAGATTAATAAATAATATTTCATTAATATTTACAATTATAGAAATAATAATAACAACAATATAGAATATTTTTTATAAATCTGTTACATAAAAAATATTTGAGTATGTTTTCAAGTTTTTTTATATTTATTTTTTTTCGCCAATTTACTTTTGCTTTTATTTTAGTCAATTTTTTCTATCTTCAAGAAAATTCCATCTCTAGGTGCCAATGTAAGTGAATTTATCTTCTTTACATAAGGAATCATCGTCCTTTCGCAAACGTTTACTCTGAAATTTTGTAACATTTTTATCAATCCAACTTTTGTTTGATAAACGGCAAACCGTGCTCCTGAAACGATAATTTAATCATTAATTAAATTCATTAATATATAAAAAAAATACTATTTTAAATCGTAAGACTGATAATTATTCACTATATCGTAATCACACATTTCATTCACACACACACACAAAATATTTTGGTATTTTTCTTTACCAATGCAATTCCTTGGTCCATCACCAAATGGTAGATAGGTCATTGGATGCCTTGCAGCTACTGCATCTTCGTTAAATCTTTCAGGATCAAACACGTCTGGATTTTCATAGAATTTTGGATCTATTTGAATTGCATACAAAGGAATAATTACAGAAGTTCCAGCAGGTATCGATATTTTTGTATCATGGAAGGTATAATTAGAGTTGCATTTTCGTCTTAGAAGCATTCCTGGTGGATATTTTCTAAGTGTTTCTGTTTAAAAAGAAGAATATAAGTATAATTTTATCTTAATAATATTGTCTTAAAATAGCAATTGTTATCTTATTTCAATTGTGATTGTTAATCTTTGCAGATATTTCAATTATTTTAATTATTACATAATAATATATTTACTTATTTGCAAAATCATGTGAAATATTACTTATATATCGTTATATTGAAAATGAATTTAATCGATAAATATGACAAATGAATTTAATCGATAAAAATATAATCGATAATAATATAATAAAAATGAATTAAATATAATATACCTCTAAATACTTTGTCCAAATATTTCATTTCTTTGATATCCTCGTATTTCAGATTCCCATTATTTTTGGCATGGAATTCTTTCATTTCTTTTCGTAGTTTATCTTGTATATTAGGATTCAGAGCCATTTCGTAAAGAGCGTGTGCCATTGTCGTCGACGATGTTTCAAATCCAGCCGCGAAGAAAACGGAAGCTTGCGCGGCAAGTAAAGTATCCGTTATTTCTGTAAAATTTCGATATAAAATTGTAGATACCTTCAAGAGATTTATAATCTTTTTTCAAATTCTATTTAAATTCTATGTTACTATGAATTCAATTTGTAAAATGATTCGACCACAAATTTTATCAATTTATTTTTCGAGATAAAAATATAGATTTAAATATAAATTTAAAATCAGAATTATTTTATTTACTAATATTCTTTAATTTTTCCGGATGCTTCTTCAATTCCATCAATAAATTTACAAAATCTGGTCTCACGACATTATTCTCTTCCCTATATTTGATCGTTCCCTTGATTAGCTTGGTCATGAATACAGTTGATTCCGTATACGGTAATACGAAGCCAAGTAAATTATAGAAACGTGGAAAGAAATCTCGAAGAAAATTCCTTACAAATTTGATCATATTTTGATCAAAGATATTTTTCCCCATTCTACGGAATTCACTACGCTCGTCTGATAACGCGTTCATATTGATTCCAAAAGCGCAACTTCCGATAACATCTGTGGTGTATCTCGCTGGTATTTCGAAACAATCCACAGGCCCTCCTCTTTTCACAACATCCTCTAAACATTGTTCCAAGTGTTCAGCGCATTCCAATATCAACGGAAACATTTCCTTCAGTTTACCAGAAGTAAATACCGGTGACAATCTCATTCTTAATGGTCGCCATCTTGTAGCGTCTACACTGAACAAATTTACTGAGAAAGGCTCGACCTGTGATAATTTGAAATTAAACTGATAACATTTTAAGAAATGTAAAAATTTATTATTTTAATATATATATTTTATGTATATATGGGAAATGTAAAATAGCTCATTCAATTCGATTATCGGTGAATGTATTCTTTGAAAGTGATTATTGATGTTTACTTTTACTATATATATATATTGCATAAAATGTGTACATATATATATTTGTCGAGTAATTTTTGATCAAGACTAAGTCCAAAAAAATTACTCGAAAATTCATAAAAATTAAAGCAAATGAATTATATACATTTATCAAAAGATTATTTTTTTTTAAGCTGCTATCTTTTTTTTCCAAATAATCTTCATGCACAATAGAACTTTGTATAATTAATAAAAATTAATAAGAAAATATATAATTCTCTAAATAAATATTAATTATTATTGTGAAATATATCAACTGTGACAGACATATTTAATTGTCTTTTAGCATAAGAAATTGATAAAACTTTAACTTTTTTTTAAATATTTCGAAACGCAGAGTTAAGAAAGAGACAGAATCGCAGATAAAAAAAAGTATACGTACTCGTTCGGGAATATTTAATCCTCGATTATCAAATATAGAGAAATCTTTAATTAAAACATCCTTGATGAGATCAAGATCGCGCAAAACGAGATTAGGCGATCTGCTGATGAATATCCCGAACATTGCCTCGTTGTCGTATCTCTTATAGAGTTCCGTTATGAAGCTGCCAATTCCAATTTTTCTTAGCAGAACATCTTTGGCGTTTCCAAAAAATGGTATAGGTCTGGGTCCAATCACGCCACGATTTTTCCAAAAATCAAATTTCGACGTGAAATAATAATATAAAACGAGAAAAACCGCGACGAATGCGGTTAATATTTGAAAATAATCGAGCATGTCGATGATATAGATGAAACGAAAATCCGGTTTTAAAGTAAGTGTTCACTCGTCTGTTACAATGTGGAATGACGAGATGAGAGTACAATTGATGTTCTCAACTTGAACCGACGACGAAGTTTCAGATTGATTAAATTTCTCATACTATTATATATTTATGTGAATGATTCAATTTTTAGATTTTTACGTCGCAATAACGATGCATCATTTTGCATGATTTTGCATTTTCTCGAAGAAAAAGCAAATAATGACATTAATTATTTTTATATACTGATAATGATATTTTGTTATTACATTAATTTTTAAAGTTATAGTCTACTCGTCAAAATTGTTTTTAGAATTTACAAAAATATATAGATTTTGATTATTAAAATAAATTTTAACTTGTTTTCGTTTTTTAATCAGGGTTTATGTTTATATTTATTTGATTTGAATAGTAATTTAGTTTTAATTAACTCTAACTATAAATTAATAAATTATAAAATCTTAATTAAGATAAATTTTCTAACTTAAAATTAATAATTTTTTTAACATTACATAATCGATATTATAGATAAATGATATAATGGTACATTTTATCAGAAATTACAGTCAGAGATTTCATATCTATATCAAATTGTCTAGATGCCTTAAACAAAATTTTTTAGTGAATCATTATCTCGATAATAAAATAACTAAGTTAAATAATACTTATAAAATATAAAAGTTTTTTAAGAGAGAAACTCATCTTATACAAAATATTATACAAAATAATATGCTATAATATCTACTTGTGCATTAAAAAATATATAATTGTTTTATTTAAAACAAAAATTGATCTTTCATATGACTTATCCGCATCCAGTTGTAAAAAAAGTAATTGAATCATATAACATACTTTTTGTCTCAAAAATTTTTTGATATTCTCTGTTTTTTAATTATTTTTTCTTCCATCCTTCTTTTTTAGGAATTGATCGCTAGCGCCATCTGTTGATCAAAATTTCTTCAAAAACACTTAAGAGATGGCGTTGATTCTCATCCTATTACTCATGTGTTATCACTCTATCTTGTTGATTTTTATCTTGCCTTATCGTATTCTTATATTTATTTTAACATATGTATATTATCTGTTAGTTTAGCTATAAATTTTTTGAGATTAAATTAATCACAATTCTTTATTTATTTCTCTCTGTTTTGATTTTAATCCTCTGAATAAATTAATTCTCTTTTTCTTAGAATGTACAAACGAATTAATAAATAACGCTTTAATAAATAAATAAAAATATAATATTTTTCTAAGAAAAATTTTCTTTTATGTTAGTTATTATAATAGAATTTATTCTAGTAATATTATCATTTTAAATTGTATTCCTATTTTTATCTTCAAATATATATTTTTATGTATGTTTCTTTCTTCAAATGTTTATGTTTCTTTTCTGATGCATTTGAATGAATAAATTATATAGCAATTAGCATAATACAAATGAACGTATTTATTCAACATTTATCATTTAGTATAGTGCAAATGAAAATTCACACATATTTCTTATATACTAATATTGATAATTAAATTTACATTTAGGTTTTCCTATGAAATTCGTCGTGAAATTATTATGCTGTGAATCATATTATTACCATTATATTATCAGATATTATCGGATAATATTAAAAATCATCAAACTTAATCAGAATATATCATATTTACAAAATACAATAATCATATTTAAGCATAGATAAATCGATTAATTTATGCTTATTTTTTAATACTTTTTCTTGATATAGAAATTATTCAAATTTATAAGAATAAATAAAATAAAAAAATAATCGTTAATAATTAGATTCAAAATAAATTTTTATTATTATTTTTTTTAATTATTATTATTATTAATTACTTCCTTTGTCAAATTATGGTATACATTTTCGAAAAAAATAAAATAAAACTAAAATTAAATATAAAAAAAATATTAAATTCATTTTATTATTACAATATAACTAAATATAAATAATTTTAGTGTAGTCTAAATTTAGCTTTGTTGAGATTTAGCTTTGTTGAACGTTTTTTCGCGACTTATTTTATATTTTTCAATTAATCGACCCTCACGATGAAGTTTTATCTTATCTATATAAAGTGATTATGAGTTATATAAAGAAATTTATAGGAATTTCCTCTTTCTGTCAAGATATTTAATTCCATATACGTTTGTAATATTATCTAATTATTAGAATGAATCTAATTATTAGCGTTTCTTAAAAACGTTATCAAAAGTATTTCTCTTTAATTTATTAAATGTATCTTGAATATATTCAATCAATTCATCAATTATGGTTGGCGAAGCTTCGTGTTGTAATGATTGAATAGAATTAAAAAACCCCAAATCGAGAACGTTTAAATCAGAATTGTTTAGTGATTATGAGTTAAATTGAATATTCCATCAGTAGAATCTGCAGCAACAATTATAATATTTTTATCATTATCAAAGGAATTTTTCAATTTTATTAATAGCACCATATTCTGATTTTTTTTTTTGTTCTTCGTATACCGTAATAACTGTTACAAGATACCATGATGTTGTTCATTAGTCAATTGTTTCGATTGATGCAATGATTGTTTCATTCATCTCTTCTTTGTAAATTCATGTTATTTGGGTTAAAATTTTTCATTTTGAAATTACAGCGGTGACTATTTTATTTTTCTTAGAAAAACTAATTTTTGGTTTTCAAATTTCAATTTAATTCAAAAGCAATGACTATCAAATATGTTAGGTTATTTTGCTATCAATGTAAACAATACCAATACCAATATCAATAATGAGTATTGCCAGTTGCTTTCGAAACTCTAGATAATCTAAGATTTTTTTTCGAATATCATATTTTCAGACAGACGGAATAATATTATTTATTATATTAATTTGACAAATAAATCTTTATATAAAAAATATTAACGTTCGTAAGAAATAAATTCTAAAAATAAAGAAAAACAAAATATATGTATTAAAATATATGTAATTAAAATGATTTATTTTATGTATATGATATACTATAATCTATAAATACAATTATATCTTATACATTATAAAAAATAATGTTTTGAAATAAAATATATTCTGTTTCAAAAAAAAACAATTGGATAAATTTGATATAGTTAATTCCTTCGAAAATAGATTTGTAAAAGACATATGGAGTTAATTATACATTCTCAATGTATTGATAGATGCAGTTATTCTTTATAAATATATATAATATTTATAAAGATATATTATAATATTATTCTTTATAAATATAATAAAAGAAAAAATCATTATAAGAAATCGTTAGTTTAAAAGATTTTATTATAATCTAAATTTTAAAAGCTTATTGTATACAAGACAAGAAAAACATAAGTAAAAAAGTATAGTTTCATACTTTTTTATTAGATGGTATATTTTTATAGTTAATTGATATATTTTCTTTAATATATAACGAACGGAATAACAAGAAATTTTAAATATGTTATAAAATAATTTTTATATCATAATAATTTGATAATTTAATATCATCACCTATAGTATCTGTTTCCGCTATTCCGTGAAGTCAAATAAACCATTATCATCTCTTGCAAGTCATCATGAATATATTCAAAGACAGTTCAATATAAAGCTAGGATATCTTATACGCAATCAGTCTTTACAAATACATTCAAGCATGAATATCCTGTTGTATATTCGGTAAAGTGTTAAGTGTAAAAATCCGTGTTTATATCTACATATCAAACATATTTGTATATTTATATTTATACATTTATAATACAAATTAATACATATATTTGTATATTTATAACAAGCTTCATATTACAATTCGTAAGTTTAATTGTTATTGTTTTTATTTAAATATTGTTTTTATTTAATCTTCATTAGCTGAAATTAATACATAAATAAATTACAGAATGTTATAAAAAAAGTGTTATTTTCTCATTTCTAAATACTTTATATATAAAATAGAATAAATATTTATATAATTTTTTAATATTAATTTATAGAATTTTTTTTATTTATACATGAAATTTTATATCTTGCTTCGTTTTACAAGTGTGTGTTATTTTAATAATTATTTTCATAAAATTTTCACATGTTTCTTGTGTTATTCCCTGAATTTTTTAATTATTATTGTTTTTCAACTATTTAAATTATAATCAACTTATTTGCATTCTTTTTAACGTATGAAAGAAATCATTAAATTTATCAAATTAAATCCATTGAATCATTTAATTCATATCGTAAATTCTTATCGCAAATAGTAAACATATTTAAAAAAGGCTATTATTCTTATTATTCTTCTTTCTTATTATTATTCTTATCGCAGATAAATTATTAAAAAGCTAATTAATTAATTATTCAATTTATAAGAATACTCAATATGATAATTTTATGCAATGATAATATCTTATTTTTAGAATAATAGATTTTTGGAATAATAGATAGAATAAATGTATATATTATACGTTTTAATTATTATTCTTCATTATATATTATAATTTAATAATAATAAATTTAAATATTTAAATAAATTTTATTTTATTATAAATTTTTTGGAAATAATACACATCAAAGATATATTATTATATTATTTAATAAATTTACAATATTAATTTATAATTTTTTTATATAGAATATTCTATATTTTTTTATGTAATATATTAGTATATATTTATAATAAATTATATATCATATCAAATATATATTCTTATTATGAATATAACAAATTTTTTTTTAGATAGCATCAGTTAGTAGTCTACAAAAATTAATCTGAAATTATAAAGAAAAATGACGAGCAGTTTCGAAATTTTATGCGGCATTGCCGTATTGTTTCTTGCCCTCTATTACTATTTCACATCAACGTTTGATTTTTGGAAAAGTCGTGGAGTGGTTGGACCGAAACCTATACCATTTTTTGGCACTATGAAGGATTTGATATTGATTAGAAAATCGACGGCTCATTTCATCAAGGATATTTACGAGAATTACAAAAACGAACCAATGGTTGGTTTATACTCGAAAAGATCGCCTTTTCTTCTCTTAAATGATCCAGAACTCATCAAAGATATATTAATTAGAGATTTCTCCAAATTTGCAAATCGAGGATTGGGAGTTTTTGAAAAGGTAAGCGAAACTCATAAATCTCAATTGTCAAGTTAAATTTTATTTAAGTTAATTTTAATCAACATGATAACAAACAATGACATATACTTTTTTTTATCATATTCATAAATTATATGCATAGAGTAGAGAGGCGATATACAACTAGACAATGAGGAAGAGAAAAGAGGATAATAGAACAGAACAAAAAAATCAAAATTATATGATTATTATTGTAGCGAAAAAAATTTATCTTTAATTTTTTAGATTTAACGTATACTTTAAAATCTTTCACGATAATTTAACTTTTTTTTTTTTTTTCGATTAAATATCGATAGACGGAACCATTATCACCGCATCTATTAAACTTGGAAGTAGAAAGATGGCGACCATTGAGATCCAGGCTCTCCCCAATATTCACATCAGGAAAATTAAAAGAAATGTTCTATCTCATAATCGAGTGCTCGCTAAATTTAGAAACATATTTGGACAAGTTAATCGAAAAAAATGAGCCCATCGAGTGCCGTGAATTAACAGCAAGATTCACGACCGACGTGATCGGTTCTTGCGCGTTCGGTATCGATATGAGCTCGATGACGAACGAAAATAGCGAATTCCGTAGAATGGGTAGAGAAGTATTCGCTGTGAACTTAATAAACGTTATGCGGTTGAAGTTGAAACAATTCATGCCAAGACTGTACGATTTACTCGGTTATGTAATGCCTGACCGAACATTCGCACCATTCTTTACACGAGTTGTGATGGATACAATAAAGTACAGAAATGATAATAATATTGTTAGACCAGATTTCATCAACATGTTGATGGAGCTCAAGAAAAATCCGCACAAATTGGAAAATATCAGTAAGTTTTGTGAAAACTTTGTAATTTCATGTTTTTTGAAAAAAGTAATCTTTATATTTGAGAAAATTATTCTTTATTGTTTATGAAAAATAATAGCATATTTTTAAAATTATTGTTATAATTATTTTATCACACGTTATATTATATTCAAAATACGTATGCATAAGATGTTAATGAAATATCTTTGGATCGATTTTAAATATTAATTCTAAAAATTAGTATAGAAAAATATCGATTCAGCCTTATTTATTATATTATATGCAAATTTTATTCTAATTTAATTTTGCGTCCTATATTAACAAATACATTAACATTTTATATTTTCAAAACTTATTATCATAAATTTTTAACAAATATTTTATTCTATAATGGTTTATCTTTAAAAGTAATTTTTTGTTTTTTTGTTTTTAGAATTGACGGATTCACTAATCGCAGCACAAGCATTTGTATTCTTTCTTGCGGGCTTTGAAACTTCATCGACGACTATGAGTAATGCTCTCTATGAATTAGCTTTAAATCAAGATATACAGAAAAAGTTACGTGAAGAAATCAATACATTTTGTGCTAAAAATAATAAAGAATTGAAATATGATGACATCAAAGAAATGGAATATTTAGATAAAGTATTTAAAGGTATGAGCAAGAACAAATATTATGTAAAATATTTCATGTCTCTTTACGTATGGGTTTTACACAAAACAAATCAAAATATGAAGAATGAAAAAATCTTTGATACTTATCATAATTATTGTCGATAGTCGTTAATTTTAATATTAAATATAAAAACAAAATTAAAAACAATAATTAAAAATTATTATTGTGCGACAAATATATTGTACGCATTCGAATAATTTATCTTTTTACAGAAACATTAAGAATGTATCCACCAGCAACAATTTTAATGAGAAAAGCAACATCAGACTATACATTCAATGACACGAAAGTTACGATACCTAAGGAAACCAAAATTTGGATTCCAGCATTTGCAATACATCGAGATTCGGCTATTTATCCGAATCCTGATTCATTTGATCCTGAAAGATTCGATAAAGATGCAATGGCTAGTCGACATCCTATGCATTATTTACCTTTTGGTGATGGGCCAAGAAATTGCATCGGTATGAGTTAATTAATTGTTAAATTAATATATATATATAATTTCTTATTGTTTATATTTTATGTATATTCTATATTTCCAATTGTTAATTTTTATTAATCATTAATATTATTAATTATTTTTAGGTGCGCGTTTTGCGGTTTATCAAACTAAAGTTGGATTAATTACCATTCTTCGTAATCATAAAGTAGAAGTTTGCGAAAAGACAATAATTCCTTACGAATTTGATCCAGGTGCATTTTTATTGAGTCCAAAAGGTGGAATATATTTGAAAATAACAAAAATATGAAATTAATGCAAACATTGCATTCAAAAATTTTCAAAAATCTATTAAGTTAAATAAAATATTTTACGAGAACATAAATAATTAATTCTAATCAAAGGAAAACAAAATAATAGAATAATAATAATTAATAATAATAATAATAATTAATATATTCTTATCAGTATAATTAATTATTATAATTAGTTTTATTACTAAGAATTAGAAAAAAAAAATAAGTTTAAATAGTAGATTTTTATTAAAAGACATTAAATGAATTTAATTATTATAAATAATTTTCTTATATAAATTTTTTAAGCTTTCTTATACTCGAGTATGTGATTAATTAGAAAATTTATATAAAATGTTTCTCTTATGTAAAAACTTTTAATAAGATTTTCATTTTTCCATTGCAAAATTCAAAATATTCTTATTTATTATCTATTATTTATTATCATTCATTTTTCATAACTATGTTAAATATATTATAATTTAATAAGCATATTATAATTAATATGTTATATAACATATATTATAATTAATATATATTAATCAAATTGTAAATATTCATATTTGATGTTTGTAAAACAATTTGTATCATTAATATGAATGATTAAAAGATTTAAAATTGAAATAAATATTTTTTAATATTTTATTAGTATAAATTTTTTTATACTATTTATATTCATATTATTATGTTATTATATTCCGATATTAGCAATATATTTTATGCTATTATGCATAATATATTTTAAATATAAGTTTTATGAAATTATGAAAATATTAAATATAATAAAAAATTAATATATGAATATATAGATGAAATTATTTAACAATTATTTATGAATATATTAAATTATTCAAAAAATATTTTAGGATTAAAAAAATATATAATTATATTAAATAATAAACATAAATATATTTATATTGAAAATATTTATTATGATACAATTGACAATTATATCTATTATTATATTAATATTTAATTTCCAATGAAAATATGAAATCTTTAATCCTTGATCTATACTTTTATTTGATAATATCAACAATATCATCGAGATATATTTTGGAAAATATTTTAAATAAAACATATTAAAATATAAAAGATTAACATATTAAAATATAAATTTTAATTTTGTTTTTCTTGTGAAAATTAAGGTAAGGAAAATAATTTTAGTAAAAAATTTCAACATTAATTAGATTTATTATTTATTTATTTATTATAATAAAACTGCAATAATATTCAAGATGAACATTTATTATTATTATATAATTATTTTTTATAATATTATATAACTATTTTTTATATATTATATATAAGTATTTTATATAACATTTATTATTATTATATAAATACGTTGTTAGGAAACAGAGAGTGGGATGAATGAGAAAGAGGAAAGGAGCAAATGAATGAGTGAAAGAGAGAAAATAAAACTTAATCTTATTATATAAGAATTTTATTTATATTTTTATAAAAAAAAATTATTGAATTTATTAAATACTAATCAGAATTCTATATTAGAATACAGAATTCTATATTAGAAAATTTATAATAAAATAGTATTATTTAAGCGTAAATTAAAAATAATTTTATAAAATAATATATAATATATAATTAAGAATTATTATTTCTATAAGATTAATACTACTTAACATATTACAATATATTAAAATATAAAAAAATATATATTTTTAGAATTATATAAGATGTTAATACATTTATAAGATAATCTTTGAAGAATCAAATCTAGAAATAAATACAAATATTAATAAAATAAATACTCTATAAATATTATCGAAACCAGGTAGGTTTGTAGGTAATATTTCAAATAGAATTGAATTGATCGATAAGAAAATTTAAAAATTAATTCTAAAAATAAGATGCAGATTAATTACAAAATATAAAATATCTAAAAATGAGTATAAATAAATAGATATTTAAACATCGATAAAATAATTTATCAAATCATTGACAAATGAAACGTTTATAAAAATCAAAATAATTAGGGAAGATAACTGTTTGTATATTGACAAACAAAATAATAAAAGTAAAAGTAGGTTTCTAAATTAATTTATAAATAAGATTAAAATTATTATAGTATCTATTTAAATGCAAAGTTAATAAATATTTTAAAACATTATTAAAAAGAAGCAACTCAAATTTAATTTCTTTAAAAGATATATATGTTTTTTTAAATTTTAAAAACAATTTTATTCATCTTGACAAGTAATTCTAACGAAGAGAATCGAAGAAATAAGGATTATTCTAACAATAACGAAAAAATCGAAATATATACATTGTTAAAGACTTATGAAACGGTCGGGTAATCTGGCCTATGTTTTCAATACTTTGAGTACCGTAATAACCTGACAATAATAATAATTTATGAGTAATTTTCCTAACGTTTTCCAAATCTCTAATTTCAACAAAAGTGTCTGACAATAATTTATGAGCATAATTTTCTTAATGTTTTCCAAATCTCTAATTTCAACAAAAGTATCAACGGTTTCACGAATCAAATGTATACGATGGACCAAGGAAGCGAAGTTCTGATCCCCACGTGCACGACCCCGACGCGACCCCGTAAGGGCTCATCCCTCGAGGCCGCCCTCCAATGCAATCATTGGTTCCTTCAATCCCCTCTCTATGTCCATTATTCCCAGAAGACAAGAGAAAAACCAAGGGTCACGATAGTCTTGCGATAGAATGATATAAAAATCGAAACGAGAAGTTAAAATCATTACAGTTAGGAGCAGTCAAAGTATTCGTACATTACGAACATATAATTCTACATATAGTTCTATAATAAGTGATTCTTCGAGCAATAAGTTTAGACATTTCATTTGTGCAATATTTAAAATCGTTCATTTCCGATTCACTCTCCGACTTTAACATACATTAAATTATAAAAACATAAATAAATAAAAATATTATTATTTTTTCTCTTAATAATTTCAAGAAAACTTCAATCTCATCAAACTTCAATTTTTCATATTTTCATATCATAATAATAACAAATCAACTATAAATATAATATATAATATTTAATATATAACTATAAACATAAGTAAATATTTACATAAACATATGATAAGATTGAAGATAACATTAAGTTTCAAAAACCTCAATTATATACTATCATCTTATAATATAACAATCGGTCAAAGAGAGTTTCTCGGATAACAACAGTGAATCAACATGTTTGATTATTTTCAAATATTAATTGCACTCGTCGCAATCTTTCTCGCTTTGTATTATTATCTTACGTCGAATTTTGATTTCTGGAAAAATCGCGGAGTGGTTGGACCCAGACCTATACCATTTTTTGGAAATACAAAGGATGTCGTATTAAAAAAAATTGAAATAAGCAACTACATAACGGAATTATATAAAAGATACGACAATGAGGCAATGTTCGGGATATTTTTCGGTGGATCGCCTAATCTTATTTTACGTGATTTAGATCTCATCAAAGATGTTTTAATTAAAGATTTCTCGATATTTGACGAACGAGGATTCAAAATTTCTGAACGGGTATGTATTTTTTTTTTTTATATATATATATATATATATAAATTTTTCTTTAACATTTCAAAATATAAAAAATTCAAAGTTCAAGTTTTATTAATTTTTTAAAATATCTTCTTAAAATAAATTATTTCGATTTAATTTTTTAACTGCAGGCTGATCCATTGAATGCAAATCTTTTTAATATGGATGCTGCAAGATGGCGATTATTAAGAATAAGATTATCACCGGTATTTACTTCTGGTAAACTGAAGGAAATGTTTCCCTTGATGTTAGAATGCGCCAAACGCTTGGAACAATGTTTAGAGGATGTTGTGAAAAAAAGAGGGCCTACGGATTGTTTTGAAATATCAGCGAGATACACCACAGATGTTATTGGATGTTGCGCTTTTGGAATCAACATGAACGCGTTGTCAAACGAACGTAGTGAATTTCGCAGAATAGGAAAAAGAATTTTTGATCTAGATAAAAACATTCTAAGATCTTTTCTTCGACAATTTTTTCCACGGTTCTATAATTTACTTGGTTTTGTAATACCATATTCAGAAACAAGCATATTTGTGACAAAATTTATTTCAGAAATGATCAAATATAGGGAAGAAAATAATGTGCTAAAAGCAGATTTTGTAAACTTATTAATGGAATTAAAAAAACATCCGGAAAAATTGAAGAATATTAGTAAGTAAAATAATTGTTGATTTTAATTCTTTCAAAAAACAAATAAAGTCTATGATCATTTCATAAATAGAATTTGAAGATATAGAATAATGAAATAAAATTTGAAATAGAATTTTAAGTTTATAAATCTTTTGTTTGATGATGTTTTATAAATAATAAGTAGAATATTAACGTAAAGTATTATTAAAATATTATTTTTTAATGAAATTTTAGAAATAACGGATAGTTTACTTGCCGCGCAAGCTTTTGTTTTCTTCGCGGCTGGATTTGAAACGTCATCAACGACAATGGCACACGCTCTTTATGAAATGGCTCTGAATCCTAACGTACAAGATAAACTACGAAAAGAAATAAAAGAATTCCATGCCAAAAATAATGGGAATCTTACATATGAAGAAGTTAAAAAAATGAAATATTTGGACAAAGTATTTAAAGGTATATTTTTAAACTTATTTCAACAAAATGTATATAAAATTTTTTTATAAATTATTATTAATATTCTATTTTATATATATTTTTGCAAAATGGAAAACCAACAATTTATTATTACGTATAAATTATCATATGAAACATGTGTAAAGATTAATAATTATAATTTAAAGTTAGATTATTTTAACTAAGATAGAATTATTACTAAAATAAAATTATATTTATCTGTCTTTTTAACAGAAACACTTAGAAAATATCCACCAGGAGTGTTTTTAAAACGAAAATGCAACTCTAATTATACCTTCAATGGTACAAAAGTATCAATACCTGCTGGAACTTCTGTAATTATTCCTGTATATTCAATTCAAACAGATCCAAAGTTCTATGAAAATCCAGATGCATTTGATCCTGAAAGATTTGATGAGGATGTAGTAGCTGCAAGGCATCCAATGACCTATTTACCATTTGGTAATGGACCAAGGAATTGCATTGGTAATTTAAAGAAAAATACTAAAATGTTTTTTGTATAATAATTATTAATAATAATTTGTATCTTACGATTATTTTTAACATTTATTTGTTTTATATTTTTATATATTAATGATAATCAATGATTAAATTATCGTTTCAGGAATACGATTTGCCGTTTATCAAACAAAAGTTGGATTGATAAGAATGCTACAAAATTTCAAAGTAAATGTTTGCGAAAAAACAATGATTCCTTATATAAAGAAGTTAAATTCATTTACATTGGCCCCTAAAGATGGAATTTTCTTGACAATAGAAAAAATAACTGATTATGAACAAGTACAAAATAATTAACAAAAAAAAAAAATAAATATAAAAACTTGAAAACATACTTAAATATTTTTTATACTTTTATGTATTTTTTATAAGAAATGTATTTGTACAAAATATTCTATGTTATTATTACTATTTTTTATTATTATTATATTTTATTATTTCTATAACTTTAATTATATATATTATATAAATGAAAAATAATATTTATTAATCTAAAATATTGATAATTTTAAATAAATAAACTTCTACAAAAATTATTTTTTATTATTTCAAAGGAATAATTATCTTTTATTATAGCTATATAAGAATTTAATTATTATTTTCAATTTTAATTACAAAATATATAAAATAAATAAATAATTGGAAAAAAAGACGATATAGAAAATGATATAAATATGCACAATAAAATAATTAATTAAATTACAAAATATATAATGTAAAAATTGATATAAAAAAAATATCATTTTAGTTTTATAATAAAATTTCATTAAATCATGTTTAGAATGAGAATTTTTAAATGCATATATATAAGTATATATATATATATATATATATATAAGTTATATATAAGTACATATTTATATATCATGATGAATATGATATAACATGATAAATGAATTACATATATATTTTATGTTATATAAAACAATATTAAAATCATAAAAAAATCCTTTTAATGAAATTATCACATGAAATTTTATTTGTTATAAATAAAAATATTTCTTTTTAAAAAAATTTTTAAATATTTTTAATATGACTTTATAATATTATTATTATATCAATAAAAAAATATATTATATTATATTATTAAATACAAATTTTAAAAATTAATGTTAATATAAAAAGAAAATGAAGATAATCTTGAAATTGTATATATAAGTCTAAGTATTGAATATATGTTTTAGTCTTTGTAATATTATTCTATGTTATATTATTTTATTGTGCATATTTATATTATTTCTTATATCATCTTCTTTTTTTCAATTATGTATTTTATATATTTTATACAATTTCAATTGTATATATTCTATATAGTTATAATATGTTATAATAATATTCTGTATGTGTAATTACTAATGTTAATATATAATCATTAATATAATTACATCGTAAAATATTTACATCTAACTGATAAAATATAATAAAACATACAATATATTTTTTAAAAGATATTCAGTATTAAATATATATCAATTTATATAATATATATGTATATAAATTATTAATATTATACATATATGCAATATAATATATATTACAAAATAATATAATTATAAAATTAATGTACGTAATGTTGAAAATTAATGTACGTATTGTTGATTAAATGAAAAAAATACATAAAGATAATAAAGAAATATATAATATATAATAATAGTTTAAATTTGTTTTCTGAAATTTTATTTTTTAATTAATAATATATAATTAGTTATAATAATACATACATTATATATTAATACATATATAATTTTCCTATTTATATAACTATAACTTTATGTAGTTAGCTAGTATGTAGTATAGATTTATTTTTATTATTAAGAACATATCGAAATGACATATGCCGAAATTTTGATATTTTTATAAATTTATAGTTTAATGTGCAATTTGAAAAAAATTTGTTCTATGTTAGTTCTTAAGATATTAAAAAAAATATGTATGAAATATTTTTTTGAAAACTATCTTTCCTATAAATTTCATTAAAATTAAATATGCCAATGATATATTTTTTTATAAGAGCGACATCTATGAAGTTGCACGTTAAGTTAAATCTATCGTTATTAGTTAAATTACTTACGTACTCTGATGATAAGATTCTTTTTCATTAATCAATTGTACAAAATAAAATTTTTACAATCTTTTTATTTAATTGATTTATATAATTAAATTTTTAATTGCTTTTATTATAAAGATTACATATTTATTTAAATCAAATAAATTAAGAATTTATTATTTAATTGTTTCATTATATAATTAATATTCTAAACATGTATTATGATATTATGATATTTTATATATATATAATATTATATATTTTGCTGTTTTATTTTGCAGATATTATTTTACTACATTTGTACTGCAGTAGTCCATTGAGAAAACTGCGTCATACATTAAGTTTTTACCTCGTGCCAAAACAGTAAGCTTTTGTTTGTATCATATATTTTATATAAAAAAATATTTCGTACTATGTGTGATTCATTATCATCATTCATCGTAAATAGTTATCATTAAGTGTCTTTATATATAATTTTAAAATAATAGTATAAAAGTGATACACGTTAACCTATCAAATACATTTAATATCAAATATATATAACGTAATAATTTGTTGTCATTTATCATTTTATCTTATTTGATTAAACAAATTAGCGATCTTTTTTTGATTAAACAAATTAATTGATAAAGTTTAAATATTTTATATCTGTATTAAGAAAGATAATTTAAGTTTTATTAATTCGAAATAAATAATAATTATTTTTTAAATAAAGGAAAAAAAATATTTAATTATTTTTAAAAAAAGAATGTCTATTGTAAATAAAAATGTGTTATAATTAATTATGATTTAATATACGGAAATTATAATCACTAAATAAATTAACAATTGAAATTGCTGAATTATCAATTATTAGAACTTAATTAATAATAAACATTATGCATATATGTATAATATATTATAATATATATATATAATATATATGTATAATATATTGTTTTATAAATAATATAATTATAATAATAAATAATATAAATATAAATAATATAATTATATATCATTCATAGACAGATTAAAAATATATAAATAAAATAAAAATAAAAGAAATATTATATGCATTCTGTTATTAAAAATATTATCTTTCTGAATTGTATTATTGCTCAAAAATTATTTTAATTTTTTATGTAATAAATCGTATTTAAAAATAATAAATAATATGATAAATAATTTAAAAATCCAAATGATTATCATTATTTTAAATATCATTGAATAATAATTGAATAAATTATTATTTATATATAAAAAATTCCTTACTTCAATTAAATAAACAATAGTTAGATACTATAAAATATTTCAACAATGTGAAAAATACTTATTGTTTTCAAAATAAAGAAACCATTCACTTTATTTATTTTATTTAGTTTAATGCAAACTTCTTAATAATAGACAATATAAAATATTTTTCGGAAAAATAAAAATATTTATGTATATTTTTTTATGCCTAAAAAATTCGATTTTAGTTCAAAAATTGTATAACAATAAATTTCTATATATAAAAAATCTTTCATTTCAAATTAAATTATATTTTAATTAACACTATTTCATTTATCTTTTTTATTCTCATTTCTGGTTAAAAATTAATTTCAACACAAAAACATTGTAAAAAAATACATTATTTAATATATTCTAGTTTTCATGATAATATTATATTTAAAATACTTTAAAATTATTATAGAAATTGAAGTAATAATAATAATATTTTGCAGAAAATTTAATTATATCCATCATTTTTTCATTAAATTAACTATAAAACAAGAATGGCAAGTTTAGAAATTATTTTCGGAATCATTTCATTATTTCTGGCAATTTATTATTATTTTACTTCAACGTTCGATTTTTGGAAAATTCGTGGAGTACCTGGACCAAAGCCGATACCAATATTTGGTAATATAAAAAATGTAATGCTTTTGAGGACGTCTATGTGCCATTATTTAAAGAAACTCTGTGAGGAATACAAACATGAACCTATGATCGGAATATTCACTAGAAAAACACCTATACTCATTATTCAAGATCCAGATCTTATAAAGGATGTTTTAATAAGGGATTTTTCTAAGTTTGCCAATCGAGGAATTCCTATTCATGAAAAGGTAAATTATTAAATTATTATTATATATTATATATTATAATATATTATTATTATATCAATATTCAAAATTATTTCAAATATATAAAATGCAAGTAAATGCACATATTAAATTATAAATAAATTATAATATTTTAAAAAAATTAAATTTTAAGTTTAAATCATGTTCAAATATATTATTGAATTGTAACAATAAAATTATATTTCCTTAATTATTTATTAATTTTTAAAATAATTATAGGCAGAACCATTATCTTCACATCTCTTCAATTTGGAAGTAGAAAGATGGCGTCCATTAAGAACAAGACTTTCGCCAGTATTTACATCTGGCAAATTGAAAGAAATGTTTCCCTTAATATTAGACTGTTCAAAACATTTGGAACAATATCTGGATAAACTGGTATTAAGAGAAGAGTTTATAGAATGTCGTGAATTAACAGCTAAATATACAACAGATGTAATAGGTAGCTGCGCTTTTGGTATCGAAATGAACGCATTGTCTGATGAAGAAAGCGAATTTCGTCGAATAGGTAGAAAAGTATTTGCCAATTCATTTGGGCAAATCTTAAGATTTCGATTTAGACAAATTTTCCCACGAATTTATAATTTATTTGGTTTCATATTGCCACCAATGGAAGTTACAACGTTTCTCACGAATATTATCGTAAATACAATGAAATATAGACAGGAAAACAACATTGTAAGGCCTGATTTTGTTAATATGCTTATAGAGCTTAAAAAACATCCAGACAAATTAGAAAATATTAGTAAGTATTTTATATTTTTTATCGATTAAAAATATATAATAAAAATTAAATAATTAAACAATATAAAAACACTAAAGATTTATTAAAAATATCTTTTTACACAATTATTAATTAATATCAATTTTTGTAAAAATACAATCATTTCTCATATTTCTTTATTTTTTTCTTTTTTTAATTATAATTTACAGAATTAACGGATACTTTATTAACGGCACAAGCATTTGTTTTCTTCATTGCTGGATTTGAAACTTCTTCGTCAGCTATAAGCAATGCACTTTATGAATTAGCTTTAAATCCTGAAGTTCAAGATAAGTTACGGCAAGAAATTAAAGAATATTTCAATAAACATAATGAATTGAAATACGAATATATAAAAAATATGACATATCTGGATTTAGTATTTCGTGGTGCGTATAATAATATTATATATATATATAGTATTTATATTACGTACGTACAAATATATTTATATATATATATGTATGTATGTATAGTATTACGAATTATTGAATTCGTTTGTTGCATTTGTATGTTGGAACGATTTATTTACTATATTTTGTATTTATTGTATTTATATTATCTATATTTTATATTATCTATAATTTTATATAATCTTACGTTATAATATCGGTCAATATCAAAAAATCTTACAAATGAAATCTTCTTTCTCAATTGTATTTTAAAAATTTTTTAAAAATTTCTCATGTTTTTCATTTTTTTAAAGAAAAGAATAAATACAGATAATTTGTCTAAAAATTTAAAACATTATATTGCTATTGCTAATTGATTGCAATAGCAATTGCTAACTATTATTGATCATTGTTATTATTCAAATCAAATATTTTTCTTTTATAGAAACATTAAGAAAATATCCACCTGGACCACTTATATTAAGGAAATCAATAACTAATTATACTTTCAACAATACAAAAGTTTCTATACCAGAAAAGAGTTTTGTATGGATACCATTATATGCAATTCATCATGATCCTAAGATTTATCCAAATCCTGATGCTTTTATTCCTGAAAGATTTAATGATGATGCCATTGCAACAAGACATCCAATGCACTATTTACCTTTTGGTGATGGACCCAGAAATTGTATTGGTATATTTATCTTTAATTTTTTTTTATCTTAAAAATTCAAATTTAAAGAAAGATATTGTGATAAAAATTTCAATTTTATCATATTCAATAATATTTTTAATATGTATTTCAGGAGCACGATTTGCAGTTTACCAATCCAAAATTGGTTTGATAACAATACTTTGGAATTATAAAGTTGAAGTTTGCAATAAAACTATGATTCCATATGAAATTAATCCAGCTGCTTTCTTATTAACACCAAAAGGAGGAATATATTTAAAATTTACAAAAATAAAAAATGAAGAGATTTTAAACTGATGAGATTTTGAAAAGTTTAAATTGGTTCTGATAATTCAATGAAAAACATTTCAAAAAAATTTATATTTTTTATTGAATTATCAGAATCAACTATATTGATAAGAGCTATATTTTGTTTATGTATTTCATGATATAGTATATTTTATTATAATATTAATTTTTAATTGAAAAAATCTAAATAGCATAATATGAAATGATTAATTATAAATGTATAAATTGGACTTTCTTGTTTTATTATTTTTACTATTATTATATTATATATTTAATTATATATACAAATCTTGTTATAAATAACAAAAAAAAATCTTGTATAAATAACAAATGCCAAATAATATATATGTACATATAAAAAATACAAGAAAAAAAAAAAGAATAATTATTCAATGTTTCTTTAAATATGATTTCTCTATAAAATGATTTTTATAAAACTCATATTTTAAAAATTGAATTAAACAAATTATATGACTTATATATACATTATATTATATACATTAACTTTATACAAGTAAAATTAGTTTTAATAGTTATTTACTTTTGAAATTAATTAATTTTTTCTCTATTAAACTTCATTTTTTACATTTGAACATAAAATTTATTTGAATTAAGTGATCTGTAGATTATAAGAGTATATAATAAATAAAATATATAATATATATGACAAAGAATATTGTGAACGATATTGAAAATGATAAATTTCATCGATCATTTTCTCATCTTTTCATTTTTATCTTTAATATAATAATTGTAAATATTTAATTTAATAATTATTCTACAATAAAATAAAGTCATTATGCTTTTATTCAATATAACAGCAAAATATATATATATACAAATACATAAAATAAATAAAAAATTAAAAACTTTTATTACATTGATATAATGAGAATTATTCAAATTTAAAAATTAAATTTTAATTTCTAATTATTAAACTATAATAATAATTATATCGTTAAAAAAATTATCTATCTATTTTATTTTCTACTTTATTTTTCTAGTTTATCATTTAAAATTAAAATTTTCAATTAAAACTATAATAAAATTTCACTATTTAAGATTATTAAATATTTTTACATTTTAAATATTTTTAAACTTTATTTTATTTAATGAAAAGAATCATCTTACAATTTTATTCATAAAAATATGCTATAATAAATATATATATATTATAATTTCAATATAAATTTTATGAAGTTACAATAATTTGCAACTTTCACTGAATAAATAAATATGATGTAAGTATGTTACCAATATCATGTCAGCAATATTATGTTGTAATAAACTCGTGCAGTTAACTTCCTTATTGTAGGAAAGAGGGATAGGATAATCAAATGACTAAATGAGGTTAAGTTTTATGAATCTATACCGTTCATTTCTGTGTCGGAAGAAGATGCAAGGTGATTAATACATCACCGTGGGAACGTTAATTTGAAAAAACCTATAAAGGATGGAGAACATCAACTGACGCGTCACTTGATTGTAGGTAATATACACCTACATCTTTCATTATATACACCTACATCATCATTTATTTTTTCATTATATAAATTCATTAAAAAAAATCACTACGTAACCAACACTAAAAATAAAATAGTATGGAATACGAAATGAAAGACACTGACAATGTTTTACATAGATCAAAACGAAACAATATTATTTTAAACAAAGAACTAGAATACTGGATGACTCAACTGCCGGAAGCTTTGAAAAATCTTCCCATAATATATTTGGCAATACCCGGTAAGTTTCAAAATATTTTCTTATTTTATGAAAATTATATTTTAAACTAAATTCTATGATATAAAATTTATATTCATTTGAATTAAAAAAATTTTTTTAGTGTTATTAAATCAGAATTAATTAAAATTGATTATATATTAATAAATTAAAATAATTTTAAAATTATATTGTATGATTAAATTGACCTCAAAGTAATAAATTTAGTTATCAATGTTAACACGAATTGATAACTCTTAATAGGTTCTCATGATACGATGACTTATACCATAAAGCGACATAATGATGTGGGACCCGATGAACCAAAATATATCAGAGCTTTTGGTCGCTATTGTTCATTCGTCTCAAAACCCATTATTTTTAATTGGTCTATTACACAACATGAAAATATTAAGGATCAGCTCAATGGTGGAATACGATATCTGGATTTACGTGTTGCAACCAAGCCAACAGATGCAAATATTTATTTTGTTCATGGTTTATATGGATCGAAAATATATCAACCATTACAAGAAATAGCAGAATGGCTATCTTTCCATAATAATGAAATTGTAATCTTAGATTTTCAGCATTTCTATTCGTTCTCAGAAATGGATCATTCTCATCTTGTTGAAACAATTTTTCGAATATTTCAGACGAAATTGTGTCCCGTAGCTTCTATGTTTGATCATATAACATTAAATTGGCTTAATCTAGAAAAATATCAAGTAATCGTTATTTATAGAAATGTATTTGCACAAAATTATTCAAATTTATGGCCAAGTTGTTTGTGGCGCACTCCATGGCCTAATACTGTTCGCGTTAACGAACTTATAGATTTTTTAGATATAAAATTAAAAGCGCGGCCATTGGAAATCGGTTTTATATCACAATGTCTTTTAACTCCTGATATTTCATATATATTGAAACATTTATGTGGAACATTACAGAGAGATTTAATACCATTATGTCAAAAAGCAATTCTTCTTTGGATAAATCACAAGCGACCTGGTCGTGGTGGTTTAAATATCATTATAGCTGATTTTATATCTGATAACAATTTTTTATTTTGTAAGACAGTTATTGATAGCAATAAGAAAATTTTTGACTTACAATAATTTATGAAATATTTTGTACTTGAATACTTATATACAAGATAAATATGAAATTTACAATTTCAATGCAAACTGGTTGTGATAAATTATTTTAAAAATTATCTTTTATCATATATTTTTAATGAAAAATTTATTTTATATTTAAAGAAATATTTATTTGTATATATAATAAATACTATAATAAATTTATGCTCACATTATTTCTTTAAAAATCTAAATGTTTTTATTTTTCTGTAATTTTTGTTCAATAACAATATTCTTTCTTATAATATGAATTGCTGCAATATTGTACATTATTTTTTTAAAATTTTGAATTGTACAAATATAATATTAAAAAATTAGTTGAAAAAATATTTTCAAAATAATATTTATATATATTTAAGCAATTTAAAATTAATTTAAAATTTAAAATGAGTTTACATTTTTCTATATTCATTAAACACACAATTTATTTAAATAATAATTATTAATATATAACTTATTTAAATGTTGCATTCAATTGATATTATATGATATATGAATCAATATATAAATAAATATAAATTTTATATGAATTTATTTTATTCTTTTATATTCTTAATTTTTTTTTGTTCCATTAATTTATATTTTTCTATTCTCATTTGTTCCATTTGATTTTAATTATTTTGCATGTTTCATACAATTAGGCAGAATCTTTTAAAAGATCTTTAAAATTATTAGAAGACTAAAATAAGATTTTTTTTTACTTCTAATAATTTTAAAGATAGTTTAAAGAAATATATAATTTCATCTTGTACATGGAAAATATATTGCCCTGCATATTATAATAATAGAATTTAATTTAATGAAAAGTATATATTTTAAATATATGATTATTTATATATATCTTGATATACGATTTATAATTAAAATAATATATATATATATAACAGAATTGTTTTATATGTTATGGGTTATCGTGTACATATTTAGTTAAAAAGTCATGACATAAAAAGATGAATTTAAAAAAAAATTATATAATAAATAATATTAAAATTGTAAATTAATATATTAATAATATATTGTTCTATTTTTATCAAATCAAAAGAAATTTTTCTAAGATTTTATGTCCAGTTTATAACTTATTTAAGTTACAATAATTATGACATAAAATAAATACATAACAGTAATGATATACTTTCAATATGAAAACAAAATGAAGATATATATTACATTACATATCACAAATTAAGAACAAAAAAATATATAAGTAATTATCAATTTTAAGTATGCAATCTACCTATAATTTTTATAATAATTAAAAATCATTTATTGAAAATTTTATAGTTCAAAAATATGTAAAGATGAATGAAATAATATAATTTCACTATATGAGTTAAACTAAATAGGCAGTTCAATTGAGCAACTTATAGCTCTTCAGAAATTTCAACAAATTCTCTATAATTAATTTTATTTGGTCATAATGCTTTAACCTTAAGTTGTTTCATTCTGGGTGCTCGTTTTTTAGCAAGTCTTCGTTGTTCTTTTTCTTCCCATTTTCTTTGTTTATCAGGATCTTCTTCTTGTAGTATACGTTCTTTTTCAGCTCTACGACGTTCTTCTCTACGCTGTGCTGCTGCTTCAGCTCTAGCTGCATGAGTTATTTTTAAGAATGCTTCTTCTACTCTTAATCTATTTTTATCCGCTTTACTTTTACCCTAAATAAAATGAAAGTACAATATAAGATCACATCATATATAAAGATAATATAATTTAAAAAAAAATAAAATATGAACAAACCTCTTTAGATAATTTAAAACGACGTAATTTATCTAATAAGTAAAATGTTAATTGTAAAAGAAGTTTTAGTTTTTCTTGACCTTCTGCATTAGTAGTCCGTCCTTTAATAGTTATGTTTAATCCAACAAGTAAAACTCTTTTTACTTCAGGCATTGTTAATTGAGTTGTATCTCTTAAATAAAAATAAAAGTAAAGTATATTAAATCATAAAAATAAAAAAAGATATTCTTTAAATAAAATGCATTCGTTATCACTTACTCTTGTTGTTTAGGACCACTAAATTGATCACTAATATGTATATAATCTATATATGGTGCAAACTTTGAAAATGCTTGTAGAACTCTTGTATCTAAAATAGCTGATGCTGCTTCAGCAATTTCAGACATTACATAGAAACCTGATGGAAGACCAAATTTTTCTCCTGGTCTCTTTTCTGGACAATAAACGCTAATATCAGCCATATCACGTACTAAATGCATAGCAGTTTTTTTTGTAGCAATTGCTAATACAAAATTATCTGTTTCCTCTTTTGCTAATTCTACACGTATATGGGCTTGATCATTTTGAGGCCGTACAAGCTGTGCTAATACTGCAACTAAATCTTGTCTTTTAATTAATTTCAATTCAATTAACATGGAATCACATCCAATTCTTCCTGAGCAATATAAACTATAATGAGATTGACTTTCTTTTACCAAACCATTTTCAGATGTATCTTCATTTGATTTTCCTGTATCACCAACAAGAGAAAAATTATCTAGCAAAAGCTGTTTATGCTCTATGAGCCATAGTTCTGCTATGTGGGCATTTTTGGAACGCCCTGCTATATAATTAATGAAATATACTAATAATCCAATGATTGTTAATATTTCTAAGTAAAAACTATCCCATCTTGCACGTAAATGAAGTGGTATTTTTGTAATTGTTAAAGTAGATGGTTCATCACTTTTTGGTCCTGCATTTCCTCCAGCTGCATCTAATCCTTCAAATTCTTCTTCATCTTGAAAATGATCAAATTCACTATCACCATCAACAATTAAAACATCATCTTCTTCAAAATCTTGGTTATTATTTGATTCTTGAAGATGTTCTGTATTACGGTCATTAATTGTTTGACTTGTTTTTTCTTCTTCAAAATCTTCAAACTCAGCAAATTCATTATCTTCAGGAAGTTCTTCATGAAAATGTGCTATGACCCATATATTGGTTGCAACTAAAACGATATGAAGTACAACTAACCACAATTTCATTTTGTCTGAAACAAAAACAATAATAAATTATTGTTATTTTAAAATGATAAATTTNATATATATATAACTTAATGAAACATAATCCTATTTATTTTGTTCGAAAAATAGTAATTATAAGTAATATGCATTAGTAAGTGATATAGTATTTTATATTAACTGTAAATAATTTAAATTAATTATGTGTGAATTAATTTTAAATGAATTGTATAATTTGTATAAAATGAAATTGTAAAATTTCCAGAAATATATATAATTTTACAGTAAAATATCATATATTTGACAAAACTTTTATTATAGTAATTTTATGTACAAAATTTTTTATTTATCGATTTAATGTATTAAACTAACTTCACTATCAATTTATATAAAATAGTTCCAGTTTTTCAACATTGATTTCACTTATTAATTAAATATAACAATGTTTGTATGAAATAACACTATCACAACACCCTTTCGAAGAAGTGACTTGCATTGCATGCCACGAAACTCTTCAAGAAATATATATATATGTCATTTCCTTAATCAAATATTCGTTCTAACAGAAAAAAAAAAAAAAAATGATGATTTTTATTATATTGTATATATATATATATATATATATATATATATATATATATAACAATTTATTTTTATAAAATATATTAAAAATTTAAAAAAATTAAAATTTTTATTTTGAAAAAATAAATTAATATTTGCTTTAAAAAAATAGAAAGATATAATTTTATTTACATATTAAGTAAACAAGAAATTAGATAATATAAATTAATATCATATACATACGAATTTTTTTAACGTAAACTTTTTTAAATGAATTAAAAATTAAAAATATAATTTGTCGATAAAGTAAATTTCTTATTGTAAATTATCAAGTTCAATATGACTATCTTAAGAAACATATTCAATGGTCAGGCGAGAGATCGATTCAGTAAGTCCGTGGAAACGAATGAGGGAACTTCATTGCGCACGCTTGACTGTAATGGCTTTTTGCTGTCAAAATGTGATGCAGTTGTTTCTGTATTTTATTGCAATGTGTTGTATATGGTTTTAATGATTACTTGAACATCGAACTGTAACTGAAGTGAAGATTCATAGCGATTCGCAATTTGGAACGTTCAAACAAGTGGAAATAAAAACAACGCGCGTTGTTAGTATAAATCCTAGAAAGCAAACAATGGATCAATACTTTGCAGACGAGGGTAACATGCGGATACAACGAAAAATCATTGTTCTTTTATAGTAACGTTTCTTATTTTGCATACATTCATCGTGTTTAAAAATTTGAAAAGGTAAGTATATTATAAAAAAAAATATATCGCGGTATTTAGAATGTGTCATATAATGTTTGGTTAAGGTGTACATGTTGAACTTTCGTTTTTTTCTTCCATTAAAATTGACAGAGCATAATCGAAATACTTAATATTTAATACAAAAATATTTAAAATGAAAAATCAAGAAAGCTTTTTGTTAAATATTTAAAAGATCATTTCGCATTTTTTAGAAAAAAAATTATTCTTTTTTATTATTCATTTTTTTATTTATTTGATAATTAACAACGAACAAATTAGTTAATATTTGTCATTACTAGTGTTATCAGTGTTTCTGAAATAATTATTAAAATTATTGATAAATGTATCGATTAATCAATGACTATGCAATAAAACTTATACAACTTCCCATGCATTAAAAAAAAAATCGTTCAAATACAAACAGTTATGTCAACCGGCGTTTCATTCTCCATTAATGGACAACAATTATTGAAAAGAATTAAATTTAGAATTAATTTATTTCTATAATGCCATGTGATTTAAAAATCACATATCTTATGTTTATTATGTTTTAAATTTTTATTTTTCTTTATCACTATATTATTTTATTATTTTATTAATAGCAGATTAAAATGAAAAAATTAATTTATCATAACTTTTTTCTTCTTTATAATTAAATAAAATTGATTATAGAGTTTAAAAAAAAATTTATAAATAAATCAGATATTACATTTTGTTTCATAAATCCTTTATTTATTCATATATATGAGATTGATTATTTTCTTTACAAAATCAATGATTACTTTCTTTTGTGATATTTTTTTATAATTTTCCAGTTTTATAAAGTAGTGAGGAATTATTTTGCAAATCGGTACGTGGAAAATTCTAAGTAAATCGGCTTATCATTACATTTCTCTCATTATGTAGGTAAAAGTTGCATTGGCCATCAACATGGATAAGTCGGATAATCAGTTAAAAACCTGGAAAAAGAAGAGTATGAAGTCGAGTGGTTCAGCGGATGTTGTGACCCAGTGCGTTCAGGTGGTCGTGCGTTGCAGACCGATGGACGAGAAGGAACTGGCCCGTGGCTATATGCGTGTGGTTGATGTATTCCCATCGAGAGGAGTGGTCGAGATACGTCATCCACGAGATGATCCTTCTAGCGACAATGTGAAAGTTTTTACATTTGATGCAGTCTACGACTGGAATTCCAGTCAACAAGATCTTTACGAAGAGACGGTCAGACCATTGGTATCTTCGGTTCTCGATGGTTTCAACGGCACTATTTTCGCATATGGGCAAACTGGCACTGGGAAAACATATACAATGGAAGGTTTGAAGACTGATCACGAGAGGCGTGGCGTAATTCCACGATCGTTTGAGCATATTTTTAATCACATAGGCAGATCCGAGAATATGCAGTATTTGGTACGTGCCAGTTACCTTGAAATATATCAGGAAGAGATTCGCGACCTTTTGCAACCTGATCAGAGTCTTAGATTTGAGTTAAAAGAGAAACCGGACATTGGTGTGTTCGTTAAAGATCTATCCACTTCTGTATGCAAAAGCGCTGTTGAGATTCAACAATTGATGAATACTGGAAATCAGAATAGAACTATAGGTGCAACAAATATGAATGAACATAGCTCGAGATCGCACGCGATATTTTTGATTACCATTGAAATGGGATCGATCGGAGATACCGGTGGAATCAGAGTTGGTCGTCTAAATTTGGTAGATTTGGCAGGTAGTGAAAGGCAAAGTAAAACTGGGTCCTCCGGAGAGAGACTTAAAGAAGCGAGTAAGATCAACTTAAGCTTATCAGCGTTAGGAAATGTGATTTCAGCTCTAGTTGACGGTAAAACGACACACGTACCGTATAGAGATTCCAAGTTGACACGGTTGCTGCAGGATTCTTTAGGCGGGAATTCGAAGACTATCATGGTTGCCAACATTGGACCAGCGAGTTATAATTATGAGGAAACATTAACAACGTTACGATATGCGAATCGAGCCAAAAATATTAAGAATAAACCAAGAATAAACGAAGATCCAAAAGATGCGTTATTGAGACAATATCAGGAAGAAATTGGCCGATTGAAAGAGAAATTGGCACAAAAAGGTATGGTGCAAAAACGGAAAAAGAAATCAAAGAGGAAGAAGGAAGATGAAACTGTAGAATCCGAATCTGAAACGGAAGACAGTCGAGGTGAAGATAATAAAATAGAAACGGATAAGAAATTAATCGCAGAACAGTTGAAAGCTGAGAAACAAGAGACAGAAACACTTATAATGAGAATAAAAGATTTGGAAAGTAAAATGCTTTGCGGTGGAAAAAATATCATTGACCATACTAATGAACAACAGAGAGCATTAGAACAGAAAGCAGCCGAAATAGCCGAGAGAAAGAAAAGAGAAGTCGAAATGCAACAAAAACTTGAAGATGAAGAGCTTACAATGTTAGGTGTGAAAGAAACTTATTCAAATTTGCAACAGGAAGTAGATGTGAAATCAAGGAAGCTTAGAAAATGTTTCAATAAATTACAAGTTTTAAAGCAAGAATTGGAAGATGTTACTAATGATTTCAATAGAGATAGAAGAGATTTGGAACAAACTCAGCATGAATTAATGAAAGAATTAAAATTGAAATATCTTATAATAGAAAATTTCATTCCTGAAGAAGAAAAGAATAAGATTTTATCTAGAATCCATCTCGATGAAGAGGAAGATTGTTGGATAGTAAAAGAACCAGAACCATCCAGTATAGACTTGATTAAGAGACCTACATCAATTCCTGGTGCCCGTAGGCCCGTTTCAGAATATGCACGAATTGCACTAGCTATGGGAAGAGGTTGTCGTTATGCGGGTGAAAATATATTGAATTTAGATCTAGATATGCCTGCTAGAACAACATTGGATTATCAAGGGCCCGTAATCGCACCTACAATTCAAGCTGTACTTGAAGAAGCGTTACGAGACGAAGGTGACATCGATGTGGATGCCTCTAGTGCAAAACTTAGATCAAAACCACGTTTACAATCCGCGAAAATACGACCTAAAAGCGTTGGAAAAATACCGCAAATCCCAGCACCGGTTTATCCAAAGACGAGAGGTCTTGTACCGAAGTAGGAAATTTTTCAATACGTTCCAGTAAAAATCTGTAAAGAAATGTGTAAATATTGTACGAATCGCATTTTGAGCTTTGTTTGATTAATTTATATATATATATATATATATGTATAATTATATAATTTGTTGTGATACGTCACATGGTATTCTGTGTGTATCGATAAGCGCGAAATATTCGAAATCTCTATAATCCTCTAGTCAATGTGCATTGTGCAGCCACATGGTATTAGTATATTGATTATTTCATTATTTGCATTAATAAAATATAAAATAATTGTCAAGTTAAATTCCTATTCGTTCATGAAGACTGGAATGTGTATGTTTCACATAATTGTTTTTTGTTTCAATTTATATTCATTTAATATGGAAATTATGAGATATTAAAAAAAATATAATTTTTTTTTTATACAGTTAAATTTGTAAATTTATAATATTAATATATATAATATTAATACTATCATTGAATATTAAAAGAAAATGTTTCTTTATCGTTTAATGGAAACATGAAAAACTACACCCTTAAAAATATTTACAAATTAAGGTTATTGTTTACTCATTTGCTCTAATGATCTTTTACAACTTTTTTTTATTGAAAAATTACACATAATTATTCTTGCTATTATATATATATATATTATTATTATTATTATATATATATATATATATTTCTTTAAACATTAAAAGTGCTTGTAAAAATAACATTGTTACTTTCGACTCCTTTGATTTTATCACACGTATCTGAAACTGCTAAATTATAAAGATGATGACAATTATAAACATAATACTAATTAATAAAATTAAATCAAAATCAGAATTATAAAACTGTAATTCAGATTAAAATTGTCTTTTTTCGTTTCAAGTTTCTTTTCTTTTTACTTACTTTTATCCCGTTGATATCATTTTTTAAACACACCATCATTAAAAATCCACATTCACTTTCTTCTACACTTCAAAAAAAATTTCAACATTCCTTTAATACATTTTAATGTCTCGTTACCATAGAGAACGAGACGCGTAATTATAAACGTATAAAAATGATAAGGAAACAAATTTTTTATGCGTGTTGGAGAACTACAATTGTATGAAATTCAATATGAAATTCATTGGGAAATCCTGTGACAATGAAATAAGCGTATTTTCAACTTTTCTTTTTCTTCTTCCTCATAGAAATGATCAGGATACTTCCGTTTAACATAATAATGAAATGATACATAACAAATATTAAAACGTATTTACAATTTGATTAAATTAGAAACGCAATAGAATCCTGGTCATTTCTAGACCTTAATTAAGATTTTTGAACTAGTAACATTTAAACATTTCCACTAGACACTAAAATAGTGTCTAAGGTAAAAACTAGTCCAATAACAATTACAAATCAATTTACAATTATGTAAAAGTTCCATATATACTAAATGATCCTAAGTTGAATGTCATTTTAATAAAAACGCTGTTGTTGCACATAATTTCCGTACTGTTGCTGTTGTGGTTGTTGTGGATAATTAGAATGACCTGTAGTTGGGCCAGCATAAGCTGATCCATCATAATTTTGTTGAGTCGGATATTGATTCGATGTCATGGACGGTCCACTGTATTGACCCTGATTTCCTAGACTACCGTAACCTTGGTAATTATAACTATTGTCCATGTAACCCTGGTTACCACTATATACTTGAGAAGGATAATTCTGGAATTGTTGATTGGACATGTTCGGGTAACTTAAAGAAGGTCCTTGTGGACGGGAGCAAGATTGTTGATTATTTTGAACATATTCTTGATTATAAAAATTTGAAACTGGAGCCGTCGATGTATTAGACATTGGCTCTACAGGTTTCGTCATATTTTGTTCGGTATTTTCATTTGTTAATGGCAGGTGCGATTTTGGCACATACTTATTTGGAAGATCACCCATTATGTTAGCTATTAATCGCTTGGTTTCATTTAAAATTGCATTTGGATCATTGGTTTTTGTTAATTCTTTCGATCTTACCGGAGAACGTGATCTCGAACGTGAATGAGAACGCGTCCATGATCTTGGCGAATTTGACAATGATTTCGAAAACCCTCGTGATTTTTTCTTTGCTTTTTCATTCTCGCTAACATTTTTGTCCGCTGCCTTATATATATCCTCAAATGTGTAATCATCATCGTCATCTGATAGATCTAACTTCGTTTTCTTATCTTCATTCTCATTTTTAGTTTGTTGTTCTTCCTCGTCATCATTTGCAAACATATCTATCTTAGGCTTCCATTTATCTTCTTCCTCCACAAGATTTTGAGTTCCTTTACGTATAGAGAAAGGTGAAATAGTTCTATTTGATTTAGCAGTAATTTCCACTTTTTCTGGCGTTGGAGATTTTAATTTTGGTGCTGTAGATGTTATTGGTGTTGTACCTAAATTAACGAATGCTCTTAATTTTTCTACTCGAACTGGATCAGTTATTTCTAATTTTTTTAAGAAATTAATAAGTCCGTGTTGTTCTTGAGTACTTAAGTCTTTGAAGTTTTGTAAAAGCGATTTCAAATCTGTATCCGATAGGCTTTCCATTCTAGAAGTTTGACGTTCCACTGTATCTATTGTTGTTGAAGTTGTGGATACAGCTGATGTAGCCTGAGGAAGAGAATTATTACCACTTGATAATCCTTTAACAAAATCTGCAGTAGTTACTAGTTTGTCAGAATTTTTAGATGCTTCGGCCATTCCAACAACAGCATTAATAAGAGTTTCTAGCTCTTCTTGTGATACATTAGATCTACCTTGTGCTACTAAAGCAGCTGCTATTTGTTGAGCTATAGCTACTTTGTCTACAGTTCCGACACCAGGCACGCTAACAGGTTCAGATTTAATCGCAGGTGTAATTATCTCGACTGGCCTTGGATAAACTGTTCTAGATAAATAATTCGTCGATCTAGCAGCTTCTAATTCCCGTTTTTTCTTCTCTTCTTCCATTTTCTTTTTATTTTCTGTTGCTTTATGCAATAATTGAGCAATATTTTGTATCGCAGTTTTCGTTGGCGTTATCGCCATTTTTTCTATCATTCCTGCGAATAGCTGACCCTTTAGTTTCTCCTTCACTGTTTCAAATAATACACTCACTTCTTCATCATATAATAATTCTTCGGCAGAATTAGGTTTCGCCTTTTCTGCAGCTAACGCTTTTGAAAGAAGAGATACTATTTTCGGTCCAAGAGAGCCTAATTGGCCCTCAAGTGCTGTAAGTAATCGTAATAAACCAACCACTTCTAAATCCTCGGTTAATACTTCATCTGGCATTGGACTTGGAGATTTATCTTTTACTGGGTACGGTGTTGCGTAATGTATCGGTCTTGTGCGGGGTGGAATACCTCGAGGATAATAACTGCTTCTATACATACTACCCCTTCCACGCATGTATGAAGAATACGCGTAATCACGTTCTCTCATCTCATGACGATCATAATAATCTGTTTTAATCGTTTTCGTACCAACATACTCTACTTCATCATCGCTTTCCACACGATGACGACTTCTTTTTGGCGACCTCTCGCGTCTGTTTGATGGAATCCATTTTTCCGGTGGTTTATCTTCCGGTAATTCTAATCGCTTCCTGATCTCTTCTTTTCTCTGTTGTAATTGTTCATTATGGATTTCACGCATTCTTTTGTTCCAAAATTCAATCCATTCCGGTTTAAAGTCATGTTTACTTGGATCTTTGCCTTCAGCTTGCAATTCTTTATATCGTCTATTCCAAAACTTTTTCCATTCATCAGGATAAGACGGATGCTTCTCTGGATTTTTTTCATGAAACTTTAATGCACGATCAAGCGTTTCTTCAGCACGTCTGATTTGTTCTCGATATTTATCCCATTTATCTCGTTCTCTGAGTGGTTCTGGAGAACGTGAACGGGAACGAGTTCTTGAACGCGTACGATCTCGTGAATATCGCGATTTACTACGGTATTTCCCACTTTTATCTACCGAACTGGCCTTACGACTACGAATAGGTGATCGTGATCTCGAACGCGATGGCGACGGACTACTTGATATACTCGAAAGTGACGAGAGAGATTTCGTCTCGTCAGAGGGTCGTTTGGGGGATTTTTTCATGTTTTCTTCATCTTTATCTAAAGGTTTGCGGATATTTAATTTATCCCTCGTGAGAATACGGATCTTGAAACCCCTAGAAAAAAAAGGATAAAAAATCGATTCAACATTTAATTTTGAATGAACAATTAATGGAGGGAGGAATAAGATTATATTCGTATATTTTTCCATACATATATTATTTATCAAATATATTTAAATGAACAAAATTAGATAATAGTAAAAATATTAAATTTTGCTAAATCAAATTCTTATATATGCGAAATTAACGTTCGAAGATAAATTATTCACTTACGATTTAGTAGTATCTGATTTTGAATCTGTTTTCTTCGGAGATGATTTCTCAATTTTCTTATCTTCACTTTTATGTTTATCGTCTTGCTTCTCATCGGTAGGTTGAGAATCTTGATACAAGATTATTCAATAATTGAATACTTACAGAAACACAAATACTATATATTAGAAATATAAATTATCGTATACTCACCTTTCTTTGAATTACTATTACCAGTCATTTCTGCCATCTTCTCTTCAAAGTTTGTTACCCATCGCACATCGTAAACATCCATAAATGTTAACTCTGGCGTTTCCCTGCACGTAGGAAACAGCCATTGATTTTAAGGAAAAGTAAATTAAATTATGAAGATCATTAGCGCGCACTTTGTTGAATCACGTTCACAAACTTTCGTAAAATCGCGAACTGAAGTGCTCACATCATATATCGCTCAACTGTGTTAAGCGAAAAATGTGAGGAGAAAAAAAAAAAAAAAAAAAATCATGACTTACCTAAAATGATAATCCTGATAGACCCTCTTGATATACTGCATTTTATTCTTTTCAAATTGATTCTTGTCTACTAATTGAGGTTGTAATCTTCCAAATCGTTCTTCAATCTTCTTAGCCACTAACACAGATATTTCATTAGCTCCACGTTTATAATTAGGTGTACGCGGTAATTCCGTAATTGCTCGCGATATTGTTGGAAAATGTCTATTTAGATAAGTTATTCTGTGATTATAACTGGCAATATGAGCCATAACAGTGCGAGGATCACCTCGTTTATCACACAAAACACATGTATAACTTGGTTCACAAGAATCATTATCAACCAGTTCAAGTAAATATTCTAGACCAACAAGTGGAGAACTTCTATGTCGATCCAGACTCATCTGAATCGTAGTTGTTCTAGTTATTTGATCTTCCATACCAGGTGGTACTGGTTCTCCAGGTGCCAAACCATCACCAATGGCAGTTGATTGTACAGGTGGAGCTGTTTTCACAATGTCTGATCGTTTGGACCATAATAAAACTGGATATGGCCATTCATTTAATTTCATTTTGTGACGATTACATGTATTATGATTTAGTAATTTATGAGCTCCAAATAAAGCAATATTACATATATGACACCATATATCACCATCTTCTGTTTCAGAATACACAGGTCTAAGTGTGCCATCTTCAGCAGTGACACTACTTCTCATTAAACGTTTTCGATCATATTCTTCCTGTGAAATATAAATATCTCATAAAATGAACAGATAACTGTCATTTCAAGAGTATATCACAGAATATAAAAATATAATTTGATAAAATTAATAAAAATTATTTTAATAGAAAAACATGAATTTTCATTGCAAAGTTTAAGTATTATTAAAATTAATATAATAATTTAAAAATAAAATACATATATTTACATTTAACTTTGACAAATGTGTATTACAATATATTTAGAATAGAATTTTAATTTTGTAAATTTGTTAGAAAATTTTTTAAGCATTAATAAGTTTTTAAGCATTATAAATAACAATATTTTTACAAAACATTTTTCTAATATTACCTTTTCTTTATCTGCTTCTGATAAATGTGAGGGATTGCGTCCCTCTATGTCTAGATCATCAAAGTTTTGCATGGTTGACCCAAGTCTATGAAAAATTCTCACGGTACTTTCTGAAAATATAAAAGTGCTAATGATGTTTAAGAATGATAACAATGCAACATTAGGGCCGGCAAAAATTATAAAATTTAATAAAAAGTGTTACAATATATATAAATAATTGTATGATACATAACATTGATAATATGGAAAAATAAATTTTTAATTCTAATTATAAATAATAAATCTATAATTGATCTAAAAGTATATAAGAATTAATATTATAGAAGTGATATTACTATTATAGCTAATATTTAACTAATTATCTATTACAGAAATTATATAGAATGATAATGTTATTTTATACGCCAACCCTGCAGCAGCAATTTAATTTATAACTATTTATTATTTATATTTTTTTAAAGTTTATTATAGTAAAGCTACAAATTTTAAAGAACTATACTTACCCATTTAATGTTGTACATACTATTGTATTTAAACAATTTATATACACATATAACATTATTTAAATGTAAAGTTTCCATTAATATAGTTTTATTTTATTTTAAATTAAAAACTAAGCATAACTTTGCATTTGAAAGCAAATAGCTTAATATTTAATATTTATATTATATATAGCAAAACACTGAATTGAGTGTTTCAACACACAAAATCCAACACAAGTTCTTAAATATATTTTATATGTAAATTTTTATAACACACTTTATAAAATAAATCAAATTTGATATATGTACTTACATCTTAGGCTAATAACTCTAAAGAGTAATTGGGCTCCTAAAGGAATTGATTTTATTAAAAGAGATTTGTTCTTTTATGTAAGAATTTATATCATTATTATCATCATTAGTATTATTCTTATTGTTATCACTAATATTACTATCTATAATTTTGCTGGAGTATAAGAATCAATCCCCAGCTACTTACCGATAAAAGGAAATTTCATATTTCCAATAATATTTCCAAAATGCACAAATACCACAAAACATTAAACAAAATGCACCATACAAAGACACTAATATTACGCAAAGTTAAGACTTAAAATAACTTTGCGAATAATAATAAAAGAGAAAAACATAACCATTCAGGTTAAAATAAAATCATGTTATGTATAGAATCAACACAGCTAATACGAATAATGCTGTGAGTTTCATTGTAATAGGAGAATAAATAGGATTTATATAAATAATGTGTCTTTTTATTAAGCGGTGCTTACTTAAATAAATTATATATTCAGCTAATAACATAATAAGAGTAACGAAATCATGATGAAAATTTCGGAGCAACCTGTAATACGCGTAACCAAAAGGTTATTCTACTGATTATGCATAAAAATGCAGTACATTGATTATACTAGCATGATAATTTTTATCAACTAAACGATCATAGTCAAATGGCGATCTCTTGATTTTTAATTAATTTCTTCCTTTTATACCGATATAATTTTATTTTTTTGGCAACTTTACGCTTAAATCGTAATCTCTTATAATAAAGAAATAAAAAGAAAGCTCGACTTACCAAATTACCAATGAACGACGATCACATTCAGTAATTCTGTTCTTGTAGATTTTTGGTTCTCTAATTTTGTTTTCGATAAAACCTTTTGGAGGCCATATCGAAAAAGAAATATTCAACAAGAACAGATTTGCGCATGACTGGCCCGTATCCAGTCGTGTTTAATTGTATTTAGGTCGTATTAGTAGAAAACATTATTATCAACGAAACATTTTTCCTGTTTTTACAACGCTCGATAAATATGAATTAATTTATTCATATTTATCATTAGAGATTTACCATCTTTTTTTAAAATTCATTATTTTTAAATTTCATCATTTGAATGAAAAAACCATTATCAAGTTATTTTATAGATGTTGAATGTAGATATATTTTAAATAAATGATGAAAAAAAAAAATACAAAATTTATTTTTTTCCTTTTTTATTCTCTTTATTGTTTATTTTATCTTATTTTCTTATTATATATTAATTACAATAAAATATTTACAAAAAATCCTACTGAAATTCTCAATGAAACAATCTTAAAGGTAAAAAAATTTATTTAATTCATCATTACTTAATTATAAAAATTAAAAAAATTAATTATTCATTTTAATTATAATTTTATTTTTAATATTTTAATTAATTGTTTGCTTCGTATTATAAAATATTTTGTATTATTCTATAGGTAATACGAATAGATAATACGAATAATATAATTAATAAAACGATTCAAATTAAGAGATACGATTATTATAAAAAGTATAATATGAATTTTATTTAAAGATTTAAAGAATTTTTACTAAAGTTAAATTATAGTAATAATATAATATATTATAAAAATGTTGCATTGTTGCATGTACTTTATATTCGTAATTCAATTTTTTATAAAAATTCTAGCAGAGATGCGAAAATCGTATTCTAAAACTCTATTATTTACCCAACTACGATACCCATGATAAAGTTTTCCAATATTTTAACCGAGATATATCGGTGGATCAAAAATATCGGAAAGTTATTTGAAATGTTTGCCTTTGTAAACGAATGTTGAGAAACTATATCACAACTTTGTGAAATTTGAATCTTTTATATTCTTTTAGAATTCAATTTCAAAGCTGAAGTTGTTCTTAATCTTCTGAAATACAAATTTTCTTTATTTATTTTCCATGATTTTAAAATAAATATATAGATTTTTCAATATTATATTTACTATACCTGTTTTAAAAAAAATGATATTTCTAACTATGAAATATTATATATATAATATTTTTTTACACATCTAATTGTTAACAAGAAATAATTTTTGTAAATAAAAAAATAATTACATATAAAATTAAATTAAAGAAAGAATTTCTAATTACCTAGAAATATATTGGCAATAAGTCTCAATTGAAGATTAACTGGAAGAATCAATTTGAGCTATTTGAGATCAATTTTTGATTAAAAACAGGGAAAAATCTGTAAAAATGATACTTTCACGAGCATCAAACGACTTATTTTTATCCCAGCCTATTCTATCAAAATCACATCGCTTCCAAGCTTGTTAATGCAAGATCACGGTTACTAAAGGTGATGAGAGATCTCGGTCTGCGAGTAAGAGGATGTTCGCGATCAAAGCGATCGGTAGCGGTAACGTGGTAACCGTAATCAGGTAACCGTAGCAGAAGGGGCTTAACACGTGTTGTCCCAAGATGCTGTTACACGGCCAGTCAGTCGGTCATCGTCTTCCATTGGTGTTCACTTTTGAAATATCCTCCGAGTGAGTGCCGCGCGCGAATGGTTCCCAATGTTCAACACGATCTTCGGATGTTTCACCGTTTATTCCACGCTAATGCTCTTACTCGCGGGTGTTGTACCGATCATGGACGCACAGTGGAGCGTTTCGTCGTGGTTGTCGTTCGGTATTTATACTTTGATCGCGTTTCCACGGAGCACGCACCAATGGTCGTTTCTGGGCTTGAACTTTTGGCAGAATCAGACCGTGGAGAAACCTTCGAACGAATTCAATTTGATCGGAAATCCAATCTCGAAGGGTAAGTTCTCGTGGAGTGCCGTTTCGTGTTTCTTTTGTGTCCACCGTTTCCCCGAGAACGTTCCAGGAACGTTCTAACATCGTGTGTTTGCCCCAGGGTTTTCATTCCTTTTCGAATCTTGTGTAGGATTCACGCAAGTGTTTGGCCTCGAATGGGATGACGTTGAAATGTTACGCTTTTTTCGAAAACGATGAATTTCATTCTTCCTTTAAATCTGGTTAACGATCGGAACAATGTTCGGTTAGATTTGAATCTGATTAATTTCGAAGCATTAAAAGTTGAACGATATCGTTTCGATCATCGATGAATTATCATTAATGAATAAATAGTATATTATATTAGAGCATGAAATATTTCCATATTTCGTTAAATTTCAAATGCATAAAACACTTACCCAAACTCGTAGCCGAACACAAGCCGCAAAGTGTTAATTGCCAATCACTAAGTAAGAGTAATTCAATCATCTTCCATCGAGGAGAGATCAGAAACCGACAAATTGATTACCTCGGTAATTGCGTGTTCATTATCGCGTGTCTATTGCACCAAACAAAATAGAATTCTAATCGAATATCGAGCGATATGTTTAACGCGATATTCGTGTAATTTTAATTACGATATTCATGAATTTATAAATTCACGACGGAGAAAATATTTCTCGTCCTATTTTAAATTTTCGCCGTACGTAATATCTGAAATTGAATTTACATGATAATAATAAAATAAAATTATTAGATTAAATTTGAGATAAGAATTTAGAAAGTGAATTAAAAGCAAAGATTAAAATTACTTCGGATTAAAATTCCTCTTAAGATAAGTAAAATTTCTTTTTAAGATAAGTACAAGTACGTAACCTTCATAAATCACTGTACATACCATCTTGTTTTCGTTATTTTATTCGATTTCTCGTTTTTCAACCCCTTATATGTATGTAGTTCTCGACTTCTTCCCCACCCCGGTGCAAGAGGAATGCCTATCACAAGACAAACGGCGGCAGGGCGTATGCATGAACACGTATGAGTGTCACATTCAACGGGGGAAGTCCCTTGGACGATGTGCACTTGGTTTCGGCGTGTGCTGCATATGTAAGTAACCGTACCACAGTCCGTATATCCTGTTTTATCTACCGTCGATTCATTCGGTGTATGAACGCATATTATATCCTGCGGTGGAAATTTCGCAGCTGGGAAATAAAGGATCGGTGCATAAACGGGTTTAAATTTACGAAGATTTGCACTCACTCCTCGCCACTGCTAATTTGTTTATACTGTCGCGTTGCTCTGTGCAATTAATTTCTTATTCTTTTCATTTTTCGTGCTTGCTACTTTATATTCTTCTTTCTTCCTTTCCTTTTCTTTCCTTTTCTTTTTTTTATTTTTATAAACAACATGACTTTTACGGTACGCGTTAGTACGTGGTCTTAGCATATCGTATATCGTAGATTTTTTTAAAAGGATTTTATTTTTGTGACAATTAGAAAACGAGTATCGAAAGTATTTATAATCGGGAAAGATTGAAGATTAAAATTTTGAATTCTTAAGAATTCTTGAGTTTCGATTTTTTTTTGAAACATGATGTCAAAGATATTAATTTTCCGAAAAGGAATTATATTTTTTTTATGACAAGATTTTTCTTGTTTAAATAAATCCAATACATTATATGTATTAATTATAATTCTTTTCTCAAAATTTTACAATTGTTTAAATAAATCCAATACATTATATGTATTAATTATAATTCTTTTCTCAAAATCTTACAATTGGAGATTTTGAAGAAAAATTGAAAATCTTCATTAGCAATCAATAGTCAATGGTTGCAATGTTATTCGTGCAGTATAATAATGACAATGCGATTGTTTTCTATACCACATTTGGGTAACTGTTATTATATTAATTGAACATATTTGCGGCGTATTTATTTGTGAAAATTCATTTAATCATGAATGCTATCAATTTGTGGAATTTTATATCATAGAAACATTTTGTTTTCAAATAAGTTTTACATCATATTTTTATATAAATGTAACGCAATCATAGAACTTATTTTTATGCAAAAATTAAATAAAAATTCTACTTATCTGCTTTGGTCGTTTCCACCCACATCGTGTTCTGTCAATCGTAAATTGTTTAGTCTATGAAAGCTTACTTACACGTACCACACTCATTTCACGTGAACATTTCACGGATATCGTGTCTGAAACTTTACCACGCGATGCACAGTACTATTAATATTGGTAGATTGAACTTGTGCAAAGATTTTACCACTTTCTGGTTTGAAACTTTCTTCACGATAATATAAACACGAAATGTACCGTAATTTGTGATAAAAACATGGTTGAAGATAGTTTCTCGAGAGAAATGAAAAATAAAAAATTGAAAACAATGTTTTATTCTTCGTTTGGAATAAAAATTGACTTTTATTGCTTGTTATCGAAGATTCTTTTGAATTTCAATTTAATTTTTTCATTCTATTACTCTCAAAAACAAATTATTATTTGTTATTGATATAATATTGTTATTAAATTAAGAAACAAATATTGTATTTTTAAAGGAATAAATCATCTCTAAAATCAATAACTTATTTTATCAAAAATTTGCAATTCTCTTCCAGAATATTATGTTTTAATATTCGAAATTTTTCTTCGAAAAAGATTAAAGTTGAATCTTTCTTGTAATTTTCTTGAAATTTGTAGATTTTTATCATTTTCCCTCCGAGTTTCATATGAAACTTCCAAAATATCCAATCATATTTTTTCCATTTTTTCCAAAAAATCCAATTTCCAATTTTGTCAAATAGGCGATCCTAAACTTTTGACCGGTAGTGTAACTCTTAAATCACACGTCATAACGAGGAGGATTAAATATCCTCCCCTCGTCCATTACAAATTACACGATTAACGCGACTTTGGATCCAATTAATTACACTGGCGTCAACAGATTTGCCGTCAGTGATCCCTAGATTCCCTCGTTCGAAGGGAACAAATGGCCTCTTGAAACGTGCTATTCTTCAGTTTAATCGGGTTTTTTACACGTACACGTATGCGCAAAAGTATTTGATACTGATACGTTAAAAAATATATGTATACGTTTAAAATTAAATTTTACATTATTATAATTATTATTATTTATACGATATTAAAGAGTATTAAAGAGTATTAAAATAACACACATACATGCACGAAATATCAATATATTCTTGAAATAACATTAAACATCCTGGAGACTTATTTATTAAGTTATAAATAATTTAAATTTGACGTTAAATGAAACAAGACGGAGATCGATAAGATACGAGGTCTCTGAGTAAATATATAACAGATTGAAAATGATAAGAAAATTATAAATCATGCATAATAATATATTTAATACTCTTTCAAAGGAATGCACACAAATTTATTACTAAACTTGATAGTTAACGGTATCAATGATGGCCGGGCGCAAGGAATGAATCTCGAGGAACACGCGCGCCTCTGTGGAGAGAAAAAAGAAACGAAAAGCGAGAGAGGGAGAGAGAGAGAGAGAAAAAAAGAGAAAGAGCGCGAGAAACAGAAGGAACAGGAGAAGGAATAACCCGATACAAGCTCGCGTGCCAGGGTAAAACGTACGGCACAAGTTATACAGTTATTTAATTGGCTCTCGTCTCGTTCGTATGTCCCAGATCTCCGGGTTTCGTCGACCTTTCCGCCAATTTCTTCTTTCGGGATCGCGTCTGAAGGCTGCCATGATTGCCCGTTAAGATCCTGCTACGAGAACAGCATCGCATTCCTGCCTTCTTTCTCTTTTTTCTCTTATTTCTCTTACTACCGTAGAGATTGCCAGCTATCAACAAGTGATTCACGTTCGAGGAATGTTCTCTCGAAAAGTGATCTCGCGAGTTTTAACTTCTTTCGTAAAAAGATCAGATTTTTATACATTGAAATTATATCGATACTTTCGAAATCGTGATTATTAAATTAGAAAAGACATGGACGATTGGAATTCGATAATATTTTTTATTTTTCTTGTTCTTTTTCTTGTTAATAATAATTAATAATTGTTTTCTATTTTAATCTTTTCTATTTTTGATATCTTTCTACGCGATAATAAATGACGATAAATTATTTCTTGTTAGTTTAAAAAAATTATAGTTATTTGATATCTGATAAAGATGTCATTTCGATCAAATTTAGATTGATTATGATTTCTCATCGAATTGTGTATAGCATTCTTCTGTTTCTCGTTTCTAACGAAATATGATACGTGAGCAAATTCGTAGAACAAGCATCCTTTTATTGTGTATACGTGCTTATTTTTAGGTTATACTTGATAACCGTTGTAGACTTTTCTCCTTGGGATCATGTATATCGGTGAGGATACTGTGTCGGACGCGAAAAACTCTTTAGATATCTCACACCACATCCTATACATATATTTTTTGTACGTTGATACATTAAAGTATTTCTGAGCGCCGTGTTCCTAGGAAATTTTCCGAAATTGAAGGAAAATTGAAAGGTAAAGTATTTTACGTTGGATTATATGGAATTGACTTCGTCTCTGATAAAAAAAAATAATAACTTTGTAAAATAAATCATATATATTAATATACCGTTTGCCTTTGACTGCTTATGAGTAATATTGATGTACATCATCTAATGTAAATTAAGGTATATTGATTTTAAATTGAGTTCTATTTAGAAATTTTGGTGACCTGAAAATTTGAATATTTTCGAAGATTTCCAGCTTATGATTATATATCAAATAATATATATCGTTCAGAATATTCAATAATATCTGATTTATTTTCGATAAATTACGATAAACAATTTTTCTTCGGTTTTGTTATTATAAAATTACGAGTGAAATTCTTGATTAATAGGTGAAATAGGTTAATCTTTTCGTTTCGTATCATTTTTAACTTTACTACGGTATCAGTAATATTCCTATAATAATAGTTTATAGACGTTCTTTAACGTAATATTCTAATAGGTATTACTCGAAGGAAGGTATTATGGAAACAGAGAGTATTATGGAAATACCGAAATCAAGTCAGAACAGTTCTCTAAAATAACATTCCGATCCCTGAACTTTCTTAACCTCGTATAAATATTCATAAGTTTTTAATATATTCCAAATATTCATCGAATTTTCATATTTCATATTTCATATTTTATACGTCTCGGTAATGAGAAATAAATATTAATATATTTATAATTATATTTATCATAAACTTAATTATACATTGAACTTAATAAATGATATATAATTACATCGTCAAGAAAATCGAATTTACATAAATATATTGAATCCTTTAATCAAAATAAAATTTAATTGTTCTCTTTTCATAATCCAATTAAATATCGTATTATAATCGATTACAGAAAGATTACGAAATTACGATAGATTACGAAATTTGATATAAACACAATATGGGAAACTTTCTTTTTATATTCATAGGATTATAACGGTAAAAATTAGAATAATTCAAATATTTTGAGGAAACCGTAGTGCTCTCCGTTGAATATCATTCATTAACGTTCATTCGAAAAAAAGATACGACGTGTAATAAAAAAAAGATATGACGTAATCACACGACTCGTTCTATCGCTTTTCAGCGTTTCCTAATCTTTCGTGAATCGATCCGAGAGAAATTATTTGACATAATGGTCAGAGGGGACAGCTTGTGGCGGGAATGTGTTGCTTTTCAACCAGTTCGGTCACTAACACCATAACCATCGGACTAACTGTTCTATATACTGTTATGCATATGGAATATGTTGTGTAGAAACTGTACTTTCGAACAGTTTCCAAATGCCGCGTCCTTGATTCCTGGCCACATTGTTTCTGATTTGCACGCATGATGCACGAAAGATCGAGAATACAATTGCTTGTAATCACAAAAATTTTTCTTTTAACAGATTATTTAATTTCCTCATGGACGGATTCGTCTTTCCAATTTTATTGCTCGTAATAATTTTATTATCCTCCTCTAACAAAAAGACGAGTTGAATAAGAAAGAAGATAAGAAGAAGAAAGAGAGGAGAGGAAGGAAAGAAGGAAGAAAGAGAGAGAGAGAGAGAAAAAAAACAAGAGGAAAAAATGAGATAAAAAGATGCACGTAGTGAAAAGGTCAGGTCTTAAGGGCGTAACGAGACGTCGTTCCCCGCAGAGACACCGCTCTGTAAATTTTTTAAACTTGTCTACCCGCTTGTTTTCCGAGCGAAGGGAAGCGAAAAATATCTGCGCACAACTGTTAACCGTTTCCTCGGGGTTGAAGCCAGTTGAATAGAACCACCGTCACTCTAAAACGACCGCTGAATGGCTGAATAAGAACTCGTTATCAGGGCTTGGGGCTGCTTACGAGACCGTCACATTGCGATTAATAATCCTCCGTAAAAATATTTTCGCAGAAAGTTTTCGAGAACTTTCCACGAATGATATTTAACCATGTATATAATAAGCCGATGTGAAAGCAAGTTTCGTCCCTCTACGATGAATTTCGCTTTAATTATGCGGGTTAAATGGTAATTACGAAGATATCTATTATTCTTGATAATTTTATGATAATTATGCTCGCTTTTTTTTTTTTTTTTTTTTTTTTAGAAATATTTATTCGCGATTCCCGATTCGTTTTTATTTTTTTGTTAACATTGTTTGTAAAGTTTCTTTCATTTTGAATATGAAAACTCGAATGTAATTGAATTTTAAATGTGAGAACTTGTGAGAATGAAAATTGACACCGATATGCAAATTAATATGGAGAAATTGAATTAATCAGTTTTATTTTGCTTACGATATATATATATATAGCTGGATTTTTTTGTTATTTAAAGAATTAATTTTTCTTTCTTTATAATATTTTTATTATTTTTAATAATCGGTACAAATTGATAAAAGATTAATCCACATGAAAATATAAAGTCAAAAATGATATTTTGATTACACCGAAAAATTAAAAAAAGATTTATAAGGAAAAATTTATATTAAATTTATATTAAATTCGTTCCTTTTGTTATCTGATGTAATAAATTTGAATAGCAGTCAAATTTTCTAAACGTTGATTTATTTTAATAAAATTTTGAATATAAATTTTGTTACATTCTACATGTTTATTCTACATTCGATTTATTTCTTAGCTATTTATCACTTTTGTAATAATTTTCTATTATAACATATCAATTCGTTTCGATCGAATAACATGTTTGAATTAGTAAAAATTTGAAGATGCCGTAATATGGATACATTTGCTAATTTAAATCATTTATTTTATGAAAATTCTTGCAATAAATGCGATTAACACTTCTGTATATTTCATAGACGGTAAATTTAATTTGCAAACTTGATATGGAGGATAATGATAAATTATTTATATATACATATATGAATGTTATTAAATTCATCATTTTGAATACGTATTTAATTAAATGTTTAAATTTCTATGTCACGAAATATAAAATGGATATATTATTAGCGCATTAATAAATTTAAACTCATTACTTATAATATTTCTCATCGTCCATCGTGTAATTGTATCATCAACGTATCCACCATGTAAAGAAATTGAATTTGAAAGAAAAATTCGTATCTAAATACGTGCTAGCCAATTTTCCAATTAGAAAATTTATTTCGCGCGTAATTTCGTCTCGACCAACGTTCCTTGTCTATTAATCTATACCCTGTTTCTCGAGTAAACAGGTATTATCGTATCGCGCATTATAATTCATCGTGTACCGTTGTCACAGTTTCCCTCGGTCGTAGGTGTACAAGTTCTTTTTCAACTTCTTTTTCCCGTTATCGCGGACAGAACAGCGTAAAAATATCAGCAACAACCCGATAAAAAGACGTGAGATTTAAAACGGGGAAGAAAGTTGGATACGTTTCTTTGGAACGTTGATTTTTTTTTTTTTTTTTTTTTTTTTTTCTTACCAATTCCAATGTATAATATACACGTGAATGAATAAATAAACGTGTAACTTTCCCGTGAGAAGTTATATGTGTTAATGGAATTTATATCTTCGCGATATGGAAGAATTTTATTCAACGGGAAAAATAATATAAAATATAAAATAATATAAAATAATATGAAAAGTTATATATATAATATATATATAATATAATATAAAAAGTTATATATATAATAGCAAAATAATATAAAAGTTAATATAAATGGGGAAAAAACAAGAATCAAGAATGTCGGTTTAAAAATAATTAATACAAAAAAGAAAAAGAAAAAGGCAGTAAAAGGAAATAATCTTCGACTTGATTAATTTAGCTTTGTGTTTATTCGTGTGTAAGACAAGGTAAATAAATCGTTGATATTATAATGCGAAGTAATATATAATAAAATTTTCAAACGAGATAGCAATTTCATAATTTTGTAAATTTATCAGCTTCCGTAATTACGAATATCTATATAAATATTATACGAATATCTATGCAAATATTAGATTAATCTTATCTCTCGAAAAGAAATTTTCCATCGATACGATCGATTACCTCCATTTTTCCTCCATCATTGTCTCTAAATTACCGCCGATTAAACGTTCGAGGAATTCGATTTCTACGTAACCAATGCACGCAACTGATCCTAAAATGGCAGGAGGAGGAGAGGGGGAGGAGGAGGATAGAACGAAAGAATCGTTATCAGTAGATCGTATCGGAAAACAAAACGCTTTCTGACCAAAGCGAAGCGTACTCGAATTCGTTGTTCCCTAGCGTTTGAGCAGCACGTTGAGAATCAGATCAATATTTTCGAGTCGATATTCGCCTCGTAGAACAAATACATACACTTCGCTCTACCCTTCTACTTTATACATTCTCTGTCGGGCGCATAGAAATGGCCATCGTTGCACATCCATCGTTTCGACCGATTCCACCTTGGTCGCTCTCTTTTCCAACCATATTGCTCATTTATCTTCCAGTAATTGTCCTTTCTCTTCCCTTCCTCCTCCCTCCTATTAGGTCATTGTTGAATGTTCCCGTGATTTCCCAGGGTTTATGGAAGAAGAACACCGTGAACATCTTTATCTCGAGTAATTGTTTTCACAATTTTCAATTGCAATTTTCATTTGCAATATTCCATGTACATAGTGAGTCATATCATATCCTTCGACTAACAAGTTAAACGCTATTAAAACTAACATTAATTTTGTTTTGTACGAAACTCTGCGAGTGTGTAGGAAGACAGAATGGGTTATATGATAGGTACAATTTTTTTTATTAGAAAAATATCACTTTGAAATATATATAAAGCTTTAATATATATTTTTTAAATATAAGTTTGTACAATGATACAAATGAGAAAAAAAAAAAAAAGAAAAGAAAAAGAAAAAAGATGAAATATACAATAGCATAATTCAGGCTTAATAAAAGACATTATATTTAAAAGAATATGAATTCAATTCCATTTGCTTAAAACAATATTATAACTATAAAATTATAATTATAAAAAACAAATATTATAACCATCCATGATCTGTTTTAATTTTGAAAACGAATAAAGGCACTTGCAAAAGAAATAGCCTCGGATACACATAAAATTAAATAAATTCGAATACGAATAAAGAAACGTTCAGGATGACCTAATAATTTTTCTTTCTTTCCATCACAAGTCACGGCAAGTTGCGAGCAAGAGGTGCAGAATAATCTGACCTACGTGATCAGCCCTGGTTTCCCCAACCTCATTGACTGGCCCATGAACTGTTCAGTGGTCGTGCGGAAGATCGATAGGCAGGTCAGCCAGCTAAGGATCGATTTCGTCCACTTCAACATAGTAAGCCACGCAACTCTGTCATTCTTTGCTCCACTAACGGCATATTAACCTCCCCTTTTCCCTCCCCCTCCCCCCTGCGATACTACGCATTCGTGATTTCACACACACACACAGACACACACACACACATTTTCCCTACCATTTTACCGTACACCCTCTACACCCTCGCCTCTTTAGACCTCTCTGACGTCCTTGGTCACTGTTGTTGGTTCACGTGAGAAACGAAATTATCGGTTGTACAGGACACTCGGCACGGTTTCCACACGTTACACACGTTCGCGTGTGGAACTGTTGACCCCTAATTGAGAACGCAAGCAAGGGTTCAGTAACCCGAATATATGTTTCCCCTGTTTCGTTTCGGTGTCCCTCGGTTGACATTTACGAGTGCCTCTGGGGAATTTCGACCATCCTCGTAAAATTCAGCCACGTTGACGAGCAAGATTATCACGTTTTAAATTAACTGGACAACCTTGGAGGAGAGAGGGAGAGAGAGGGAGGGAGAGAGAGAGAGAGAGAGAGAGAGAGAGAGAGAGAGAGAGGGGATGAATTTTTCAGGGTCTTGCGTTATTTAAGGGCGAGCCTGAATCGTATATCATTCCCTTTTTATGGTTTGTTTGTTGGATGGAATGGTTATGACGATAGCAGTTGTGTTGCCTCGTCATTTCGATAGAAACGTTTTCTCGTGTCGTGTCCGAGTTTTGATCGAATTTTTGGAAAAATTGATCTTCTTGCAATTTTCTTTTTTTTTTTTCTTTTTTTTTTTCCTTGAAGAATACATCGTGTCAAGTTCTATGCAGAAACGAAAAATTTATGATGTTAAAAAATTATATTTATATAATTTTATTTATTATATTATTTTATATAATTATATTTATATAACGTGGTATATCGTGGTGAAATGTGCACGTGAAAAAACAAAATGGTGGTAAAAATGAGAATAAGAATTGAAAAGGATTGATATCACTTTATAATTTAGGTTTACAATTTAGATAATGGGCATGTTATTTTAGAAGTAGAAGCTTTCAGGGGAAATGCGGGAGATTAAAAATTAAGATTGCAAAGAATATAATTGTACGTGATGGAACGTAGAAGTTCCACTGCGCATCCGAGGGTTAATGACATCCCCGTAGCTTCAGGCATAGCACAGGAATCGCGAATTACTATACTTTCTTTTTAAACAGTGTTAGAACGAAAGAATTGCACTTTCTATACGTATAGGTCTGTTGTGTATTCTATCATATTAATAATTAAATTTAAAAGCAATGAAATTTTAATGAAACTTTATTTTTCTGAAATATGTGATAATTTCTGATATTGGATAATTTATCGATTTTGATTTTGAGTCTACAGAAAGAATCTTGGACGAATTGTTATAATTGGAAAAAATTTTTGTTAATAATTGATAATTTTTTTTGGGGGGAAAATGTTATTGATTCTTTGCGATAAATTCAAAAATAATTAGATATTCTTTTGTTTAAAGAAATTTGGGAATGATAATTTTTTTGTATTTTAAAATTACTTAAAATATTCGAGAGAAACAAATGCCTAATATTCCAATGCTATTTGCAAAGAAAGTAAACTTAATGGTAAATATTTCATATTTACAAATTCTTTACAATATTTGCAAGAAATATATGAAATTAAATAAATCATTGTTTAATACTTGTATAAAAATACCTGTATATAATAATATGTGTATAATTGTTTTAGATATAACAATATAATAGTTTTTGACAAAACATTTTTGATTACATTCGTTAATATAAATAACCAAACCAGTTTCGTATTGGATTTTACTTTGTTCGTTCAACTGAGTGACCCATTAAACAAGATCACATGCGAGATACAAAAGAATCGTTATTTTTCAAGTTTAATTTTATTCGGGGGGAAGAAAGACGTGAAGCGTAATTTTTAAAACATTTTGAAATATTCTCAGTTTTTCCAACACTTATATCAATTTGATCATAGAAATTTTATATTTCATACACGTGTATGGATATATATATATATATATTTAAAAATCTTTGGTATCTGGAAAATAGTGTCTATAATTTACATAATTAAAAATAATAGATAGTAATAGAATAATAGTATCAAAAATTTAAAATGAAACTGAATTTTCGCTTTTCTCTAGAATTTTCTGATTTAAAAACGTTGTCAGTATGTGTATACGTTGTGAAAGCGGAATTCGATTAAAAACTCATACGGTCGAACAGTGAAAAAGGAATGAAATGCGAGGTACGAAGAATCTAATGGAAAATGGATCGTCAGGTATGTTTTGTCGTTAACAAGACAGCAACTAGATCTCCTTTCCTAACTTTTCATACATTTATTATTCACAACAGTTCTCCAAGTAAAATTTATTGAAAAGAACAACAACAACTTTTAAGATCGCATTAAGATCGAGTTAATGTTATTGACAGGATTATCGAGAATTTTGACATTATGAGTTTTATGTTGATTAATTTCTTTCAAGTTTGTTGAAATTTAGGAAAAGAAAATTATGGAAAATTGTAAAGAAAGAAAAAAGAAGTATATTGTAATAATTTTATTAATATTGACGAGAATTTTGGAAACTTTTCAATAATCATTTTAACGAGTTTATCGCGAAGCGACTTCAAATAGAAGTTCATCGAAAAAAAAAAAAAATAAGAGTTTTAAAGTTATGTTCAAGTTTTGCAGCCATTTTAACAAGTTTATCGAAGTTTATGTATAAAAGTTTACGAAAGGAAGAAATCTTCTAACGTTTTGGAATAATTTTAACAAGTTTATCGAAAAGAAGAATTTCTAGATTATTTTAAAGTTTCATTACAAATTTATAAAAATTTACGAAAAAAAAGTTGTATTAAAAGAAAAAAATATTTCGTTTTTTTGCAGCAATTTTACTTTGTTAAAAAGAATAAAAAACTCAACATTAATTTCAAGATTACGCTCTTTCAAGTCATCGCCTTATCCTTCACACATTTAATCATCATACTTATGCAAATTGAATTTAATAATTTTCGATAACTGATAATAAAACACATAAATAAGTTAACAATTAATAACTTACATTAGAACAAAATACAGTTCTAAGTATTTCTAAGTTAATTAAATAATCTATATTTACTGCCCAATCAGCTTAAAATAATTAATTTGTTATCGATAATTATTTATTTAAACCAGTGCTACAAAATACATCAAAGCTTTCAATTTAGAATTTCAAAATCAATCTCAATTTCTGTGAAACATTTCAGAGACAAAAATAATATTACTTGATAAAATTACGACTCAATTTTATATAATAAATTAAATAAATTATAGCGTGTCAATTAAGTGTCAAAGTAATTAAAAATATTTCAATTATCTTCCTTTATCTTTAGAAGAGATAAACAAATAAAGAATGAAATTATTTGATAATTATTTAGACTTGAAATAAGATAATATAGGTTAAGGTACTATGTTCAATAAAAATCAATTGCATTTATCGACTTGTCCATTCAAGAAATTTATCGATCGTCTTAGGGTCAACCCAATTCAAGGACTGGTGTATGTGACGAAGATATTATGGAAATTAGGAATGGCAGAAGCATATTTCACATGTGCGGATGGAACAGTGGCCAGCATCGTAAGTAAGAATTCCTTCATACCATGATTTTTTAATATTTTCACTTAATTTATCAATATTTTATTGTAAACCCTATTATACAGAAAATATTCGATACAAATACAATCACAATATACTTTTAATATACTTTAATATAGTTGATGGTAATTAAGACGAAATTTAATGGTATTGACCCATCAAATTTCAAAAAAACGATCTAAAAAATTAGATCTAATAATTAGATCTCATTCACATCAGAACGATCGAACCTTTTTTAAAATCAACAATTTCTGCTCTTAATTGCACCTCCTTAAAGGATCTTGATTTTCCATCTAGTGTCCTGGAAAAAATACAATAGTATCGAAAAATATAATTATTTTACAAAAAAAGGAAAAGAAGAAAGAAAGAAAAAGGGAATGAAAATCGAAGAATAAAATTTGATTCGACTTTAAATTATTTTACAGAGCATTGTATATATTTTCCATGATCCTTATTTATCAAACTGTCAATAATTCCCCTCGAAACTAATAAATCAAACTCGCATTGATAAATGTTCGCAAGGAATTCTCATTAATCCATCGCTTACGATTAAAATCTCACTAATATCGCGTTTCCACCGAACGACAGGGAACAATCAATCTCTCTCTTTCTCCCTCTCCCCTCGCCAAAAAGAACGAATATATGTGTTGGGAAACGATACTTGCCAAGACTCCATTGTTCGAGAGTAGCCTCTCACTAGGCTTAGTTAAGGGATCGATCGATCTTCTTCGATACAAGTTCCCTCTTTCGTGTCGAGTCAACTGTTTACACCCTCTTTGTTTTTCTCTTTTTCTCTTTTTCTTTTTTCCCCTCTCTAGTATACATCGACATGGACGAGGATCAGCCGTTGACGCTGCACTTCCGATTGCCCGATGGCCTCCAGTCCAGAATGTGGGAAATGAGAATCGTCCAATTGGACTTCGAGCAGCGCGCCCCTACCGGCTGCCTCCAGTACTTCGAAGGCAACAATGGCACCTTAAAATCCCTAAACTTTCTCTCGAACGGAAGATTTCTGGCCAATCAGGATTACTTACTCTGTATTCGTCAAGAAAGAGGGATGTGCGGAATCTCTTACTCGCCCTGTTCACCCGACTCGTTCAGAATAGGCCCGTCCAGGATGCAATCGACGAATCGTACGAACGCGAACGTGTCCGTCGCCGATCAGAGTCATGCAGTCACGAATTTCACCGAAAAAAGGAATAGCACCGACACGGGGTCTACGAACGCCACCGATAACGAGGGATCTGGATCGAACTCCATGGACGATTTTCTCACCTCCATGAACATGAGCAATCCAATGGAGCAAGAAGCCGATTCGTCGGGGGGGAGCAGCGTTTATGGGCAAGAACGATGCCGTGACAGGGTGCTCATTCCCTGTGACTTCGAGGAATTTATCACGGTAATGTTTTCACTTTGTTTGGGAACAGGGATGCCGAGAGAGGGGTCGGTTGATAGGAGAAGTTGGCTCTACCTAGGTTCGAGAGCGCTCACGAGGAGTGGCTCTTGTGATGGATAAAAGCTATCAATTATAATGTTACCAACTTTATTATGCCTCTTTGTTCTTTGTTTCTTTAGATTGTATGATGAATTGTATATGAATGATATGAATTGAATAGTCAAGTTTTGGATTTCGTTGATTACGTAATCAAATAATTTAACGACTATCGTAATGTTGGTTTGAAATGGAATTTGGTAAGCGGCTTGTTTTATCGTGTAAATTGTTTGATTTTCGATATGATTCATGTAAATTGTTTACTTTTCAATATTGATTGTTGTTTGAATTGAATTTAGAATACGATATAATTGTTCGATATTTGTAAGATAATGTTTATTTTTGTAATATTTGTAGAAAAAAATTATGGATAAATATTGGAAAAAGATACACTTACATTAAAATTATAGAAAAATTGTATAAAATTTTAAAATTTGTCTTTTAAAACAAAATAGTTAAAATCAAATTATTTTATTTATATTTAAAAAAGTAATATTCTTGTTTGTAATATTTTTGTGTATTTTGATAAATTTTTATAAGAATTTATAATTTTTGAAGAAATAACTTTCTGATTACTAGATAATAAAAATTTATTATAAACTCAAATATGCAATTGCCTTGTAAAACGAATTAAACGAGGTAATGCATTTTTGTAATCTCCTGCTCAGTTCTTCTTGCAACGGTAAATAGTTTCCAAGTAACGGTGAACACTATGAAATATTCCAGAGAAAAATTTATTTTAGCCGCAAGCCATGGATCAGTCATCTTAATCAAATCTTCCGATAAAAAATGTTTGAAATTGAAAAATTTAACACATTCCTTACAGTTTTTCTTTTCTTACAAATCTTCTGCTTTTTCATATTTCATTTTCTCAATAAATAAAAAAAAAGATTCTTTTTGAAAATCCTTAAGAATTTTTTATTTTTTAAATAAACAAACTTTTCGTTACTTTGTGGAATTTATATCTTTAAAGAAAGAATTTATTTCGTACTTTACAATACATAATTTTAAACTCAATATTTACTAGAAAATTTTACAGTATAAAAAAAGAAAGAAAAGAAAAAAAAAATATTAATTAAACACGATAAAATTTAACATCAAAATCATAGGATCAACTAACCTTGTCTCCTTCAACGAAGCAAATGTTCGTTACGTGTAACACGATGACGTTGGTGTTCCCAAACGAAATTTCCAAACTTGTGTTTGCAGCCTGGCAACAACGAGGCGGGTATTTGCAACCTTGAACATTGCGGCAATTCACTGTGCGATCGAAACCAGGTGGACGAAGAAGGCAACTGTCGCGTGGAGACTTGGGCAACGCCCTTTCGCATCAGGGTGGCCTTTGGCCCTGGAGAGGATACCGGAACCACCCTCGAGGACAATATTGGAATGTGTCTCGTGTACGAGCAATTATCCTGCATGGCTTGAAGGTATGCCCTTCCAAGTGTGATAAATAAATGCGAGGATGAAACGCTTCACGTTTCACCAATTATCCAAAGATCAATCGCGATACAATATTCGAGGAAGACGATATATTTTCGTATTTGCTATGCTGATATATGAATGATAAATAATTTTAAAATATAATTTAAAAATTTAAACTTTTATAGACTGTTTATTGTTATGAGATGAATTTAGATATAGAAATAAATATATAAAATGGTTAATTATTTTTGATTCATTATGTACATTTCAATGAATAATTAATAATGAAATTAACGAAACGTAAAATTAATTTATATTAATTTTATATTAATTAATATAATAATTTATATTAATTAATATTATTCGTTAAAAAAAAATATAACAATGAAATATTTATTTGTTTTTGTTCGTGTTCAGAAGTCTATTTTTGTGTCGATTTTTTTTAAATGTACTCAAAATTTTCACATCATTTTTTTTAAGGAAATATCATACCTTTTTTAAAATATCTTATCAAAATTCTAAATATTAAAAAATATAATCTTTTTCGGCCATAAAGACAAAAATCTAGTTAACAAAATTTCAACTACGTATTTTTTTTCTCAATTTACTGTATATAAGTATTAATTGTACGTATCATAGAAAAAAAAAAGATTAAAAGCAGTAAAAATTAAAGTTGTCTTTGCCATGAACGAATATCAAGAAATATTAAAAAATTCTTCGTCTTCATTGAACATTCACTATCAACTATCAACTTATTTTGATCTTACAAAATTATTTCATTAGATAAATGATAAACGAAACTTCTATAGCCAATAAGAAAAAAATCTAGTGATCCCTAGAATTGGTTTCTAGGGATAACGCGTTAAACGTAGGGAAAAACGTACAAAATTGAATTCATCCCGAGACACCGATGTCAAAGAGTTAAATAGTCTTTATTTACAAACGAACTAGCTTAAATCGCAAACGCAGCGCACAACTCTCGATACAATAATAGATATATATAATTTCGCTTTTTTTTTTTTTTTTATTTCCATTTTCGCCTCCGTTTTCTCTCGATCACGCGTCACGATCGTCGGCCACGACACGCCGCAGTTCAAGCCGAAAATATACGAGTAAATTTCGAATCACCTCACTCTTTGCATCCATTTCTCGCATGCAAATATTTTATTATTGGTTCCACCGTTTTTTTCGACCAATCCTATTGTCCCATCGATCTTTCCAGATCGTCCAACGACCTCTTTTCGAACTGACGCGGAAGGAGCCGACGATGATCACGGGGAATCGCAGCGATAACGATAATGATGTTACAAGAATAAATTATAATGCTTATTAAATACAATAATGAAGGTGACGTCACGCCGGAATTTCCGAAAGGAACGCCATGCCCCTGACCATAATAATGGCGTGACGTTACGAGCTCCTTATCATCATCATCATCATTTCTCTCGGTGATTATTACTTAAACTTCGTCCAACTTGTTCTTCATCATCTTCGTCTTCGTTCTTTTGGTTTTTTTTTTTTTTACTTTTTTTCTTTTCCTTTCGTCCATTAAGTATATAACCGTAATGATAAGTAATAATTTAGGGATGGAACACTCGAATTCTTGAAATTTTTCGATGCCAAAAAAGTCTCGCGCTCGAGAACGTCGAAACTTTTTGTTAATTTTTCGAAACTGTCGAAACCTGGATGAAGGATAATTTTTTTCTTCTATTCGATTCAGTAATGCACGAAGTTGGTAATTTTTTTATAGCAAAAAAACTGTTATCATTTTAGCCGAGCTAAATCAAAAATTTCAAAGGAATCAAAGTTTTCCAACCAAATTTTCCGATAACAAAATATATATATTTGAAAATATACACTCCTTGGAGGAATGGAAAAAAGGAAAAAGCAATTTGTTCCAGATTTCGAGAGTTTTCAGACCTCGTCAAATTTCAGAATCTTGAATTTCGAATTCTAAAAATCAGGTTACGACCCATCTCTATTGATAATAATAACAAGAGATTAGCAATAATCGTGATTGAAACCTCGACGACCACCTCTCCCTTTAGCCCTGTAATAACGATTATCCAGGCAGCGGAGGCCGTCGACGTCTGATGTCGGCGTGTGTGTAAGAAAAAGTCGTAGCTCTATCTACGAAAGTCAAAAGGACCGATAAAACAGTGTAAAAGGGCGGTTGTGGTCAACGAACGTGGCGTGTATACGTGTGTATAGGTTACGTGTGCATGTGTGTACGGTATGCGATGCGTGTATACGGCTCTCGCGTGTATTGGTACGATTCAGATATGTGTGTATGTGCGTGTGTGTTATGCTTCTTTGTACAAAGTCCTTACGAATACGGCACATGTTCTTCCCTCCCCTACCTGATACCGTATTGCGATAACTCGTGCCAACTCTCTCTCCTCCTTTTTTTTCCCCTCCTCCCTCTCTCTCTCTCTCTCTCTCTCTTCCTTATCTTCCTTCCTTTCTTCCCTCCCCTATTCTCTGCCTTTCTTCTCGCGTTTTTATAAACTTGCTTTCCTTTTATCGGGAACTCGGTTCGACCCTTCGAGTTTTAACGAAACTTATCTCTCCATATCTTTTTATTATCTTTCAATGCGACGTGATGATATGTATACTATTTTTTTTTTTTTTTTTTTTTAGAAGAATAGGCGATTTTATGTCGTATATTATATTTTTTTTCTCCTTTCTCGATTTTCGATCGAATCATCGATCCGAAGAGGTAGAGATCGTACTCTTGCGACGTGTACAACGCGCAGAGTTGGAGCAACGATCGACCATCGTCGACGCATCATTGGTCTCTGTTTTTTTTTAATTTTAGCTTTTAATTTTCCACGTTTGTCGATTTGTTCGATGAATATTTGATGCTCGCTTCGTTTTCTGGGTTATCCGGTGTGTTATACGTCGACTCGAGGTGGTGAGGGGGTTTGTATCGAGGGGTGTGTTTTCAACAGTGATCCTCTTTAACGTTGCAACATCCGCCTAGTTGTGTTCGATCCATGTTTGATTTCACCATGTTGAATTTGTTTAACATATGAGATTCTGTGACTTGGATGTGGATTGGATCGCGGCCAATGAATTTGTTCAATGCTCACTCGGTGATGTGTTTGTTGAACAAACGTTTCACTCGTAGTTTAATGCATCCTTGATTCATGTCAGATTTGTTGTTGGATAGACTTGTATTGAATTTGTTCGATCAATTTGTGCGACTCCATACTCGCTCTCTTCCTTCTTCCTTCTTTATTATCACATTTTGCTCTTTCTTCCTTATTTTTCTTTTTTTTTTTTTTTTTCTTTTTAAATTCGTATTAATTCAATTTCAAGTTACAGAATATGTTTTAATTGCTTGAGATTCGATATCAGATTTTTTTCGTAGATTTTTAGACGTTAATTTGTTTGATAAATATTCGATATGAAACGATTATTTTTTTTTATAGAAACGACGAATTTTTGGAGCGATGGTTGGTTTAAGCATTCGTACTTTTTCTCGTTTATCTCTACGCTCTTGCGCGATAATTTCAATGTCCTTCATTGTTAAGGCTGTGGATAAGAGAACGTAACCTTAGATAACAGAAAAATATATATAATTTTATACAAAGATATTTTACAGAGCGCTTTCAGATATCATCTTTCATTTAACTATAAAAAAATAATACGATTTTTTCACTTCTCCATATCACGAGATATTTTACGTGATGAATATTATTTTAGAGAATATTTTTATTCTCTATATTATTATTATTATATATATATATATGTATTAATTTTCATCATTTCGTTTAGTCTTTCTTTAAACAAAATATAACGAACGAAGAGATGAAAAATGATTTAAATAAATAAATAAATTGAAACTTAGTGAAAAAAAATTATTCTACGTGATCGTAAAAAAAGAATAAGTATCTTGTTACAAGTATATGTAACAAGTTTTTTGAACTTGTATATGAGGAAATTTTTACAAATGACAGATAATAATGTTTCTAAAATGACGTGCGAAGAATTATTACGCTTCAATAAAATTTTGAAACTCGTTTGATAAAGCTAAGAGAAAATGAATTGATTTAACTAAGCGACGTGTAAATTTTTATTAAATTTTTTATAAATGATTACGAGTAAGATTAAGATTTTTTGAAATATCGCGTGAAAAGTTGCGTTTTAATTAAACTTTAAAACTTGAAACTGTCTGCTAAAGGTGATACAAAATGAAATGGATCGGTAATCCAACAGGATAATTCAATTTTATAGATAATAAGATTTCTTGAAATAATGTATGAAGAGATATTAGACTTTATAAAATTTAGAAACTGGAAACTCGTTTCACGAAATTAACGAAAAGAATGAAGAGATCTAACGTAAGATAAATAGATTACTTGTACACGTTATATCGTATCAAAATTATATTTTTATATAATATTCTTTAAGTTAATAATCTTCTATTTTGAAACAACATTATCTTTATTTTTTAACTTAACGATACATTGCTTTTAAATGGTGTATATATGTTCTGTATTTAATTTTAATTTCTTTTTGAAATATAACAATAAATTAAACTTGATATTTCGTGCATTTGTGATGCATTTTAATGCAAATGTTTGAATAATGATCCATTTCATAATGTTAACGTCAAACATCGCTCAAATCCATGTAGTTTTCATATGAATTTCAGATATTTAATTTGTATTGTACGAGAAATTGAAAGATAACATTAAACATTATAGAAATTTTTCGCATGACGAGGAATTTGAAATTCAACGTAAAATTGAATACGTGAAGTATATATTCAGTGAAAACTGAATGAAATGTAAACTTTTCGAATTTTTCTATATTGCAAGAAATATATTTTATCTAAATTATCTCTAAAATTAGATAATAAAATGTTTATTATTATGTGTAAATTAATTTAATAATACCAAGTATAAATATAATAATAAATATATAAAAATAAGCATGAAAATTAGTATAAGTAAAATAGTAATAAATGTAATAACTAATTATAATAATAAGAATAT